CCTCTCCCACTTCCACCTCATTTCCATCTTCTTCCTCACTCTATTTCCACTCTTCCCCCATCCCATTTCTTTCCCCCCTTGCCCCATTCCCATCTGCCTCCTCACACCAATTCCATCCTGCTCACGCCATTTCTTTCCCTTTCTGCATCCCATTCCCACCTTCTCCTTGCCCTATTGCTGCCCCATTTCCATTCTCCTCTCTTTATTTCCATCTTACTCTCACCCCATTTCTTCCTCTCCCCATCTCCATCCCTCTCCTTGCCCCATTCCTACCTCCCTCACCATCCTGTTCCCTTTCTCTTCCTCACCTTATTCCCATCCTTTCCTTACCCCTCTTCCACCTGCCACCCTTCATCCTCCCTTCCCACCCTCCCTCTGTTCCTGCCGGTACCTTCTCCCACCCTTCATCCCCATCTCCTCCTCCTCCTCCTCTCCTGCTGCCTCCACTTTTTCTCTCTCTTTCTCTCTCCTCCCTCCTGACTTGCACTCGGCCTGTCCGGTCCCTGGAGCCCCACAGCAGCAGCTCCTCTGTCTCCCCGACTTCTCTCGCTCTCCTCCGGTGCCGACACACGGTCTCCGCAGTCAGACCCCTCTAGACTCCGCTGGTTGTGCGTCCGTCCGTCCGTCCGTCCGTCCGGAATGCCCCTTCCCCTGCGTCCGGCCGCCTCCCTGCCCGTGGGGTGGGGGGCAGCGCCTGACGCCCCCGCTGCTGCTTCTCCCCACAGCGCCCGAGGCCCCCGTCATCGACACGCAGCGCACCTACACCTACGACCAGATCTTCCTGTGCTGGCGGCTGCCGCAGCACTCGCCGCCCGCCTGGCACTACACTGTGGAGTTCCGCAAGACCGACGCCAAGGCCAAGGGGTTGAAGCTGTGGCAGCGGCGGGAGGAGGTGAGGGGCACCTGCGCCCTGGTCGAGTACCTGGACACCGACAGCGTCTACGTGCTGCGGGTGAAGGGTTACAACAAGGCGGGTTTCGGGGATTACAGCGAGGACATCTACCTGCACACGCCGCCCGCCCCAGGTGAGAGGGATGGGTGTTTGGATCAGCACGGAGCGCCCCACTGTGCTGTGCTGCTCACCTTTCTCCTCTTTGCTCCCTACAGTCCTCAACTTCTTCCTGGATAACCGCTGGGGCTTCAACCGGGACCGGCTGGCCATCAGCAAGGACCAGCGCGCGGTGCGCAGCGTCCCCGGCATCCCCATGCTCTTCGCCGCCGAGCGCCTGATGACCAGCTGCCACCTCTCCATCGACCTGGTCATCGGCGACGTGGCCATCACCCAGGGCAAGAGCTACTGGGCCTGCTGCGTGGACCCCAGCTCCTACCTGGTCAAGGTGGGCGTGGGGCTGGAGAGCAAACTGCAGGAGTGGTTCCAGGTGCCGCAGGATGTGGTGAGCCCCAGGTGAGCGCGGTGGTTTGGGGGTGGAGGGTTTGTTTCTACCCACCCCAACAGGCGCTGGGATGTTCTTACCCTCTTGGGGGAGGGCTCACCTGTCCCACCCCACAGGTATGACCCCGACAGCGGCCACGACAGCGGGGCAGAGGACACCACAGTGGAGGCTCCTCCTCCCTACGCCTTCCTCACCATCGGCATGGGCAAGATTTTGCTGTCACACGGCTCGGCCCTCACGTCCCGCGACCCCAACGGCTGCACCGTGCCCTTGCCCCCTCGCATTGGCATCTGCCTGGACTACGAGCAGGGCAAGGTGAGCTTCTACGACGCCGTGTCCTTCCGCGAGCTCTGGGAGTGCGGCGTGGACTGCTCGGGGCCCGTCTGCCCCGCCTTCTGCTTCATCGGAGGGGGGGCCCTGCACCTCCAGGAGCTGGTGGCCAACAAGCAGGAGAGGAAAGTGACCATCGGGAACTTCGCCAAGCTGGACTGAGCCATGCCCGTGGTCCCCATGAGTGGGACACGAGTGGCCAGGGAGCAGAGCAGAGGGGCAGTCCCAGCCCTGCCACCGCTGGGGACAGGCCAGGTGTTTGTTTTGGGGGATGGAGGGGACGGGGACAGCTTTGCCGTCCCCTCCTCACCCTGTCCACCTGCCCCGAGCTCTGGCTCAGCCCCAGGCTGCTCTGGGCTGGGGCTGTGGGCAGGGCTGGCAGAGGGTCAGCCCGAGAGATGGGTCAGGGAGGGGGACGGGGCTGCGCAGGGAGGGGGGTGGAAGGTGACAGTGGGGTGACAGCGCAGGGGACAGGCTGGGTGCTGGTGGGGATGGGGGAGGCAGATGGGGTGGGGGAGAGGGCTGGGGCTGGGGGGAGGCTGGGCTGGAACAAGGTGTGGAGATGTTTTGTAAAATGGCTCATTTTAAACGTGGATAATCTGGCTGCAGCCAGGCACAGCCCCCGGGCACAGCCAGCGTGGGGTCCCTCCCGTGGGCTGCTGGGCACCTCGGTGCCCACCGCCTGCTCTGCCCTGTCCTTGGGGAGCAAGGGCCACATTTGGCTCCTGTTACACCCACCCCATGGCTGGGGTGGGCTGCAGGACCCGGGTCTGACCCCAGCCAGGAGCCCCAAGCACCGTGGGGGCTGTGCCAGCAGTCCCACAGCGGGATCTGGCCGAGCTGCTGTCATTTCTCCTGGTTCTGTTACAACAAACGCTGTATTTTCATGGTTTCCTACAATAAACTGCAATGCCAGACTCCTCCGGAGCCTCCCTGGCACAGGGGGGCCATGGGGGCAGGCTGGGCACGGGGTCAGGGTGCCAAGGGACGTGGGGACCTTGGGTTTGGGTTGGCTGTGGGGTCGCAGGGCTGTGGGGTTTCAGGGCTGTGGGGTCATGGGGCTGTGGGGACATGGGGCTGTGGGGTCATGGGGCTGTGGGATCATGGGGCTGTGGGGTCATGGGGCTGTGGGGTCATGGGGCTGTGGAGTCATGGGGCTGTGGGGTCATGGGGCTGTGGGGTCATGGGGCTGTGGGATCATGGGGCTGTGGGGTCATGGGGCTGTGGGGTCATGGGGCTGTGGGATCATGGGGCTGTGGGATCATGGGGCTGTGGGGTGTCAGGGCTGTGGGGTCTCGGGGCTGTGGGGGGTCAGGGCTGTGGGGTGTCAGGGCTGTGGGGTCTTGGGGCTGTGGGGTGTCAGGGCTGTGGGGTCACAGGGCTGGCAATGGGGCCCTGAGACCAGGCTGTCCAGAGGCACATGCCCAGAGGCGTGCACAGGACTGGGGGCCATGGGGCTGGGCTGTCCTTTGGGCCGTGGCCAGCAAGTGCCAACCCTGCCCAGCAGTGCTGACGTGTCAGGTCCTACCCGTGCTCTGCCTGGCCCCGTGGGCACTGCCACCCCAGCACAGGCTGTCAGGGGGCTCCTGGATGGGACATCCCTCCACTGGGCACAGAACAAACTCCTTCAGCACCGCTGGGGAGCCCCAAGGGCGGCCAGTCCAACCAGGGGGACTGTGGGGTCATGGGGCTGTGGGGTCTCGGGGCTGTGGGGTCATGGGGCTGTGGGGTGTCAGGGCTGTGGGGCCGCAGGGCTGTGGGGTCTCGGGGCTGTGGGGTTATGGGGCTGTGGGGTCTCAGGGCTGTGGGGTGTCAGGGCTGTGGGGCTTCAGGGCTGTGGGGTGTCAGGGCTGTAGGGCCACAGGGCTGTGGGGTGTCAGGGCTGTGGGGTGTCAGGGCTGTGGGGTCATGGGGCTGTGGGGTTTCAGGGCAGTGGGGTCATGGGGCTGTGGGGTGTCAGGGCTGTTGGGTGTCAGGGCTGTGGGGTCATGGGGCTGTGGGGTCTCAGGGCTGTGGGGTCTCAGGGCTGTGGGGTTGCAGGGCTGTGGGGTTGCAGGGCTGTGGGGCTGCAGGGCTGTGGGGTCTCGGGGCTGTGGGGTCATGGGGCTGTGGGGTCTCTGGGCTGTGGGGTCTCAGGGCTGTGTGCTGAGGCACCTTCTCAGAGTGGGTGTTGGAGCTGGACCCCCCAACCTGGGTACTCTACATGGAGGGGCCACGGGTGGGTGCCTGTCCCTGGGGGTCCCAGTCCCGAAGCTGGAAGGGGAGGGGGCAACAGGGCTGAGCTCTCTGTGATCAGAACCCTTTGTAGGGCCCAGCCCTACAAATCAGGTCCCTGTGCCGATTCCTGGGGCCCTGCCCAGGGCTGGGGGGGCTGAGTGGGGAAACCACAGTGCCAGGCACACCCCGTCCCCTCTCCTAGGCACACAACCCCGTGCCCAGCTGGCAGAACGGATCCGGGGGTGGGGGGTGCTGTGCTGTGCCAGACCCCCATCAGTTCAGTCTGAGGGCACCCCCTGTGCTCCAGAGACCCCCAGCTCCTTGCCTGCAACCCAGCCCAGCCCTGAGAGCTCCCAGCACGTGCCAGGCTCCCTGGGCACCTGGCACAGCCGTGGGCCCCACGTTCTGTGGCCGAGGGCTCCATCAGCCGCCCGCTGCTGGGCTGGTCCTGGGGCTGTTCCCGGCCAAGCCCTGGCTCCGTGCCTGCCACCACATGGGCTTTCTTTGGAGGAGGTTTGCTTTCCTTGTTTTTCTGCCTTTTCAGTGGTTGCCAAAACACTCCCAGTGCCCAGGAACAAGCCCAGCTCAAACTGGAGCTGCCAGGGGGCCACCGCCACACTCCAGGGATGGCTGATCCACAGGTTTGTGCCCCGGTGCTGCCACACAGCCGCTTCTTCCAGCACCCCCAGAGCCTTTTTGGGCTCACTGAGTGTTTGGAAGAGCCTGAGCCAGCAGGGGAGGGGAGCAGGACATGCTGCATGCAGCCAGGGACACACGTGCAGCTGCACAGCCCTGGCACCGGCGCATTCCACCTGTGCAGCCACGGGGAAACCGGACATGTCAAACCAGACACGTTAAATCATGAGCAGAAACTGAGTGTGGGAGGGGTGAGAGGGACGGGGGCTGGCAGGACGTGTCACATCCAGAGGTGGGCAGGCACCAGGGACACGGTGACACCCCCAGGACTGCCTGGAATGGGAAACAAGAGCCACCACCCGAGCCAAGGCCACCTAGGTGGGTGACAGCCACGTCACTGTCCCAGAGAAACCCCCACATGGCTACCCCCATCCTTTATTTTATTTTAACCATGATAAATACACCCCAGCCGAGGACCTGCCACCCCGCCGAGCCAAACCCGGCACCGACACCCCGCAAATAAAGACATTTATATAAAATAACACCACAAAAAGAGCAGGGGGGAGCACGAGCCCAGCCCTCCACCCCCCAGCACGGAGCAGGGTTGCAAAGCCAAGCGAGTGTGGGGACCGTGGGGTGTGCGGGACCTTCTCTCCCACTGCTGATCTTCATTTCATCCACTTCTGTCATGTGCACGATGATTCTGCTCCAGAAACCATCCGGCTCCCGCTGCCCACGAGGGGCTGAGCAGCACCAGGGGATGTGCCCGGGGGCTGCTGCTGCTCCCTTGCAGCCGCCCTCCTTCCCAGCTCACCCTTCAGAGGTTGTCAGAGCCGGCGGTGGGGTTGGTGTAGGTGAAGGTGCCGGCCCTCGTGGTGCTGCCACCGGCCACCTTCGGGGGAGGAAAGATGAAGGGGGTGTCAGGACTGGGCTGAGCCCCCACCCCGGGCAGCACAGGAAGATCTGCACCCTCTCCACAGCCACTGTGGGCAAGAATAAATATAATGGCCTGGCAAAAGATTTACAATAGGACAGGCAGGATGAAAATAATCCCCCCTGCTGGTTGGACAATGCCCTCACCTACAGATAGGTCCAAAAGTTCAATCTCAACCCCCAAAATATATGGGTATCCCACGCCTGTAACCCTCCCCTGAAACATCAAGTGTCTGTGACCCCATTGGCCTAAGTCTTGTTCCAGCCCACCTTGAAGCCCCTTGATAAGGGGTCTCTGAGGGGCCAGACGCTCTCTTGGAACTTCTGTTCTCTTGGAACTTCTTCCCCTCTCTTGGAACTTCTTCCCCTCTCTTGGAACTTCTTCCCCTCTCTTGGAACTTCCTCCCCTCTCCTAGAACTTCCCCCCTCTTGCAACTTCCACCCTCTTGGAATTTCTTCCTCTCTTGGAACTTCTTCCTCTCTTGGAACTTCTTCCTCTCTTGGAATTTCCTCCCTCTTGCAACTTCCACCCTCTTGCAACTTCTTCCCCTCTCTTGGAACTTCCCCCCTCTTGGAACTTCCACCCTCTTGGAATTTCCCCCTTCTTGGAACTTCCCCCCTCTCCTGGAGCATCCTCTGTACCCCTTGTCTCTCCCCTCCTCCATTCCCTCAGGCCTTGCCACGCTCCAAGCAAGACCTTTCACCATCCCTAATAAACCTGATTTTCTAAGAGCAGCCCTCAGAGATCTCTGAATTCTGTTCATCAAAGCATTCCCTCCATCCTCCCACGGTGCTGCCCCCACCCATGGGCACCCTGGGCACCCACGGGTGCCCCCAGCCCCCACTCCCCGTGGCCAGGAGGAGCAGCGGCCGTGTTCCCGACCGATAAGCCGGCCTGGCGAGTGCGAAGGTAAATATTTACCCAGGCCCCTGCTATTTGCTCAGGGTGAGCTGCTCGAAGGGAGCCAGAGCAGCTGGACACGGCCCCCGCCCACAGCCCCACATGGGGGGCCCCCCACACCCCACATCGCCTTGGAGAGCCCTTTGCACCTCCAGCTCCAGTTTCGGAGCTGCTGCTGCGGGATGGGGGATGCTGGCTACAGGAATTGCCCCAAGGCTGCCCCCCACCCGTGGCAGAGGGTCTGGGTGGGGCACAGCAGAGCAGGGGGGCAGGCAGTGAGACCCTGATGCCGCTGGGATGGGCACTGGGAGCGGCTGCACAAGGTCATGGAGTTCCCCGGGGTCACACACCTGCTCCCAGCGCTGCTCCAGCCAGGCGTGAACGTTATGTGCACCTCCTGGCGAGGGGACGAGCTCCCAGAGTCACAGTCACAGAGTCACAGAATCCCAGAGTCACAGAGTCACAGAGTCACAGAGTCACAGAGTCACAGAGTCACAGAGTCACAGAGTCACAGAATCACAAAATCACAGAGTACAGAGTCCCAGAGTCACAGAATCAGAGAGTCACAGAGTCACAGAATCCCAGAGTCACAGAGTCCCAGAGTCACAGAGTCACAGAATCCCAGAGTCACAGAATCACGGAGTCACAGAGTCACAGAGTCACAGAGTCACAGAGTCACAGAGTCACAGAGTCACAGAGTCACAGAATCCCAGAGTCACAGAGTCACAGAATCCCAGAGTCACAGAATCCCAGAGTCACAGAATCCCAGAGACACAGAATCCCAGAGTCACAGATTTCCAGAATCCCAGAACCCCAGAGTCACAGAGCCACAGAATCACAGAGTCCCAGAGTCACAGAATTCACAAAATCCCAGAATCCCAGAGTCACAGAATCCCAGAGTCACAGAGTCACAGAGTCACAGAGTCACAGAGTCACGGAATCCCAAAGTCACGCAATGCCAGAGTCACAGAATCCCAGAGTCACAGAATCCCAGAATCACAAAATCACAGAATCCCAGAGTCACAGAGTCACAGAGTCACAGAGTCACAGAGTCACAGAGTCACAGAGTCACAGAGTCACAGAGTCACAGAATTACAGAGTCACAGAATCCCAGAGTCACAGAATCACAGAGTCACAGAATCCCAGAATCACCAAATCACAGAATCCCAGAGTCACAGAGTCCCAGAGTCACAGAAGCCCAGAGTCACAGAATCACAAAATCCCAGAGTCACAGAGTCACAGAATCCCAGAGTCACAGAATCAGAGAATCACAGAGTCACAGAATCCCAGAATCCCAGAGTCACAGAGTCCCAGAGTCCCAGAGTCCCAGAGTCCCAGAGTCCCAGAGTCACAGAATCCCGGAATCACAGAATCCCAGAATCCCAGAGTCACAGAGTCACAGAATCACAGAATCACAGAATTCACAGAGTCACAGTGTCACAAAATCCCAGCATCCCAGAATCCCAGAGTCCCAGAATCAGAGAGTCCCAGAATCACAGAGTCCCAGAATTCACAGAATCCCAGAGTCACAGAATCACAGAATCCCAGAATCCCAGAATAATGAGGTTGGAAGAGACCTCTAAGATCATCAAGTCCAACCTGTCCAACACCACAACCAGACCACAGCACCAAGTGCCAAGTCCAGTCTTTTTTTAAACACATCCAGAGATGGTGATTCCACCACCTCCCTAGGAAGACAATTCCAGTATTTTATTATTCTTTCAGTGCAAAACTTCTTTCCTAATATCCAACCTAAACCTTCCCTGACGTATCTTGAGGCTGTGTCCCCTCAGACCCGTCCTGCCCTGCCACCTCTGTCACCAGCCCAGGGGTGCACCCCTGCTCTCCACCCTCCTGGGAGTGCAGTGCTGGGGTTTTTGCCCTCACCTGGCTGTAGGGGTTGGGTTTGCTGCTGGGGGACACGTAGCGCCCGTGGCTCTGGTACTGCAGGTACTCAGCCATGGGGTGGTAGGAGTCCTTCTGGCTCAGCAGGTCCAGCTTCCCGCGGCTTTTCCGGCGGCAGGTGCAGGTGGACTTGGGGAGAGAGAGGGCTCAGAGCTTGGCTGGTGTGGGGACAGGGATGGGGCACCAAGCAGCAGGATGCAGGTGAGGATTGGGGTGGGGATGGGGTCTCACCATCAGGAGGAGGCAGGTGAAGATGGTGAACAGCAGCAGGACGCTGACCAGGACCAACAGAGCGATGGCCCAGTCCGGGATCACGGGTGCTGGAGGTGGGGATGTCACTGGTGCGGAGCCTGGAAGGAGCAGCGCTGTGTCTGCACCATGGGCAGAACTGGGACAGAGCCCTGAGAGGCCCCTGGCATGGGACAGAGCCCTGAGAGGTCCCTGGCATGGGACAGAGCCCTGAGAGATCCCTGGCATGGGACAGAGCCCTGAGAGATCCCTGGCATGGGACACCGGGGTCTGAGCCTGACACAGGCACTGCAAACACGCACTGACCCCACCCTCTGCATCCCCAAGCCCCCTGCCACCACCATGCTTCTGGAGCCCCCCAAGCCCCCCCCAAGCCCCCTCCCCAGCCTCTCACTCTGGATGCTGTCCAGCTGCAGGCCCATGATGAAGCCGTTCTGATCCAGGCTCTTCCTCAGGCGCTGCTCGGCAGCGTCGGGAGTGACGGCATCGCTTCCGTTCCCAAACACGAGGGTGGACTGCACCTCCACCGAGCCTGGGCTGCATGGGAGGAGGTATCAGCACCCAGATTGCCCCCTGAGGAGCTACAAACCGGGGGGACACACTGCAGTAGCTCACCTGTAGCGCAGCTCGCTGCAGCCGGTGTAGGTCTGCGTGCCCATGCAGCCCATGCAGCCAAAGACGTGCTGGAACTGGAAGGAAGCATTGAGGTCACGGCCAAAGACACCCCCCTTTCCTGTCTCCATGCAGAAGTGGCAGAATGGATGCTCCAGGTGCTTCCACGGAAAGCCACGAGGTGAGGGGGCTCCTTCCCAGCATGGCCGAGGGTCTCTGCCCCAAGGTGAGGGGGCTCCTTCCCAGCACTGCCCAAAAATCTCTGCCCCAAGGTGAGGGGGCTCCAAATCTCTGCCCCAAGGTGAGAGGGCTCCAAATCTCTGCCCCAAGGTGAGGGGGCTCCTTCCCAGCACAGCCCCAAATCTCTGCCCCAAGATGAGGGGGCTCCTTCCCAGCACAGCCCCAAATCTCTGCCCCAAGGTGAGGGGGCTCCAAATCTCTGCCCCAAGGTGAGGGGGCCCCAAATCTCTGCCCCAAGGTGAGGGGGCTCCTTCCCAAGCCCCAAATCTCCGCCCCAAGGTGAGGGGGCTCCCTCCCAGCTCAGCCCAGGGTCTCTGGGACTCACCATGGCCAGGACAGTGCGGCTCAGGCTCCTGTACTCCTGCGACACTGGGTCCCGCAGGCTCTCGTTGAAGCTCCTGTTGATGATTCGGAAGGACAGGGGGACACGGACGAGCAGCTGGACACCAGCTGAGGTTTTGCTGGGGTTGGGACCACCCTGGGTGGGGGTCTGCCCAGGAGCTGTGCTGCCCTCAGACGTTATCTGGGTGGGAAAGACCTGAGCGCTGGTGCTCCCGTTGCCTTTGGCACTGCCATGAGTGGTGGTGGGAGCGGCAGAGCTGCTGTTGGTGCCAAAATGGGGGACCCAGCTGCTGCTGTTTGAGGTGGCATTGGCATGGGGGATGGCTGGGCTGCTGTGCACGGGCACCACAGTGCCGTTGGACGTGGAGTGGTTGCCAAACTGGAAGTTCGTGGTGTTTGTGCCAGGGAATGCGGTGGCATAGGGGAAGGCAGAGGTTTGGGGCCGGCTGCCCCGTGTGCTTTTGGGGTAGATATTTGGCAGCCAGGTGGTGCCGGTGGTTTCCGTGGTCATCTCCACGGTGGTCGTTTCGGTGGTTTCCATCTCCATGGTTGTCTCGGTGGTCATGGCACGGGTACCTGGAGGAAAAAACCTCTGGAGTCAACAGCTGCAGCCCAGTTTGGGAAGGTTTCACCCAAAACAACTCATCAGCTGGACAACCCCCAGCACCACAACCCTCAGCAAGTTGCCCACGAGGCTAACGAGACCTTCAGCAACATCCCTTAGCTGGGCACTGGTGGCACCACCGAGGGTCCAGGTGGAGCTGGCTGGGCACTGACACCGAGGTGTCCCTGAGCTTCTGGGGAGCCAGGCATGCCACCCAATAAATCCCCCCTTGTGTGGGGGACAGGCTGGGGTGCCCCTGTGCCCTCCAGGCTGGCTGGGGGCCAGTCCAGGCAGCTCCTGGGCAAGTTCCCAGCGGGTGCTGCCGGCAGCACTGGAGGAGAGCCCGGGGTCCGGCTGCTCACCGGGACACACCTGCATTCCAGCCCAGCCTGCTCCGGCTGCTCCCGGCACAGCCCGGCCCTCGGCCGAGCCCTTCGGACACAGCTCGGAGCCCCCAGGTGCCAATTTTTGTGGGTACAGCCACCCCCGGCTCGCTGCACCCCAGAGCCAGAACGGGAGAGGTGACAGTGGCGCTGCTGCCAGGATGCCACCGGCTCCAGCATCCCCCGGTGCCCACTTTGAAGGGAATCCCGTTTCCTCTCCCAGCCCCTCACCTGTGCCCACCGCCAGCAGCAGCAGCAAGACGGGGAACGCCATGGGGTTTGTCCGGGGGGTCCAGGCGCTTCTCGGGGTTCAGCAGCGGCTGCTCTCCCGTTAAATGGGAGTCCAGCAGGGATCCGGAACTGGCAGCTCCGCAGAGACCGGAGCTTTATAGAGCACCTGGAGCAGGTAGGAGGGGAGGCTCCGCCCCGCCGCAGGCTCCGGGCAAGGGGGGTCGTTCTGCCCCACTTGGCATGGGGGTGGCACCGTGCTGATGGGGTCCCCGTGGCATCAGCCCCCCAAGTTGGGTCTGTCCTGGCTCGGGGGGGCACCGCTGGCAGCGTTCCAGTGCCCACGGGTGGGGGCACAGGACGCGGTACTAACCGGGCATCCTGGGGAAGGGGTGGGAGCAGCATCGCCCTGGGATGGGCTCCAGAGCCTGGTGGGGGACACGGAGGGGACACGGAGGGGACACAGAGGGGACACAGAGTCCCCTGGTGCAGTGGGGGGGGCCTCGTCCTCTGGCTCAGCCCGGGGTTAATCATTACCGGCTGGTCATCGCCTCGCCCTGCACTCAAATAAACACCGGTGACCCCCCCGAAACGCTTACGCAGGTACAGCCCAGGGCCCCACGACACCCCAGTACCTCCCAGTACCTCCCTCCAGGTGCCAGGGCCCCCCCAGCAGGCACAAAGCCCCATCCCAGGACCTGGGTGATGCCAGTGCTGGGTGTCAATGCCCCACCCCAGAGGTAACGGGCGCCACCCGTGCTTGGGCACAGGTGACTTGTGCTCCTGGCATGGACGGGCATCAAAAGCTACTGTGGTCCCACTCTGCCCCTGCCCTGCAGAAATTCCTGAGCCCTGGGAGAGCCCAAATCTCTCAGGAGGGTGCTGATTCCTGTGAGGATCCCAGTCCCTGGGGAGCTCGTGGTCCCCACACTTGGCTCCTGGCCAGCCTCATGTGAAGCCAAAGTGCCACCACAGTCCCACCAGAGGGTTCTGAGGTGGTGCTGAGAAGGGGATCCCTCGAGGGCAAGGCCTGGGTCTCGGTGCAGCTGGAATGGGACCCAGCAGAGCTCTGCTCCCCCCACGGTGGCCACAGCCTTGGCGAGCCAGGCCACGTGCAGGCAGCAGCTCCGGGCAAACATCTCCTTGCCAAAAGGCCTCACCAGGGAATGGCTCTGCCCGGGCAGTGCTGCTGTGCCCTGCTGCCCTCTGCTCCAGCCAGAACCCCCCACCCTGCTCAGCTCTGGGGGTTTTCCTCTGAGCTTCCCAAAGTGAGGGATGAGTTTTCCTCCTGCAGACACCACGAACGACACACTGTGGAGGGGGTTGAGGGGGTCCCAGCAACTGCTGTCACCCATCAGCCCTGGGAGTGAGGGCCATTAGCCCACCCTGTCCATGCCCAGTGGGTTCCATGTGCCCACCCTGTCCATGTCCATGTCCTGTGTGCTCACCCTGTCCATGTCTGGTAGGTCCTGTGTGCCCACCACCTCAGGGGTTCCATGTGCCCACCCTGTCCATGTCAAGTGGGTCCGTGTGTCCACCCTGTCCATGCCCAGTGGGGTGTCCACCCTGTCCGTGCCCAGTGGGTTCCATGTGCCCACCCTGTCCATGTCCATGTCCTGTGTGCCCACCCTGTCCACGTCTGGTGGGTCCTGTGTGCCCACCACCTCAGGAGTTCCATGTGCCCACCCTGTCCATGCCCAGTGGGTCCGTGTGTCCACCCTGTCCATGTCTGGTGGGTCCTGTGTGCCCACCCTGTCCATGCCCAGTGGGTTCCATGTGCCCACCCTGTCCATGTCCATGTCCTGTGTGCCCACCCTGTCCATGTTCATGTCCTGTGTGCTCACCCTGTCCATGTCTGGTGGGTCCTGTGTGCCCACCACCTCAGGGGTTCCATGTGCCCACCCTGTCCATGCCCAGTGGGTTCCATGTGCCCACCCTGTCCATGCCCAGTGGGTTCCCCTGTGTCCAGCCTGTCCATGCCCGGTAAATCCCTGTGTCCAGCCTGTCCGTGCCCGGTAAATCCTTGTCTCCAGCCTGTCCGTGCCCGGTGTTTCCCCTGTGCCCAGCTGCCTGTGCCCGGTGTTTCCCTTGTGTCCAGCCTGTCCGTGCCCGGTAAATCCCTGTGTCCAGCCTGTCCGTGCCCGGTAAATCCCCGTGTCCAGCCTGTCCGTGCCCGGTAAATCCCCGTGTCCAGCCTGTCTGTGCCCGGTAAATCCCTGTGTCCAGCCTGTCCGTGCCCGGTAAATCCCCGTGTCCATCCTGTCCATTCCCGGTTTTCCCCGTGTCCATCCTGTCCGTGCCCGGTTTTCCCCGTCTCCAGCCCGTCCGTGCCCGGTGGTCCCGACTCGCCCCGTCCCCGCCCGGTGGCCCCGAACCTGCGGCGCCCCCTGGCGGGCACAGCCCCGCAAGACACTCCCGCCGCGCACCGGGACCGGGACCAGAACCGGGACCAGAACCGGGAGCAGAACCGGGACCGGGAGGGGGAACGGGACCTCTACTGGACTGAGACCAGGAGCGTGACAGCGACTGGAACCGGAGCGAGAGCGGAACCGCTGCTGGAAAGAGACCGGAGCGGAATCGGGAATCGACCGCAGTAATGCAGAGCGGGAGCGAGACCGATACTGGAGCGAAACGGGAGCGGGAGAGGAGTCGGGAACGGTACTGGACCGGGATCGGAGAGGGAGCAGAAGAAGGACCGGAACAGGAACGGGAACCGCGGTTCCCCGCGGGAGGAGGCGCTCGGTAGCCAGCGGTGATTTCACCTGTCCCGGTACTCCCGGGGAGAGCCGGTTGCGCTCCCGCCGCGGCCTCGGGCCGGGAACGGTCACAGGCCCCGGCCCCGGTCCTGGTCCCAACACCGGAGGGCAACCCCGCGTTGCCCTTTTAAGAGGGGCCCGGTGCCGCCGCGCCCATTGTCGCCGCCGCCGCCGCGGGGCGGGGGGGCCGGGCCGGTGCCGGGGCCGCGCTCTCCGGGGCGGGCGGGATGGGGGGGTGGGGGCACATTCCGCCGCGTTGCCGGGACAGCCGTCGCCGTGGCGACCGGTGCCTGCCGCCGAGCCGCGGTGAGCGCCGCGCAGTTCCCACGGAGCGGCCCGGGCGGCGGCGGCGGCGGCTCCGCTCCCTCCGGGGCGGCGGGAGGGCCGGGATGCGGTGCAGTGTTGTGCTCTCGCCCACCAATATTGCACTCGTCCCGGCCTCCCGCCGCCGCGGGTTGCGCCGGTGGGACCGGCCGGGCGCTGACCCAACCCCGCGAGCACCGGGAGGACGGCGCGGGACGGAACCGAGAGCACCGGGGGGGACCCACCGCCCTCCCGGGCCAGCGGGAACCCCCAGGGACCGGGCGCGCAGGGTAGAAAACACTCAAAACTTTATGGCCAGGCGTGGGGCAAGGACCGGAGCGCCCGGGGCAGGCGTGGCGGGAGCCCCGGCACTGCGGGGCCCCGGTACTGGCAGTGCAAAGTCCGCGGGAGGCCGGGAACGGGGCCCGGCCGGGAGGAGCGGCGGGGCCCGGTGCGCCCCCGGGTGCCGCCGGTGGCGGGAGCGCGGAGCGCCACCGGTGCCGCTGGCGGGGGAGGCCCGTGGCGGGCGCGGTCACTCGCGTCCCTCCAGCAGGAACCGGCGGAAGGGCTCGAAGTCGGCGGGGATCGTGTCTGTGGGGAGCAGCGCGGGGGGCGTCAGGAGCCCCGGTAAAACCCCCGGCCCAGGACCGAGCCCGCCGCAGGGGCGAGCGAGGGGATGCTCGGCCGACCACCGGGCCGGTGCGGGGGTCCCGGGGGGGCCCTGCTCACCGTTGCAGCGGTACTGCAGGTTGGACCAGATGATGTTCTCCTGGGAGAAGCAGAAGACCCCCAGCCGGCCCCCGCGCATCGTGGTGTCGATGATCACACCGGAGTCCGCCACCAGCTGCGGGCCCTCGTACAGACGGACCCTGCGGGGGAACGGGGTCAGCGGGCCCTCACCGGGACCCCACCGGGGCAAACATCGGGATCCTACTGAGGCGCCATCGGGGCCCCCCCACGACCAGCACCGACCGGGGGACGGTAGCACCGGGCTGAAACCGGCGCACCCTGCGGGATCCTCGGGCCGGGGGCACCGGACCGGTTGGATCCTCGGGCTGAAGCCCCCCCGCCGTGGCCGGGCTGAAGCCCCCCGCGCCGCCCCCGGCCCGGCCCCGCCGCCTTTGTCGGGCGCTTTGCATGTGAAAGGCGCCGGCGGAATCGCCATAGCGACGGGACAATGGCCCCGGGGGCCCGGGGGGCGGAGGGCCCGGCGGCGGAGCCCCCCCCAACCCCGCCGCGGCGGGAGCCTTAAAGGAGAAACGCGGCTGCGGTCCCCAGGGCCGAAATCTCCGCACCGCGGTGGTCCCACCGGGCTGGATGCTTCCCACGGCCGGTACCCCCGCACTGCGGTGGTCCCACCGGGCTGCATCCCCTCGCTAGGGTGGTCCCGGGAGGCACAAGGCCTCCTCATGAACATCCTCTACCCCTGAGGTGGTTCTGCAGGGCAGGTCATCATAAGGGCCGGTTCACTCTAGGCTTGGTTTCTCCCCACCGACCACCCCCCCACCGGTGTGGTCCCACTGGGGGTGCACCATGAGTGCCCCCATGCCCCCCCTGCTTACCTGATGTAGCCCACCTGGGGCCTGTGTGCCAGCTGCCAGCGGTAGGACGTCTTGTCCCTCCAGCCCACGTTCCTGGGGTCCTTCCAGAGCAGGCGAACGTGGTCGGGCGTGTGGCCCGTGTGCCACAGCGCATTGCGCAGGTGCTCCCCGGGGCCCGTGGAGGATTTCACTGCCTGCAGGTGCGTGGGGGCTTCAGGAGGGAGCAGAACAGGGGGGTTTGACCCAACCCATGGGTGGGACCACCACCCACCTTGAGCTGCAGCCCTGGCTCGGCCACAGCACGGAAGGGAGTGGCTTGCCAGTAGGTCTGCTCCGTTTGCTTCCACATCACCACGTAGAAGCTGGCGCTGTCCTGGTAGCTGAAGATGAAGCCGGCGTAGTCATCGTCGGTGATGGTGTTGACGTGGAAGGTGCCCTCAAAGTCTACCCCGTTGAAGGCTGTGTAACCTACAGGCAGGAAAAGCTGCGGGGAGCCCTCTCTCCCCACAGGACTCCCAACCCACCCACCCTTCATCCCTCATCTGTGGGGCAAGGTGGGAGTAGAGGGGGCTGCCCCCAGAGCCTGTGGGTGGGTGAACACATCTTACCCACAGCCAAACCCGGGTCACTGTTCATGGTCTGCACGATCTCCATGCCCTGTGGGAGAACAGCTGGGTGAGGGGTACCCCAGCACCCCTGGGCGCCTCCAAATCCCCTCAGCTCCCACTCTGCAGCACAGCAGCCCCCAAAAACACGGGGCGCAGCACCCACACCTGGTTCAGCACCACCCAGTTGGGGTCGATCTGGGCGTCCCCCTCGGGGTCCAGGATGACGGTTTGGTAGGCGCGGAAGTCGGTCAGCGTCACCTCGGCGCTCTCGGGGCACACGTCCAGCTGGTCCACCACCGTGTCGTTGTCGAAGTCCTCCTCGCAGACGTCACCCACGCCATTCCCTGGGGACACGTGGGCGGTCAGGGCTGGGCTGAGCCCACACAGGTGTGCCCACCTCTGCCCACCCCATGCTCACCGTCTGAGTCTTTCTGGTTGGGATTGGGGATGAGGCGGCAGTTGTCTGGGCCAGGCGCCACATAATCCGGGATGCCATCGTTGTCATCGTCGTTGTCACAGTCATCCCCCAGCCCGTCGTTGTCCGAGTCCAGCTGGGAGCTGTTGGGGATCTCAGCGCAGTTGTCCTTGGTGTCCTGATGCCCATCCCCATCGCTGGGAGCAAGAATGAGGTCAGAGAATGACAAAAGGATCTCCCCAAAGACCCCCTTGTCCCACCCAACAGGCCCCAGGAGCCCCGTTCTACCCCCCGGGACACAACTGGGAGGTCACCCCACTATCCACACCTGTCCTCATTGGTGTCACAGATGTCTCCTACCAGGTCACTGTCCATATCTGTCTGGAGGAGAGCAGAACCCGAGTTCAGTGGACATCCTGGGGCGAGGAGGGGGAGGCCCCAATCATCCCAGGCCCAGCCTGGCCCCAGCCATACCTGAGTGGGGTTGCTCATTTCAGGGCAACTGTCACAGGCATCCCCAACACCGTCCTCGTCCCGATCGGTCTGCAGAGGGTTGGGCACCTTGGGGCAGTTATCCAGCATGTTGGGTATCCCTGCAAGGATAGTGCTGAGTGGATGTCCTCCCCCACCCTGCTGAGACACCCCCCTGGCACGGCCAGGCCAGCCCAAGAGCGGCTCACCGTCCCCATCGATGTCATTGTCACAAGCGTCCCCCTCGCCGTTGCTGTCCGTGTCCCGCTGGTCATTGTTGGGAACGTTGGGGCAGTTGTCACAGGCGTCCCCGAAGGAGTCAGTGTCCGAGTTCTGTTGGTCCTTGTTGGGGAAGAGCCGGCAGTTGTCCTGTGGAGAAGAGGATGGGGATGTTGGCGCTGCGGTGGTGGGCAGACAAGAGGCCACAGTCCCACAGTGATCAAGGCAGAAAGGCATCTCCAGCACCTTGAGACCATTCCCAAACCAGCCTGCTGCTCCTCAGGAGAAGCATCTTGAGGGACTCAGAACAGAGCCAAAACAAGAAACCCTCCTAGAACCACCCCATCCAGCACAGCCACCTCCACATTCTTGACACCATCACCATCAGCGTCATCATCACACTGGTCCCCAATTCCGTCGTTGTCAGCATCCTCCTGCCCGGAATTGGGCGTCAGGCGGCAGTTGTCCTGCAGGCACAGCCAGAATTAGGGACAGGGAGGAGATGAGGTGTGGAGCAGAGCCCTGCTGTGCCCCCCTGCAGGATCCCACCTGCTTGCAGTGTTTGTTGTTGTCGATGCAGGGCAGGGGCTCGTCCGGGTACCCATCCAGGTCTGTGTCTGGCCCACACACATTGCCATTGCCAGCCCAGCCCACGTTGCACTGAATAAAGAAGAGATCAGGGGCTGGAAAAGGCCCTGGCAGGACCAACGCTGCCATGCTGTATCCCCCCACCCTCCTCCTGTCCCTGTGCCCTGCTCACTGCGCAGGAGATCTCGCCGTTCCTCTCAAACAGGCAGAAGCCGTTGATGTCGCAGGGGTTGGAGGTGGGAGTGCTGCAGGACCTCTGCGGGATGCAGCCAGACGTTTGGTTGCCCACAAAGCCCGACTTGCAGGGCCCACACTTGTAGGAGCCCTGGGGGAGAGAGGGCAGGGGTGGGATGAGGGGAGCTGAGCGGCCCCGGGAGCGAGGGAGGGAGCGGGACAGCGCTGCTCACCAGCGTGTTGGTGCAGATGGAGTTGGGGTCGCAGCCCCCATTGTTCCCATCGTTGCATTCATCGATATCTGTGCAAACCTGTGAGCGGTGGGGGAGAAATGCTCACCCAGGGCGGAGTGCTCTGCCCATTCCTGCCCCCACGAAGCCGTCCTCCTTCGCAGGCACTGCATTTTCCACGCTGTCCTGCGCTCCAGAGATGCCACAGGGACCCGGCCAAACCCCCTGGCACTGCACTCACCTGCTTGCTGGCCTTGGCATAGTCCACCCCCACGCCAGAGACGGTGTTGCCTCGATAGCCACGGGGGCAGGGCTCACAGCGGAACCCGGGGGCCGTGTTGATGCACTTGGAGCCGGGGAAACAGGGGTTGGCATGGGCACACTGCAACACCAGGAGACACACAACCTTCATCCTTGGGCACCTGCTGCTGCACCAGGCTGTTCTAGAGCCTTCCCAGAGGAATCACCCTCTGCTGATGCCCCCCAGACCGTGCCCACCTCCTCGATGTCAGCGCAGTGTGTGCCGTTGCCCTCCAGCCCCGGCGGGCAGGGCCCGCAGCGGTACCCGGGGTACTCGTAGGTCTCCATGCAGTCCACGCCGCTGAAGCAGGGATTGGGGTTGCAGCGGGAGCGGTGCTCGTGGAAACCTGAGGAGAGGAGAGGCAGGTGAGACAAGGTGGCCCTTTGCCCCCCCAAAAGTGGGAGCAGAGCCTCGCCAGCACTCACCGCAGACCTGGCACTCCATGATGGTGTTGCGGATCAGAGACATCTCCTTCACCTGCAAGGCAGCAGAGCGTGGAGCATCAGGACTGTGCTGGTGCTGTGCTCCAGGAAAATCCAGCCCAGGGAGTCTCAGTGCCCCCTCAGCCCCACCTGGTCCCTAATGTCTTCCCTCAAGTCGGTCAGGACCTGGTTGAAGAGGGTCAGCTGCGTGACCAATGCCTTGGTCTGCTCACCTGCCAGCAGCAGAAAGGAAAGGTCAATCCCAGCACAGACAAAGTCTCCCAGGGCTGTGGGCCAGGACTGCTCTGCCCATTGGCACTGAGCTCGGAGGATGAGGCACCTGACAGCCTGTGCTGACACAGAACCCCTTCTCCTGTAGCACACCCCACAGCCTGTGATCCCACATGGGCACTGGGACAGGCTGTGCAGGGATTGCTGCCTCTGTGGAGCCCCAAACACCTCACACCAGGCAACCAGGGAAGCAGAGCAGGGACTTACCCAGGATGGAGGCCAGCACGCTCGTCACTGCAAGGAGAGAGATGAGACATTACCAAATGCTGCTGTCACACCCCAGCAGCATCACCTCACATGGTCACTCCTGCTCAGCACACGTGCAGCACTGCAGTTCCCACCTGTGCGGGGACACTGGGCCAGGAGAGACCAGAACATCCCTCTGTGCTGTCACCCCCACCCCCCTGTGCCACAGCCCACACACATGACCCCAAAAACCCCCAAGCCATTACCTGCAGTGTGAATGGACTCATCTCCTTGGAAAGGGCACTCACTCAGGGCCCCTACACGGCTCATGGACCCTCCCAGGATCAGCTTCATGGACTCCACAAACCCCTGATGTGTGTGGGGAGATGCAGTCAGCGTGGGGGGCTCTGCCCATCCCCGAGGGTGCATCGGGGCTCTCAATCCCCCTGGCACTCACCTGCATCCTCTGGTAGGCCTTCAGCCCCGTGCGCACCTCGATGGACTCCACCTCGGCCAGGGGGATCTCGGAGAGCTCGGGCAGCCCCACGCTGGAGTCCATCTGCTTGCAGTCCACGTAGAGCTCCACGCTCAGCGTGTCCCTTCGCAGCCCGCTCAGGCGCACGATGACAGAGTGGCTCTGCCCGTCCGCCACCTGTGCGTGCTGCAGGTTGACCGAGTGCACCTTGTTGTCCTCCCGCAGGTACCTCACCAGGACTGCAGGGGAGCGGGAAGGGGATGTCAGCGCCCCCCCAGCACTGGCAGCACCCTGGCACCGGCGTGTGCCCACTGCGGGAACTCAATCCCGTCCCTCTCCGAGTCCATCCCCACCCACCTTTGTTAATCTTCCCCACGACAGACACCTCCAGCCACCGGGTGTTGTCCTTCTTGGAGTAGAGGCCGAAGAGGGTCCCGCCCTGCTTGGGGGGCAGGCGGAAGGTGGACAGGAGGTACACGTCGTTGACAGTCAGAAGCTCCATGCGGATCTTGTGGGCCACGCTGGCCATCTGCCGAGCCTCGCTCACCAGCAGCAGGTCGATAACTGCGGGACGCGAGCACCGGAGTCGCCGCTGCACCGGCAGCCGCAGCTCCGGTGACAGCGGGGGATGCCCGGTGCTGTCAGAGCGGGGGTGGGCTGGAGGTGTCCCAGGACCGCCGGGTTCTGGGGGGACCAGGGAAGCCCCGGGGGCTCCGGGGCCGCCCCCGCGCGATGGCGCTCCAGGACCGGCCGCTCCTCCGAGCGGGACCCGCGGAGCCCCCGCACCGGCGGGACCGGCAGAGTCCCGGCCTGGAGCCCGCCCCGCTCTTGGGGCTTCCCTGCATTCCGTTCCGCGGGCCAGCCCCGGTAAGGGGCGTCTCCGCACCGGGAGATCCCGGAGGGACTGTCGGAGTCCCGGCACCGGCTCGGGGCGCGCAGCGGAGAGCGCGGACAACCGCACGGGTTGTTCCGTGCAGACGCACCGGGCAGACCGAGAGGGGCTGCGGCACCGGGGTCAGCCCCCGCGGCCCCGAGCCAGCATCGGACCGGCGGCCACCGAGCGCCGCGGCGTCCCCGCTGCCCCGGGGCTCGCAGAGCCGCTGTCAGCCGCCGTGGGACGGGGTCTGTCGCCGCCGACCCCCGAGTGCCGCCCGTCCCGCAGCCCTTCGGGGCCGCCCCACCGCCGCCCCGAGCCCCTCCGGTACCTTGCAGCTCCTGACGCGCCGCGGCGGCGGCGGCCAGCAGGAGCAGCGCCAGCAGCGCGGGGCTCCCCGGTGCCCCCATGGTGCCGCCGGTGCCGCCGGTGCGGAGCGGAGCGCGGCGGGGCGGGGTGGCGCACGGGGGAGGGGCCGGCGGGGCCGGCGAGGAGGAAACAAAGAGCCGTCAATCACCGGGCGCATCCCGGGGACACCGGCGGGCTACCGACCGCGGCTCCGGCCCCGGAGCGGGGCACCGTGCCGGTGCGGCGCGCTGGGCCCGGGGCTTCGGGGATGCCCCGGGACAGCCCCCGTTCACAGCGCCGGTTCACCGGGAGGTCAGGCGGGGTGGGGGGAGGGGGGTTGCTGGGGTCGCCCCAACAGCGCCGGAAAATCCCGGCCCGGTAAAGCGGAACCGGCCGCTGTTCAGAGGTGCCCCACGGACCGGCAGAGCTCCGGGGCCGCTCCGTACCGGCGGGGGATGCTCGGGCCGCCGAGCCGCTCCCGCGGAGCTCCGGCCAAGGCGGCGTCCCGGCCGTGTTTACAGCTGTTTCCCCCGGTGCCATAACAACGGGCCGAGCCCGGCCCCGGGGCTGCCCCGGCCCCGCGCCCCCGGTGCGGCTCCGCGCCAGCGGTCCCGCGTAACGATGGAGCCGCACACGGGGCGGTTTCCTTCCGCCGCTGCCAGCGGGATCCCGGCCCGGCTGCTGTTCGTGGAGAGTGCGGGGGGGTGCGGGGCCGAGCAGGGTGGGCCCACGCGGGGAGATGCGGGGCACGGCGGGCACGGTGCGGGACCGAGAAGCGCGAGCAGGATGGAGCTGAGCCGTGCGAGGCGATGTGGGGCCGTGCGGGGAGATGCGGGGCTAAGCTGGACTGGGCGGTGTGGAGGTGAGCGGTGCGGGGGAAGGCAGAGAGATGCGGGACACACCAGGGCTGAGAGGTGCGGGGGAAGGCAGAGAGATGCGGGACAAGAACGGTGCGGGGCACGGCAGGGCTGAGCGGTGCGGGGCGATGCAGAGAGATGCGGGACAAGCACGGTGCGGGGCACGGCAGGGCTGTGTGCACGGTGCGGGGCACGGCAGGGCTGAACAGTGCGGGGCGATGCAGAGAGATGCGGGGCACGGCAGGGCTGAGCGGTGCGGGGGAAGGCAGAGAGATGCGGGACAAGCACGGTGCGGGGCACGGACGGGCTGAGCAGTGCGGGGGAAGGCAGAGAGATGCGGGGCACGGCAGGGCTGAGCTGTGCAGTGCGGGGGAAGGCAGAGAGATGCGGGACAAGCGCGGTGCGGGGCACGGCAGGGCTGTGAGCACGGTGCGGGGCACGGCAGGGCTGAGCAGTGCGGGGGAAGGCAGAGAGATGCGGGACAAGCACGGTGCGGGGGAAGGCAGAGAGATGCGGGACAAGCACGGTGCGGGGAAAGGCAGAGAGATGCGGGACAAGCACGGTGCGGGGCACGGCAGAGAGATGCGGGACAAGCACGGTGCGGGGCACGGACGGGCTGTGCCGTGCGGGGCGATGCAGAGAGATGCGGGGCTGTGAACACGGTGCGGGGCACGGCAGGGCTGAGCCGTGCGGGGCGATGCAGAGAGATGCGGGGCACGGCAGGACTGTGCGGTGCAGAACCGAGCAGGGTGAGCAGTGTGGAGCTGAGCGGTGCGGGGCGATGCAGAGAGATGCGGGGCTGTGAACACGGTGCGGGGCACGGACGGGCTGAGCAGTGCGGGGCCGGGCAGTGCGGAGCCGAGCCGAGCTCAGCCGTGCGGGACAGCACGCGGGTTCTGCCCCAAGCACCCCGTGCAGACCGCCGCCACCGCCGGGCTCCGCTCCATCCCGGAGCCCCCCGCTCGGTGCCGCCCCGCGGCGGGGACGGGCGGCGCCGCCCGTCCGGTTCCGGGTCGGCGGAAGATGGCGGCGCCCATGGAGCTGTTCTGCTGGGCGGGGGGCTGGGGGCTGCCCTCGGTGGACCCCGACTGCCTGGCGGTGCTGGTGAGCGGCGGGGCGCGGGCGGCGGGGCCGGGCCGGGGTCCCGGGGCAGAGCCCCGCTCTATCCCTCCCTCCGTCCCTCCCGCAGACCTACGCGCGGTTCACGGGGGCGCCGCTGAAGGTGCACCGGGTCACCAGCCCCTGGAGGAGCCCCTCCGGTAAGGGCCCCGCCGAGGATACCGGCACCAACACCGGGAACCCCCCCACCCCATGGTAGCGCCGTGATCCTGTTGTCCCCATTTCCCGCTAGTGCACCCTCCACGTGTTACCCCCTATACCCCATTACAGCCTCCCAGCCCATCTTATCCCTCACCCTGCATCCCCTGCCCTATTGCACCCTCTTAGCCCACTGCACCTCTCTTGCCCTGTGGTCTCTCGTCCCCATGTGGCACCATTCTACCCCAGTGCGTCCCCCTGTACCTCATCACACCCCCTGTCCCGTTACCCTTGTTACCACCTCATCACACCCCCTGTCCCCTTACCCCCATTACCACCTCATCACACCCCCTGTCCCGTTACCCCCACCTTATCACACCCCCTGTCCTGTGACCACCGTTACCATCTCATCACACCCCCTGTCCCCTTACCCCTGTTACCATCTTGTCACACCCCCTGTCCCGTTACCCCCACCTCATCACACCCCCTGTCCCCTTACCCCCATCTCATCACACCCCTGTCCCATTATCCCCGTTACCATCTCATCACACCCCCTGTCCTGTTACCCCCACCTCATCACACCCCGTGTCCTGTTACCCCCACCTCATCACACCCCCGGTCCCCTTACCACCATTACCATCTCATTACACCCCTTGCCCCATCGCACCCTCCCCACCCCATAGCACCCCTCATGTCCCTGACTGCCCCCCTCTCATCTTATTGTACCCCCTTGTCATGTGTCCCCTCGCCACTGCACTCCCCTCTGTCCCATCCCAACCCCATCTTCTCATCACCGTCCCTGTCCCATCACACCCCCTCTTGTCCTGTTGCACCCCCCTGTCCATCCCCCATCCCCACTTCCCCCCTGGTCTCAGTGCATTCCCCATTTCCCATCACACAGTTTCTACCCCCTCCCCTGCACCTCACCTCACACCCCTGCACTGCCTCGTGCCCCTCATCCGGGCATGGGGGTCCATGGGGGTGCCCCCTGCACCCCTCAGCTGCTCAGGGCATGGTGACTGCAGCCCCCACTCACTCCCCCTGCCCGCAGGGCACCTGCCCGCGCTGAGGACACGGGACGAGGGCATCATCTCCAAACCTCAGCAGATCATCACACACCTCAGGAAACAGGTACAGAGGGGCTTGGGGCACCCCTGCCCTGCGCTGCAGGAGCCCCTTGAGGAGGAGGGGACTCTGCTGTGTCACCCACGGGTGGGATTTGGGGCATCCCATGGCATCAAAGCGGCGTTTGCTCTGCAGAAGTACAACGCTGACTACGACCTGTCGGCCACACAGAGCGCGGACACGCTGGCCTTCGTGTCCCTGCTGGAGGAGAAGCTGCTGCCAGTGCTGGTGAGGCTCAGGGGGGCTGCAGGGATGGGGGGCTGTGCCAGTGTGTGCCCAGCTGCCTGCAGAGCACTGCCAGCAGCACCATCCTGGGATGGGGATTTGGGGGGTGGCACCAGTGGGTCGTGCAGCCCGGGCTGGGCTCTGCCCTTGTCCCCAATGCTCCTGCAGCCTCTGATGGTCTCCAGGGTGGCTGTGCCAGGCTCTGGTGTGCCAGCAGCCCTGCCAGGGGGTGGCCAGGCTGTGGATTGTTTTCCACCACAGATCCACACCTTCTGGGTGGACGCCAAGAACTACGTGGAGCACACGAGGAAGTGGTACGCGGAAACCATCCCCTTCCCCCTCAACTTCTTCCTGCCCAACGCCATGCACAAGCGGCACCTGGAGCGGCTGCAGCTCATCTGGGGGGATGACTACATGGAGGATGAGGAGAAGCTGGAGAAGGAGGTGAGATATGGGGTCTGGGCACAGTGTGTCCTCAGCAGTGTCCAGGAATCCCTGTGAGGCTGTCCTGGTGCTCGTATCCCCATTTGTCTGTTTAGCCCAGAAATAAGTTTTGCACCTTTAAGATTGGTTCTGAAAAAAACCCAACTGGGGGTTTGGGTTCCTTCCTCCTGCTCCCCTGAGCACTGTGGGGGTACCTGGGCAGGTGACAACCTTCTGTCCTCCTCCTGCAGCTCTACCGGGAAGCTCGGGAATGCCTGACACTCCTCTCCCAGCGCCTCGGCTCCCAGAAGTTTTTCTTTGGAGACTCGTAAGTGGCCAGAGGGGGAGAAGGAAAGGGGCCTGAGAGCCGCCCACACCCCAGCAGGGCTGAGGCGCTGTGGTCTGCAGGGGAGCTGCAGCTGTTTTGGGGGTGGAACAGGCTCACAGGGGACAGGGCGAGGAGGGGGAGCCTCGTGGGGTCCCCTGGGGTGCCTGGTGGGTCTGGGTGGCTTTGGGTGGGGACAGTGGCCCAGGCATGGCTCTCTGTGCCCCAGGCCGGCCTCCCTCGACGCCTTAGTGTTCAGCCGCCTGGCGCCGCTCCTGAAGGCGAAGCTGCCCAACGGGAAGCTGCAGCAGCACCTCAAGTCCCTGCAGAACCTGTGCAACTACTGCACCTCTATCCTCAGCCTTTACTTCCCCTGGGACGGAGGTGAGAGCCATCCCCCGCCTCACCCTGCGGGCTGGGGGTGACCTGTCCCCCCTCAGGTGCACCCCCAGGTGAGGCTCAGTCTCAGGGTCACCCTTCCCACCCACGTCCTTGCTCTGCCCCTCCAGGTGACCCCCTGACCGGTGTCCCTCGGGCTGCAGGCACAGATGGCAGCGAGGCAGAGGAGGACCCCCACAAACGGCGCAAGCAGCTGCTGTCGGTGCTGGTGGGGCTGGTGGCCATGCTGGGCTACGCCTTCCTCAGCGGCATCGTCTCCATCCAACGCGGCAGCGTGGGGCCGGCCGGCCGGCAGCCCATCACCCTGGAGGAGGAGGAGGAAGAGGAGGAGGAGTGAGGAAGATCTGCGTGGCTGTTCCTCCACAGCCCCTGGAACTGACTGTTTTTACCCTGGGAGTGTGGCAGCAGCACTGCTCCGCTCCGTGTCCCGCCAGGAACCACAGCTCCGTGGGAGCGTCCCTGCCACACCAATAAACCTCCCTCGTTCCACCTGCGCCCTTTTGTACTCCCAGCACCCTCAAGGCCGTTCCCAGTTCCCCCAGTTGCCCAGGCTGGAGTTTTGCAGCAGGCACCAGTGTGCTCTGCCCCTCACTGCAGCCTCGGGTCTTGCTGGGGTCCTGAAGTGAGGACCTAAAATCATCTGAGTGGTGTCCCCTGTCCCTTCTCCAGTAGTTTCCAGCCGAGCCCCACATCTCCCCAGCATCATTCCCACCTTGCAACCCTGCAGGCAGCACCGACAGCAGCTCTGCAGGGCTGGCACCTCCCCTCCACACCGCTGCCAGCCCGGCAGTCCCGACACGAAAGCAGAGCCAAGGGCAGCCGGGGCTGCTCGTCAGGACACGTCCCCAGCCCGGGAGCGCTCCCCGCTGCCAGCGGGACCGGAGCCCCGCTCCAGCAGCCGGGATCCCTCCGGCGCTGACAGATGTTTGCATTCCAGCACGCCTGCCAGCGCCGGGGAGCTCCTGCAGCTGGCACAGCGAGTTCCAGCAGCTGGCACAGCGAGCTACAGCTGGCACAGCGAGCTCCAGCACATCACCCGGGCTCTCTGCAGGCTCGGGGGCAGCCCCCGCGGTCCCCCGGGGCTGCTGCCGGTGTTGGCTGTGATGCCCTTGCCGGTTTAGGAGTGCACAGATGGAAAGGCGGCGTGGGGCCAGGCTGGCACACAGCCCTCGCTTGTTTGGCCGCCGGCTGCCACCGCCAGCAGCATCCCCAGCCCTGCTGCTGCTCCAGGCTGCGCTCCTGGACATGTGCCCCCCACCCGGTGCAGTGGCCAGGGGCCCCCACGCCGGGCTGGAGCAGAGCCAGGGTGCTGGGCCAGCTGCAGAGCCTCCCCCATACTGGCCCAGTTCGAGGGGCCCCACTGGGAGGGGAATGACTCAGTGCAAACCCCCAACCCCCAGCACGCTCCCCTCTAACGTCACTCAGGAACTATGTGCCCCACGCTCCCGCTTCCCATTAGCTGGAGGGGCTGGTGGCTGCTCTGGCCAGGGAGAAGCTGGAGCTGCTGACGCCAGAGATCTGCTCTAAATCCCGGCTGCGTGTCCTGACTGCAGCTTTGGGCCCTTCCCTGCCTGGGGATGCACAGCAGAGTGATGCCACCCCCTTAGGGTGACACCCCCCTGCATCCCCAGCCCTGTGGGATGCCTCAAGAACCTGGGCACAAGAGGGATGGGACCCACAGGGCCTCAAATCTGCCTCCTCTGGCCCCTGGCATAGTCCTGCCCACTGAGCTGGCACCAAGGGGAGGTCAGGGGTTCAGGAAAGTTTGTAGAAAACCTGTTTATTTTATGAAACATCTAGAAAAGCACAGGCGTTGCAGCCCTGGGGTCAAACAGGTCCCCTGGGGCACAGGGGGCTGCAGGGGCTGTGCTGCAGCCCCGACCCCATTGGAGTCACCTCTCCAAGCTGCCACCAGCACCGTGTTCCTGGTGCTGGCACCTCACTGCTCTGCCAGGCTAGGCTGGCTGCTGCCAGAGGAACGTCTGGATGGAGTCGCTGGGAGCCACGGCCTCGATGAAGCCGACGTGCGGGTCAGAGATCCCAAAGGACACGTCCATGGCGGAGCTGTGAGGAAAGCGAGAGGGGATGGGGGCTCAGTGGGGCAGTGGGGGCCTTTCACCAGGGAGCAGAAGGGAGCCACTCACCGGTTCAGGACCACCAGGACAACGGCACCATCGGGGCGCAGGAAAGCCGAGTGCTCCAGGTCACAGCGGTGGCATTTCTTGGACACGGCCAGTCCCACGCGCTGGGAGCCCTCGGGGATGAACTTGCTGTGGGGACAAGCAGGGTCAGAGTGTGGCACTTAGGACGTGGCACCTGCAGCCAGCAGCCTGTGGCCCTGACACACCTGAAATGCCCAAGGTGGTAGAACATGGGCTGCTTGTAGAAGACGTCCTTGCTGCTGTCCACAATGACGGGGCTGTCCACGTAGTTCTTGCTCCAGTTGGGGCCTCCCTCCATGTCCAGGGCCAGGTTCCAGTCAGTCCAGCCTGTCACGTAGTTGTTGAGGTTCTGTGGAGAAGGGGGTGGCACTGAGCCCCAGGCAGGGCCAGGGTGGCCAGTGTGTTGTAAACGTGGTCACGGCTCCCACCAGGCCCTACCGACAGAATGCTGTGGCTGTACTTGCTCCCACGGTCCCAGCCACCCAAGACCACCCTAGGCTCCCAGAAATAGGAGCCTGCGGAGGCCTCCGTGGAGAGGAGGAAATAGTCTGGGAAGAGGTGATGGGTGATGGAGAGCGTCAGGTCAATGGGTGCCAGAAAATCCAGGTACCAGTGGATGCCGATGCCGCTGATGTAACTGGCAGCCACAGGGTCTTTGAGAACCTGGCGGGAGAAAAGGGTCACCAATGCCCAGGGCTGGGAGATCTGCTGTGAGGCCAGGAGAGCTGCTAGGGGCACTCACCACCTCGGCCCAGTAGGGCAGCATCACCCTCTGGTCATCCAGGATGATGAGCTGGACGTGGCGGTGGGAGCTGTTGGCCAGCGCCGGGCCCAGGTCCTGAGCGATGAAGTCCCGCTGGTGCTCAGGGGAGAAGCCCAGGCACTGGAAGGGGTAGAAGATGATCTCCCCAGCCGTGGGCTCGTTCCCTGCTGTCACTGCCCAGAAGGTCAGGTTGTGCTTGGCGTATTCATCCAGGAAGCTGGTGTGGGGTAGGAGGTGACACACCTGTCACACCTGTGCCAGCCCCAGCTCCAGGTGTGGCATCCCCGGCACACGCCGCACTCCCGTGGCCCCTCACCGGATAAAGTACTTGGCCCAGGCCCGGTGGTACTTGTCCCCAGGGCTGCCCTTCAGTGTCCCCCTCCCTGTCATTGCTCCGTTCGTCTTCATCCACACCGGGGAGGTCCAAGGGCTGGCATAGAGCGACAGCGGCCGCTTGGCCACTGCCTGGGCTGCTTGGAGGATGGGGATCTAGGGAGAAGTGGGATGGAACAGAGACCTCTGGGTCTGGCCCAGTGCTGGCTGTGCAGGCAGCAGGAGGTGTCAACTCCCTCCCCAGAAGTGGGAAGGTGCTTCCTTTTCCCCATCCCATCCCATGGATCCCATCCCATCCCATCCCATCCCACCCCATCCGATCCCATGGATCCCATCCCATGGATCCCACCCCATGGATCCCATCCCATCCCATGGATCCCATCCCATCCCATCCCATCCCATCCCATCCCATCCCATCCCATCCCATACATCCCACCCCATCCCATCCCACCCTATGGATCCCATCCCACCCCATCCCATCCCATGGATCCCACCCCATGAAACCCATCCCATCCCATGGATCCCATCCCACCCCATCCCATCCCATGGATCCCACCCCATGAAACCCATCCCATCCCATGGATCCCATCCCACCCCATCCCATCCCATGGATCCCACCCCATGAAACCCATCCCACCCCATGGATCCCATCCCACCCCATCCCATCCCATGGATCCCATCCCATCCCATGGATCCCATCCCATGGATCCCATCCCATCCCATCCCATCCCATCCCATCCCATCCCATCCCATCCCATCCCATCCCATCCCATCCCATCCCATCCCATCCCATCCCATCCCATCCCATCCCATCCCATCCCATCAATCCCATCCCATCCCTGCAGGACCCACCTTCATGTGCGTGTCCTCCTCTGTCAGGTTGAAGTGCCTCAGCTCAAAGTCGCCCTCGGCGTCGGCGTAGGTGTACAGGCGGACGGAGAAGTCGGTGCTGGCCATGGGCACACGCACCAGGTTGTACTCAATGCCTGAGGACAGGCAGGTGGTGATGGGCATCCTCAAGTTGCATTTGGGGTCCAAACCCCCCAGCCCCTCAGAAGAAATCAGCAGCCAGACCCCACCTCTACCACCAGCAGCTTTGCCTGCCTGGCCTCACCTTCCTCGGAGAAGTAGGAGCGCAGCAGATGCTTCTGGGCATCCTTGGACAGCGACTGGATGTTGATGGCGGCCGCGTCGGTGATGGAACCACCAAAGCCCTTCACCTTCTGGTACCTCTGCGCTGTGTCCAGGGTGAGGTGGAAATCTGTGGGGACACCCGGTGTCACCACCGCCGCTGTGGGGGACAGACCCTCCTCGCACAGCCCGTGGTGGTACCTGGGCTCTCAGCGTTGTGCTGGAATTTCCCCTCGCTCCTCTCCAGCCGCTTGCCGGCCTTGCTGCTCTCATATTTGACGTAGGAACCTGGTGCTGGCAGGACCAGGGGGTCCAACGTGTCACAGTACGTGGCACTGCAGGCACACACCAGGGAGCCGTGCCCAAAATCCTTGGCATCGCAGGGACGGCCGCCTGCAGCAGAGGAAAGAGTGGGTAGGCAGCAAAGGGTTGTGGTAGGAGCCTGGCTCATCCCTTTGAGCCATGACAGACCCCAAATCTGCCACCCTCCAGAGCGCAGGGACACGTGCCAGCACCTACCTGTGGCCTGCAGGGCCGCCTGTGCCAGCAGGAGCCAGCCCAGGACAGTGGCACAGCCTGGCCCCATGGCACCTCTGCTGCAGCGATGGACACGCGGGGAGTGGGGCGAGGTCTCGGCACCCAGAGCTTCTCAACCTGACCCACAGGGACAGAGATACAGGGCAGGGAGAGCCCCAGCATCATCCCCCTGCCAGGGCCAAGCCTGTCCTGCCCTCTGCCCACTGCTCCAGCCCAGCAACCACCTTCCCTCCCACCCTTCCACCCCTCCAGAGTCCACCAACAGCTCTGGTCTGACCCATCTGGGGGTGCAGCCCCCCATGTGTGGGCATCCCCCAGGTGTGGGCATCCCCCATGTGTGGGCATCCCCCAGGTGTGAGCCACCCCTGCTGCTGCTGCTGCTCTTAGCTGCCCACGCTGGCTGTACCAGCAACTTGGTTCACTCCCATCAACTCCCTCCCACTCCTTCTCCCTGCTCACAGCCGTGCCGTGCCATGCCGTGCCATGCCGTGCCATGCCATGCTGCATCACCCCATGCATCCCCAGTGCCCCAGACCCCTGGCTAGCAGCAAACAGCTCCAAATTCCCAATCCCATGTTCCTGGAAGCTGAGGCTCGTCCAGCCTGAGTGGTTTGGGGCTCAAGCCCCTGGCATGGAGAGTCCCACATTCCCCTGTTCTTGCAGGTGTTCACACCCTGTCTTGTCCTTCCCGTGGAGCCCCCTCCAAGCCTCGGGACCCTGGTGCCAGCCTGAGGACACCTGGGGACCTCTGCCAGGGTGGGATGGTGCCCTCTGGTTGCTCCCCGAGCTCCTGTGGGATGTGGAGTGGGGCCAGGCAGGTGTCCCACCTCCATTGCCTCCCACTCCTGCCAGGGAACGATGCCCAGCTCGGCCAGGGCACAGCCTCAGCACGGTCCTGTTGCCCCATGCCCATCCTTATCCCCATCTCTGTCCCCATTCCCACCCTCTGAAGCCACCTCGGAGCCAGGGGACTCACCTGCTGCCAAACCAGCTCCTGCTGCTCTCTGTCCTGTGTCCCAGCTGTGCCTGGTGGGAGGGGACGCGTCTGGCGAAGCAGGAAAGGTGAGTTTGGAACGGGACAGCTCATGGGACTCTGTGTTTGAAGAGGAGCCTGGAGTTGATTTTGCAACCTGGCTCCAATAAGCTTTCCACACACCACAGCATTTGCAAAGCTCTCCTGAAACCTGTTCCAGTGGCCAGAGGGGAGCTGGGGAGGGGAGGACGCTTGCCAGCCCCCCAAATGCCTCCATCACCCCCCACATCCAGCCATGCCCTGCTCCCCTTGGGAAGAGCCCCACAGGAGCAGCCCCGTGTCCCTGGCACACCTCGGGCAGGGCAGGGCAGTGCCCACCCAGGGTCCCTGCTCTTGGCAGCACTTTGGCTTTGCCACCACCAGTGCCACCACCATGACCTGTGTCCCGTTTGTGGCTGCTCCAGGACCTTTCCTGGCATGGGCAGAGGCAGCAGCCAGTCATGGAAGGGATTCCAGACCCGTCTTGGGGTGGGCACAGCCCTGCTCCCCTTGGGAAGAGCCCCACGGGAGCAGCCCCGTGTCCCTGGCACACCCTGGGCAGGACAGGGCAGTGCCCACCCAGGGTCCTGCCCTTGGCAGCACTTTGGCTTTGCCACCACCATGACCTGTGTCCCGTTTGTGGCTGCTCCAGGACCTTTCCTGGCACGGGCAGAGGCAGCAGCCGGTCATGGAAGGGATTCCAGACCCGTCTTGGGGTGGGCACAGCCCTGCTCCCCTTGGGAAGAGCCCCACGGGAGCAGCCCCGTGTCCCTGGCACACCTCGGGCAGGACAGGGCAGTGCCCACCCAGGGTCCCTGCTCTTGGCAGCACTTTGGCTTTGCCACCACCATGACCTGTGTCCCGTTTGTGGCTGCTCCAGGACCTTTCCTGGCACGGGCAGAGGCAGCAGCTGATCATGGAAGGGATTCCAGACCCGTCTTGGGGTGGGCACAGCCCTGCTCCCCTTGGGAAGTGCCCCATTGGAGCAGCCCCATGTCCCTGGCACACCTCAGGCAGGGCAGGTCAGTGCCCACCCAGGGTCCCTGCTCTTGGCAGCACTTTGGCTTTGCCACCACCATGACCTGTGTCCCGTTTGTGGCTGCTCCAGGACCTTTCCTGGCACGGGCAGAGGCAGCAGCCGGTCATGGAAGGGATTCCAGACCTGATTTGGGGTGGGCACAGCCCTGCTCCCCTTGGGAGGTGCCCCATTGGAGCAGCCCCATGTCCCTGGCACACCTCGGGCAGGGCAGGGCAGTGCCCACTGAGGGTCCCTGCTCTTGGCAGCACTTTGGCTTTGCCACCACCATGACCTGTGTCCCTTTTGTGGCTGCTCCAGGACCTTTCCTGGCACGGGCAGAGGCAGCAGCCGGTCATGGAAGGGATTCCAGACCCATCTTGGGGTGGGCACAGCAGGGAATGCCCACCCAAGCCCCCTCACCCCCTCTGTGCCCCGCATGCCAGAGCCCCAGGCCGCAGCTGGGCTGGGTGGAGCTGGCAGCAGCGGTTTATCATCTGCAAAACAAGTCTGGGCTCCACACCATCTAATTTGGGATCCTTCCTAATTGCAGGCATCTGCTCCGCAGGAGAAACAGGAGGCGGGCAGAGCACGGGGGGAGTGGCAGCTGCCCTGGGGTCCCCTTGGGGCACTGGTGAGGGTGGCCAGGGAGAGACCCCCACCCAGGGACCACCGTCCCTCGCTCAGTGTCACATCCAGCAGGAGACCCCCACCCAGGGACCCTCGCTCAGTGTCACATCCAGCAGGAGACCCCCACCCAGGGACCACCGTCCCTCGCTCAGTGTCACATCCAGCAGGAGACCCCCACCCAGGGACCCTCGCTCAGTGTCACATCCAGCAGGAGACCCCCACCCAGGGACCACCGTCCCTCTCTCAGTGTCACATCCCCAACCAGGTCACAGCCCCTCGCTGGAGATCGCAGCCCCCTGTGGGAAATAGCAAAGGTAAGATGATTTTCAGAAAGCTGGAAAAGCAGGTCCTAGAAATAGAAAGAGCAGAGAATTTGCTGCAGCTGCAAAGTCTGAAAGTAGACAAAGCTACAATGAGTATTTACTAATTGGCTAAAACGATTATCTGTAAGCTTTAGCAATAACTATTGACTTTTAGCAGTCTGCTATCGGCCAGAACATTTTTTCAAGTGCTCTGTGCAAAGAAATCTTCCACTGCTTCTGTCTGTATGTGAACTTTACCATCTTCCCATTGTCTCAGCCATGTCAAGAGGCTGATGCTGCAAATAAAGCTCAAAGAACATACCCCAACATCCCATCCTGGTCAGATAGGAACCACCTCCCCAACACAACCCCCAACCCTGCTCCTCCTGCTGCCCCCAGAGAAGGGATCCCCCAGTGGGGATGGTGGGGGTGGTTCCTCCAGCCTCACCCCACCCCTCGTGGCCATCCTGCTGTGGTTCCAAAGCCTTTCCCTGGGCACTGCTGAGGGTGTCCCCTGGGAAGGGGACGTTCCCCAGGTGGCAGCAGGACCTGGGCACTGATGAGGTCTCACCTCAAATCTTTGGGGTCAGTTCTGTGCCACTCATGAGGGCTGGAGCGTGTCCAGAGAAGGGGATGGAGCTGAGGAAGGGTCTGGAGCTCCAGGAGGAGTTGTGGGGGGGTCATGCTGGAGAAAAGGAGGTTCAGGGGTGACCCTGTGGCTCTGCACAACTCCCTGACAGGAGGGGACAGCCAGGTGGGGGTCAGAGTTTCCTCCCAGGGAGCAGGGACAGGACAGGAGGAAACGGCCTCAAGTTGCATCAGGAGAGCTGTGGCATTTCCCAGGAGAGGTTTAGGTTGAATATTAAAGAAAATTTCTTCATGGACAGGACTGCCCAGCCCTGGCATCGGCTGCCTGGGGCAGCAGTGGAGTTGCCATCCCCAGAGGGATTTAATAGACGTGCATGGAGCATTTGAGGACGTGATTTAGGGCTGGCCTTGGCAGCGCTGGGGGAACGATTGGGCTCGATGATCTTGGAGGCCTTTTCCAACCTCAAGGATTCCATGATTCTATTCTATAATTCTAAGCTCAGCCAGCCCACGTTGGGGCCAGCATTCCTCAGGAACATGGATAAAAGCACAGGACAGGCTGGTGTGCTCCGTGAACAGGGCTGGCACGGAGCTCGGTGCCACCTTCACACCACACTCCAATAATCCAGCTGTAAAACCGCTGGGTTTTTTCATTTTCCCCCAGCTCAGCAGTTCCGTGGCTCTCACACAAGGGGCATTGGCCAAGGAGAGCTCTGGCTTTCTCATTCCTGTACTTCAAAGGTGCTGGTAACGTTCCCAAAGGCACAGGGAATACTGTAACTGGTATTTAGGGAAAGCAAACAGGACGGGGAGGTCACTGCGGGCTGCGGCCGGTGTTGGCCACAGCCAGAATAGAGGGGACTCTGTCCAGAGGCCACCCTGGAGAGGTGGCACCAGCCTAATTTCTCCATAAGCTTTGGTGGATGGGGACACTGATATCATTTACTCCACTTTTCCGACAGCGTCTGACATTTGGGGATTATTTTTTTTTTAAAAAAGTAGGTTTGGGAAAACCAACAGCACATATGGAACGAATCAAGGGCTGGCAGCAGCAGAGGCTCCAGCTGCAGGGATAAACAAAGAGCCACCCGCAGGCCACGGGGGCCGGAGCCCCCGGGGCACCCCTGGCCCCGGCGAGGAAAAACCGAGCGAGATTTCCGAGGAAACGCTGCCGGGAACGGCGCATTCCGGAGGGAGAGCGTCATGGCTTCACTTGGCGCCCGCCGCACACGCGAAGCCTTCACGGGGGCCACGTGTGGAAGTGTTCTCCAGGAGACGGTGCAAAGGCAACTTCCAGGGGGATGGGAAGCGCCGGCAGGGAGGGGAGGATGGGAAGCAGCAGAACCCGGAGCACTCCCAGCGATGGGTCAGCATCTTCTTCCACCCTTCAGGGATGCTGGAGGAAGGCTTGACCCCCTCAGAGTGGACCCCCCAGAGCCCCCCAGAGCCCCCCAGAGCCCCCCAGCACACCCCTGGCTATCACTGCTGGCGCCACAGGTAGGTCTGGATGGAGTGGGCTGGAGCCACAGTCTCAATGAAACCCACGGCAGGGTCCTGGATCCCAAATGGCACATCCCGGCCAAACCTGGGGAGCAAGAGGGGCTGAGCAGGTCGGCACAGATGGGGTTGGGCATCACCCCCACCCCCTGCCTGGGCTGACCTGTTGAGGACCACCAGGACGAGGGCACCGTCGGGGCGAAGGACGGCCACGTGCTCCAGCTGGCAGAGGAGGCAGCGGCGGCTGCTGCGCAGCCCAACCCGCCGGGAGCCCTCGGGGATGAATTTGCTGTGGGGAAAGGACCAGGAGATGGGTTCTGCCTCTGGTCTGGGGTTTGGGCAGCACCCGAGCCCCCCTGACCCACCTGAAGTGGCCCAGGTGGTAGAACATGGGCTGCTTGTAGAAAACGTCCTTGTCGCCGTCCACGATCACGGGGCTGTCCACAAAGTTCTTGACCCAGTTGGGGCCTCCCTCCAGATCCAGCACCAGGTTCCAGTCGGTCCAGCCAGACACAAAGTGGTTCATGACCTGGGGGGGCAGGGAGGGGGCTGAGTGGGGCTCCCCTCAGCCTGGGTGGGTGGTCTGAGGGTGGTGTGAGGGGGATGTACCGTCAGGATGCTGTAGCTGTAGTGATCCCCCCGCTCCCAGCAGCCCAGGGACACGGCGAAGCGGAACATGAAGAAACCAGTGCAGGCCTCCGTGTAGAGGAGGAAATGGTCAGGGAAGAGCTTGTGGGTGGTCTCCAGGCAGCCAGGTGGGACAATGGCATCCAGGTACCAGTGCACGGCCAGGCCAGCCACGTAACGGGCAGCGGTGGCATTTCCCAGGACCTGGGGAGCAAAGGAGATGCCTCACACCGATGCCTGAAACCTTCAGGGATGGACTCTGGGTGGTCTCTCAGGGCCAACCTCTTGTTCACCACACCCTGCAGCCCCTCCCTGCAGCACTGCACCCCTTTGAGCAGCACCCCAGCATGGATCTGGTGCCCCAACACGGCTTTGGTGCAGTGCTAAGGGGGTGGGACACAGGTTTGTCCCCAGCTGGCTCTGCTGCTGCCTGGGCCTCCCTCCACACCACCCTGGGGTTGTCCAGCCCTGCAGCCATGGAGGCACAGAAGGGACAGGCTGCCTGGCTTGAGGCTGGGGTTGTTGGGGGAAACCAAACCAGCCAAAACTCTGCCCAGAAAAGTGCCCAGCAGCACTGCCAGGTCATCCAGGACGTGGGTGCCACCTCCTGTCCTCACTCCCGTCGGGCACACGCGGAGCTGCTGCTGCGGGAGGAGCCGGTTCTGGCTCCCGCTCCGGCAGACCCGGTTTGCTCCCACTCTGCAGGGCTGGGAGAGGCCCCAGCTCCATTTCCCCTAAAGCCTGGGGCTGGGGAGTGGGGCAGAGGGGAAGGAAGGGACGCTGCTCTTCACCACTTTGGCCCAGTGGGGGAGGTGGATGCGCTGGTCGTCGAGCATGAGGAGCCGTGTGCCGTGGGGGCTGCGGGCCAGCGCGGGGCCCAGGTCCTGGCTGATGAAATCCCGCTGTTGAGCGGCCGTGAAGGCGATGGTGGGACCCTGGGGGGGCGTGAGGAGCCCTGCCAGAGGCTCGTTCTGTGCTGTCACCGCCCAGAAGGTCACGTTGTGCTTGGCATATTCATCCAGGAACCTGGTGTGGAGAAAAGGGGAGGCAGAATCAGCTGTGCTGCCCCGCTCCCCCACTCCCTGATCCATCCCAGCCTGTTCCAGAGGTGGTACTTGATGAAGTAGTTGGCCCAGGTCTTGTGGTACTTGTCCCCTGCCTTCCCCTTCAGAGTCCCCTTGCCACGGACGTCCCCGTTACTCTTCATCCAGGCTGGGGCGGTCCAGGGGCTGCCAAACAGCAGCAGCGGCCGCTTGCTCATGGCCAGAGCCCGGCGCAGGAGGGGAATCTGCAGGAGGGGACAGAGGGACAGGGTCAGCTCCAGCTGCAGCTCCCCAAAACCACATGGGAAGAAGGGGAGAACTCAAAGCACCTCAGTAGGGACTGGCAGCTGGCAAGCACCACACCCCCGGCACAGGGCACAGCGCCCTGGCTCCTCACCCTGCCACTGCCAGCTGGGATGTGCCAGGACGTGCCCCGGGGGAGGTGCCAGCTCCCACAGGCTGTCCCCATGCACCCTGCTCAGCATCACCCAGTCCTGTCAGTCCCAGCACACGCAGGAGCTCTGGAGTGAGAGGGGAGCTTCAGCCTCCCACCTTCATCTTCACGTCCTCGTCCGCCAGCCTGAAGTGCTTCAGCTCGTAGTCGTTGGGGACATCATCGTAGCTGTAGGGGCGCACGGAGAAGTCGCTGCAAGCCATGGGCACCCGGACGAGGTTGTACTCGATCCCTGAGGAGCAGGAAAAACATCAAGTGGCACCGGAGTGGACATCCAGGTGACAATGTCCCCGCAGAGGGGACAGGAGCACCCCACAATCTGCTCACACCACCGTGCTCTCACTGCTCACCGCTCTCGGAGAAGTAGGAGCGCAGCAGGTTGTCCTGGGCTGGCTGGGACAGCTTCAGGATGTTCATGGCAGCAGCATCGGAGAGGGACCCACCGAAGCCTTTGACGTGCTGGTACAGCGTGGAGATGTCGAGGGTCAGCAGCAGCCCTGTGGGAAGAGCCCAGCTCGGTCCCTGCTGCCTGGGGGCACTTGGTGGCACTGCCACCCACCACTGGGACTACCTGGGCTGGGCAGACTGCGCTGGAATTTCCCCTCGCTCCGCTCCAGCCGCTTGCCAGCCTTGCTGCTTTCATACTTGACGTAGGAGCCTGGTGCTGGCAGGACCAGGGGGTCCAGCGTGTCACAGTACGTGGCATTGCACACACAGACCACTGAGCCGTGCCCAAAATCCTTGGGGATGCAGGGTCGGGCACCTGGGAGGCATGGGAGGGGTGGGGGTGGCTGGTGGTGCAGGGATGTGTCCCTGCCTGCTCCTCCACCTGCCCCGGGGGGATGTCATTGCTCCGGTGCTCCGCATCCTGGCACCTCCCGGGCACCCAGATCCACTCCTGTCCTTGCCACCCCTGCCATGTCCCCGTGCTCACCTGTCACCTGGGCCACCGGCAGCAGCAGCATCAGGAGGAGCAGAAGCCAGCTCAGGATGCCCACAGCCCGCATGGCTCTGCAAGGGGACACCCTCAGTGTCACAGCAGGGGGATGGAGGGATCAGCCCCATCTCCTCAGCCTCAGTGCCACGGAGCTCCTGTCACCTTCTCCATGCCCACCCAAACACCTCCATCTCGCTTGGGGAGGGTCCATCCCTGCCAGGAGCCCGCACCTCACCCGCCTTCACCCCGGCTGCTCCCGACCTGTGCTGCTGCCCAGCCCTCCTCCTCCTCAGCAGATGCAGCCTCCCCACCTCCTCGCCTTTCCAGGAGACCTCCCATCCGCAGCACACCCTCTCCCACCCCCACAGCTCCTCCTTGCTCTCCTCCCGGCCCATACCTGCCCTCCACGGACCGTGGTGCATCTCCTGGGAGCGCCGGGTCCCCTCTGCCACCATGCCGAGGGGGGGACAGGGACACGGTGCTGGCAGCTGGGCCTGGGTGAAAAGTCCAACCAGCACAGGGAGGTGTCACAGGGACAGATCTGAGACCCTGAAGGAAGAATTGATTCATTTATTTTGTCAGGCAGGGTCTGGATGAGCCCCTGAGAGCCCAGCAGAGCTAAGGGCAGGCTCGTGGCACTGTCTGTCCTGCTGGGCACCTCCAACAGGACACCCACCTATCCCTGCCCGCCACCCTGCTGTCCCCAGTGTCACCCAGGAGCCACAGGGCCGTGCAGGACACCCAGGCAAGGTCAGTGAACGTGGCTGCCCAGCTCAGGGCAGCATAAGGACACAGCAGGGGTGGCCACAAGGGAGCTGGGGCTGTTACCATTCCCTGCCCAAGCCTTTGGCATCACTCTCCAGAGCTCAGCATGTGCTGGGGAAGGTGGCAGCAGTGGCAGCAGACTGTCAAAGGGGACCCTGCTCTCCCAGCACCATGCCAGGAGCAAAGCCCAGCTCAGCAAAACCCACTCCCTGCTCCTCCAGGAGCCACCCTCCAACCTCAGCAAGCCAGGGCTGAACTGGGCCAGCTCACCTGGGCACACACACCCTACCTGGTCCCATCAGCCAGGATGTCCCCACTCCTGTGGACATGTACCCCTCACTGCGGGGACATCCTCGGCATCCCCACACAGGGGTGGCCCAGGGAATGGATGTGGCCACATCCCATCCACAGCTCCACTCGCCTGGAGCATCGATCACCAGCTCAGGGCTCCCCTGCACAGGGTTAAACTGCTCCGTTAGTTTCCCTCCATGGGTGGAGCAGCACTTCATGACTAATTTTCTCCATTTCTGCCATATCAGATGCAGCTCTGGGGCAATTCAATTTATCAAAGTTCCTCCTACCCCCAGCACTGCCCTGCTATGGGGCCCTGCCCCAGTTCCACACCTCTGCTGGGAGCTGAGCCATGCATGAGACACCTGCAGAAGCTGCAGATGGGGCCAGGTACCCCTGGTTACATCTCACGGGGCAAACAGGTGCCCCAGGAAGGAGCTCCTGTCCTTGTCCCGCTGCACCATGGATCTCCCACCTCCAAGTGTGACTAAGGTGTGACCAGACTGCTACACCCAGCTTAATAAGCCCCAATTTTGGGGAGGGTTTAATAGCTCCTAAGGCAATCAGCCACCTTCGAGCTCACTTCCAGCCATCCAGGATGTCCCCGTTAACCCTTTGCCATTCCAAGCTCCAGTTCTTCCTGCCCTCCATCAACCACAGTCCCCTGGCTGGCTCAGGTCCCACTGCGGAGGCTGCTGGAGCTCATCCTTATCAACAGCAGCTGATAAGAGCGCCCTGCTGAGCAGGAAAAGTGAGACCCAGGGGCCAGGACACGCCTGGCACGGAGCTGCTGGCACAGCAGATACCAGGCAGCCCCACCAAGCCCCCCAAAGCTGCTTCTTGCAGCCAATCTCCAAATTGGGGGAGCTCCTGGGGGGCACAGAGGCCTGGTGGTATTGTGTGACCGCCCTTTGCAGTGCTCAGGTGTGTTCTGTCAGGATGGGGTCAAAGAAGTGAGGTCAAAGGAGCCATCAGAGGAGCCAGAGGGGGAATTTTGCCCCTAAGCCAGGTTGGTGTGGATGGGGACACGGGCACGGAGCAGGGCTGAGTCACTTTTCTGGGGATCACAACATCAATGCCAAAGAGCCTCAGAGTGTGGCACCACTTCCCAACAGCGGGACCCCAACCCAGAGCACGCGGGGACAATCCTCAGGGTGTCACCGGCTCGAGGTGGGACCCCAGAATCCCCCAGTCACTGCCAGCCTCACACAAGCCAAGGCTTTGCACAAGAATTAATGGGCAGAGCCAAGCCCAGCGACGTCGGAGGATTCGCCCCCGCTGCGTTTATCCCGGAGCCAGTCGGTGCTTGAGCACGGAGCCGAGCAGGGACCAGGGGGACTTCAGCAGCTCTGAGCACCGCCAGGTAAGCCAGAACCAGGTGGGGGAGCAGCCCCACACCCCCACACCGCGAGTGGGTGCTGGCAGCAGAGTGATGGGGATGGGGTTTGTGATCCTGGAGAAACATTTCCCTCTTGTGGACAAACACCAACAGCCTCGGGGCAGGAGCAGGGTGATCTCCCCAGGGTTCTGCCGGCAATTCCGGCAGCTGTGGGGTCCCAGGAGCAGCATCCCCGGGGTTCCGTGGCGTGACAGGGTGACAGGGTGACACTGTCACTCACTGGCCACGCCTGGGCTGTGCCCAGCCCACGCGGCATCGCGGCTGTCAGTCCTGACAGCACCCCTGGGCGCATCCCACCTGAAATTATGACCTCCCTGCCCTAATCTCCCGCTCTCACACCCTGCCAGCTCCCTCCCACACTCAGCACCCACTCCCTTCAAGGCACCCCAGATCTGTGGTGGGTGCACCCCAAATCTCCTGAGGTCAGTCCCCCCGGGGAACAGCAGGCTCCAGACGGGGCTGCTGCAGCCTGGCCAGCCTCCCTGTCCTAAAAAAACCCCAGGAGCAGCTGGGGCTCAGCCAGAGCTGGCTGGGACCCTGAGCCCCCACGCTGCCATGCTCCTGCCTCCTGCCTCCCTGATCTGGGAGAAATGTGACCCACACACCCCTTGGCCTGGCACCAGGCTGCAGGTGGCTCTGGGTTGGCAGGGAAAGCACAGAAAGTTGAAGTTTGGCCCCAATCCTTGCTCAGCCTTCCACAGCGGGTGGGTGTCCAAGTGCTTTGCCCCTGCTCCTGATGCAGCACCCAGAGCATTGCATTCAGGGTGAATCCTGAGCCACTTGCTAAGTCCCAAAACTGTCCCCAAGGACAGCAGGGGCACACCGGGGCTCTGCTCAGCCTCAGCCTGGCAGTGCATGCTTGGAACTGGGAGCAGACCATGCCTGGAGCAGGGTGAGCCCCAGGGCAGCTGAGGTGGGCAGAAGGGCAGGGGCTGGGCACGGAGAGGGTCCCCACCATGCTCCGGCTGCTCTGCGCCGCTCACCAGGCTCCAGCAGGCTCCACGCCGGGGTGGCACCATGCCACGGTGCCCAGGAGCGGGGGAGGCACCCGGAGCTTTCTCTTCCAGCCGCAGACATCAAGGCAGCATCCGTGTTTAATGTCAGAACAGCAGCACACAGCATCCACAGCCTGTGGGGTCTCCACCCTGAGGGGCACCGGTGCCCCCGACCCTCCTGCACATGCACAGCGTCCCCGGTCTGGCTCTGCCACGGCCCCGGTGATGCTTCCCCCGGCCCCGGGGATGCTTCCCACGGCTCCGGGGATGCTTCCCCCGGCCCCAGGGATGCTTCCCCCAGCCCCGGGGATGCTTCCCCTGGCTCCAGGGATGCTTCCCACAGCCCCGGGGATGCTTCCCCCGGCCCCGGGGATGCTTCCCACGGCCCCAGGGATGCTTCTCCCAGCCCCGGGGATGCTTCCCACGGCCCCGGGGATGCTTCCCCCAGCCCCGGGGATGCTTCTCCCGGCCCCGGGGATGCTTCCCCCAGCCCCGGGGATGCTTCCCACAGCCCCGGGGATGCTTCCCACAGCCCCGGGGATGCTTCCCCAGGTCCGAGCCCGTCCGGCCCGGTTGTGTCCAGCCCCTGGAGGCCACGGGCGGCTCAGCCCCGTCACTGCCGCTGCCACAGGTAGGTCTGGATGGAGTTGGCCGGAGCCACGGCTGCCACCAGGCCGACGGTGTCCGCCAGCCCAAAGGTGATGTCCTGTGGGGACCTGGGAGGGGACAGAGCGGTGGTTAGACCTGCAGCACCTGCACAGGGCCCGGGGGGATGGGGTCACACAGAGGGATGGCAGGATGGGGGTCCCACATGGGGCTGGCAGGATGGGGGTCCCACAGAGGGATGGCAGGATGGGGGTCACACATGGGGCTGGCAGGATGGGGGGTCCCACAGAGGGATGGCAGGATGGGGGTCCCACAGAGCTGAAGGGACAGGGGTCCCACATGGGGCTGGCAGGATGGGGCTCCCACATGGGGATGGAAGGATGGGGGTCCCACATGGGACTGGCAGGATGGGGGTCCCACAGAGGGATGGCAGGATGGGGGTCCCATACAGAGCTGAAGGGACAGGGGTCCCACATGGGGCTGGCAGGACGGGGGTCCCACAGAGGGATGGCAGGATGGGGGTCTCACATGGGGCTGGCAGGATGGGGGTCCCACATGGGGCTGGCAGGATGGGGGTCACACATGGGGCTGGCAGGATGGGGGTCCCACATGGGGCTGGCAGGATGGGGTCCCACAGAGGGTTGGCAGGATGGGGGTCTCACAGAGGGATGGCAGGATGGGGGTCTCACAGAGGGATGGCAGGATGGGGGTCACACATGGGGCTGGCAGGACGGGGGTCCCACAGAGGGATGGCAGGATGGGGGTCCCACATGGGGATGGAAGCATGGGGGTCCCACATGGGGCTGGCAGGATGGGGGTCCCACAGAGGGATGGCAGGATGGGGGTCCCACATGGGGCTGGCAGGATGGGGGTCACACATGGGGATGGCAGGATGGGGGTCCCACAGAGGGCTGGAAGGATGGGAGTCCCACATGGGGATGGCAGGATGGGGGTCCCACATGGGGCTGGCAGGATGGGGGTCTCACAGAGGGATGGCAGGATGGGGGTCTCACAGAGGGATGGCAGGATGGGGGTCACACATGGGGCTGGCAGGACGGGGGTCCCACAGAGGGATGGCAGGATGGGGGTCCCACATGGGGATGGAAGCATGGGGGTCCCACATGGGGCTGGCAGGATGGGGGTCCCACAGAGGGATGGCAGGATGGGGGTCCCACATGGGGCTGGCAGGATGGGGGTCACACATGGGGATGGCAGGATGGGGGTCCCACAGAGGGCTGGAAGGATGGGAGTCCCACATGGGGATGGCAGGATGGGGGTCCCACATGGGGCTGGCAGGATGGGGGTCCCACAGAGCTGAAGGGACAGGGGTCCCACAGAGGGATGGCAGGATGGGGGTCACACATGGGGCTGGCAGGATGGGGGTCCCACAGAGGGATGGCAGGATGGGGGTCCCATACAGAGCTGAAGGGACAGGGGTCCCACATGGGGCTGGCAGGATGGGGGTCCCATACAGAGCTGAAGGATCAGGGGTCTCACAGAGGGATGGCAGGATGGGGGTCCCACAGAGGGATGGAAGGATGGGGGTCCCACAGAGGGATGGAAGGATGGGGGTCCCACATGGGGATGGCAGGATGGGGGTCCCACAGAGGGCTGGCAGGATGGGGGTCCCACACGGGGGCCAGGCTGCATCACCCACCGGTTCAGAACCACCACAACCACGGCCCCGTCGGGGCGCAGGAAAGCCGTGTACTCCAGCGCTGTCTTCTTGGACTCTCTGGAGGCGACGAGCCCCACACGCTGGGATCCCTCAGGGATGAATTTACTGAATAGACAAATGAGAAGCGAGCTCAGGGTGGGAGTGAGACCCCAGCAGAACTCCTCTCCAGACAAATTTGCCTTGCATCTCTCAGGACAAGCTGCTGCTGGAGCCCAGGCAGGTTAGCACATGCTGTGGGCTCCAGCCCACCTGAAGTGCCCCATGTGATAGAACATGGGCTGTTTGTAGAAGATGCCTTCACTGCTGTCCACGATGATGGGGCTGTCCACATAGTTCTTGACCCAGTTAGGGCCCCCCTCCAGATCCAGAGCCAGATTCCAGTCGGTCCAGCCGGACACATAGTGGTTCAGATTCTGCAACAGGACAGCTCAGATGCCTGCCCAACACCACCAACCCTCCCCAGGGCCCAGCACCCAGGGGCCTCACCGTCAGGATGCTGTGGCTGTACTGGTTCCCCCGCTCCCAGCAGCCCAGAATCACATCCCGCTCCCAGAAATGGGCCCCAATGCACGCCTCAGTGGCCAGGATAAAGTAGTCAGGGAAGAGCTCATGAGTGGGCAACACCGTGTCCTGGATGGGACCGATGAAGTCCAGGTACCAGTGGATGCCGATGCCGTGGACGTAGCGAGCTGCCCCCTCGTCCTCCAGCACCTGGCAGGGAGAAGAGTGGATCCCATGGGGCTTGACTCCCAACCCTCCTCAGGACGGAGCACCCAAGCCCCCCACAAGGCCAGGGGCTCTGTCCTGGGTCACCACGCTGGCACACGCCCCCACCAGCCTCACCACTCTGGCCCAGTGCGGGAGGTGGAGCCGGTTGTCGTCCAGGATGATGAGCTGGACGTGGCGGTGGGAGCTGTTGGCCAGCGCCGGGCCCAGGTCCCGAGCGATGAAGTCCCGCTGCTGCTCGGCTGTGAAACCCAAACACTGGAAGGGGTAGTTGTTGATCAGCCCAGCCGTGGGCTCGTTCTCTGCTGTCACTGCCCAGAATGTCACATTGTGCTTGGCGTATTCATCCAGGAATCTGGCGTGGGGGAAGGGGTGAGTGGTGAGGAGTCCACTGCGAGTCCCCCGGGTGTTGCCCCGGTCCCCCAGCAGCTCCTCACCGTACAAAATAGTTGGCCCAGGTCTTGTGGTACTTGTCCCCTGCCTGCCCCTTCAGTGTCCCCTTGCCCACGTAGGACTCGCTGGTCTTCAGCCACGTGGGGGACGTCCAGGGGCTGGCATAGAGCGACAGCGGCCGCTTGCTCATGGCCGAGGCTCGGTGAAGGAGGGGGATCTGCAGGAGGAGGTGTGTCACAGCCCCTGTGACCTTCCAGCCCACCCTGCTCCCTCCCAGCGCTCGCCTTCAGCTTGGTGTCCTCATCTCGCAGGCTGAAGTGGGCGAGCTCGTAGTCGTAGGGGACGTCGTCGTAGGTGTAGGCATGGAGGGAGAAGTCGCAGCTGGCCATGGGGAGCCGGATGAGGTTGTACTCCAGCCCTGCCAGCACAGCGGGACACGAGGTGTCCGAGACATGCCAGCACCCACAATCCCTGTCCCCATCCCACCTCCCTCCCCGACATCCTACCCTCCTCGGAGAAGTAGGAGCGCAGCAGGTGATCCTGTGCTCCTTCCGGCAGGGATAAGATGTTGATGGCGGCCGCGTCGGTGATGGAGCCACCAAAACCCTTCACCTTCTGAAACCGCTGCGTCGTGTCCAGCGTGAGGACAACATCTGCAGGGAGGGGAGCCCAGCATGACGGTGGGTTGCTGTGGGCTCCATCCCATCCCTGCCATCCCTGGCAGTACCTGAGGGGCAGAGCCTGCGCTGGAATTTCCCCTCGCTCCGCTCCAGCCGCTTGCCGGCCTTGCTGCTTTCATACTTGACGAAGTAGCCTGGTGCTGGCAGGACCAGGGGGTCCAGCGTGTCACAGAAGGTGGCATTGCAGACGCAGACCATGGCATCATAGCCGAAGTACTTGGGGCTGCAGGGCCGGGCGCCTGGGGGGCACGGGAGGGTGGTGGGGGCAGCCTCAGGGACGTGTCCCTGCCTGCCCCGGGGGTGATGCCACTGCTCCTGTGCTCCACACCCCGGAACCTCCGCAGCACCGAGCTCCGCGCTGCCTCCGGACCCCCGGACAACTCCCGGACCCCCGGACAACTCCCGGGCATCCCGGACAACTCCCGGACCCGCGGACAACTCCCGGGCATCCCTGACAACTCCCGGACCCCCGGACAACTCCCGGGCATCCCTGACAACTCCCGGGCATCCCGGACAACTCCCGGACCCCCGGACAACTCCCGAGCATCCCTGACCGCGGACTCCAAAGGTATTCTCTCCTCCTCACCGCCACCAGACCCCCGTCCCCTCCACCCGCCCCCGGGTCCCCCTCGCTCACCTGCAGCCCGGTGCACGGCCAGCAGCGCCAGCAGCAGCCGCCAGCACGGGGCACCGACAGCCCGCATGGCCCCGCCGCTCCCGGTGCGCTCGGAGCCGGCCCGGTAGCACCGGCTCCGCCACCGGCCTTGCCTTTAAGGCAAGCTCGTCCCGCCCACGCCCGGTGCAGAACGGCACCGACTCTGGGCGGGCCTCACCCCGGTCCTTCCCCCGTGCCCGTTCTGGCACCGCGAACCGGGGAACCCCGGGGTCGCTTCCCCCCGCCCCCTCCCCGAGAAGCGCAGGAGGTCCCGGTCCCGGTATCGGTATCGGTCCCGGTCCCAGCCCCGGTCCCGGTCCCCGCTGCCTCCCCACGCCCCGACAGCACCGTTCACCCCGCCCCGCCAAGCCGCTACCGGGAAACCGGGAACCGGCACCCCGTGACCGCTCAGCTGACCGCCCGCCCCGCCCCGTTCGGCCCCGCCCGCCCCGTGACACCGGCCCCGTGGGCGGCGGTGAGCACCTTTATTCGGTCTCTAGCGAGCGGCGGTGGCCGCAGGACCGGCCCCGCAGCGCGGCCCGGGCGCAGCCGGGCGGGGAGGAACAGGCACGGCCAGCACCGGGACCGGCACCGGCACCGGCACCGGGACCGGCACCGGGCGGGAGAGGAGATGGGCACAGGGGGACAGAGCAAGGGACAGGCATGGTCGTCCTGGAGGACAGGCACGGCTGGCACAGGGCACCGAGAATCAAGCCAGCATGGCCAGCCAAAAGAACAAGGCAGAAGACAGGCACGGCCAGTGGAGGGGACAGGGCAGGGGACAGGGGTGGCGATCAAGCCAGCATAGCCAGCCAAAGGGACAGGGCAAAGGACAGCATGGCCAGGGCAGGGGACAGGCGACAGGCATGGTTGCCCCAGGGCACAGGCACGGCTGGCACAGGGAACGGGTATGGCCGGTGCGTGGGTCAGGCACAGCCACCACAAGGGACAGGGCAGGGGACAGGCGTGGCCATCCCAGGGAATAGGCACAGCTGGCACAAGGGACAGGGCAAGGGACAGGCATGTCCAGAACAAGGAATAGGACAGGGAACGGGCATAACCATCACAGCTGTCCCGGCCCCCAAGGGGACCAGCCCCCAACCCCGGCCCTGCTTGGGGAAGGGGCTCAGCCGAAGCCCCGGGGCAGCAGCAATGTCCGAGCAATGTCCAGGGCTGAGCCCAGAGTGGGATTCCCTCCCCACAGCGGAGGGATGACGCCCTCAGAGCGCGCTCTCCTTGCAGGTCCCGCTGAGGCTCCGGGGGCGGCCGCGCTCCAACCGGCGAGTGGACAGGAGCCGCCGCAGGGACGAGGTGGAGCTCAGGTCCCCGCAGCTCTGCAGGTGGATTCCTTCGTGGGGCTGCTCTGTGCCTGGCCAGGCACTCCAGGGGACCTGCAAGCCATGGGGACGGGCTGCAGCCACCAGGGATGGATACCCTGCTTGTGACACCCCTGCCTGTGACACCCCTGCCCGTGGCACCCCTGCAATGACACCCCTGCAGTGACACCCCTGCCATGACACCCCTGCAATGACACCCCTGCCCATGACACCCCTGCAATGACACCCTGCCCGTGGCACCCCTGCAACGACACCCCTGCAATGACACCCCTGCAATGACACCCCTGCCCATGACACCCCTGCCCATGACACCCCTGCAATGACACCCCTGCAATGACACCCCTGCCTGTGACACCCCTGCCCGTGGCACCCCTGCAATGACACCCCTGCAAAGACACCCCTGCCCGTGGCACCCCTGCAATGACACCCCTGCAATGACACCCCTGCAATGACACCCCTGCAATGGCACCCCTGCAATGACACCCCTGGCATGACACCCTTGCAATGACACCCCTCCAATGTCACCCCTGCCCATGGCACCCCTGCCCGTGACACCCCTGCAATGACACCCCTGCAATGACACCCCTGCAATGGCACCCCTGCCAGGACACCCCTGCAATGACACTCTGCCCGTGTCACCCTCCCACATTCACCCCCCTGTGCTCGACCCTCCGCGCTCCAGTGCGGCCAGGTGGCACACGGGGCAGGAGGACAGAGGTGACAGGGATGGCAGAGGCGTGCATCATGCGCCCACACTGGCATTTGGGACAGGTTGGCTCCCGTAAAGCTGCAGTGACTCAGGGACAAAGCCAAAGCCATTGCAACAGGCACCATTTTCCCACCTCCAGTGGCTCCAGTGGGGATCAAGGAAAAGGAGCTGCCCCCCAGGAAGGGCTGGGCAAGGACAGAGCTGCAGGAAGAACGCTCTGCCTGCAGCCAGGGTGCCCACACGGAAACAAAGGAAGGGTGGGAAGGTGGAGGTGTTGATGGGGAGAGAAGGGAGGGTGAGTGTGGATGGTTCTCTGGGAAGGAGTTGCCCATCCTTCTATAGCTTCCAGAACTCACCTGTTTGTGCCCGTGGAAGCTGTGCCCAGACACCTCCATGCCAGCTGCCAGGCTGCGCTTGGGTCTCTGCAGGAACCTGGCCACCAGCCCACGGGTGCCTCGGTAGCCCTTGAGGTCCCCCAGGGAGCGGGTGGTTGTCTTGGACAGCTGCTGTGGCACCTTTTTGCAGGGTGGCAGCTTGTTCTTCCCCACGGAGCCGGCCCGGAGCAGCGGCGGGGAGTCACAGTGGGAACGGTGGAGCAGGCAGGCCTCGGAGCACAGCCCTGCAGAGTGGGTGCTGTCAGACTTGGGACACTGCCCTGATGGACCTGTCCTCGTCATCAGACCCAGGACACTGCTCTGACAGGCACAGGACACTGCCCTGATGGATCCACCCTCACCATCAGACCTGGGACACTGCCCTGATGAACCTCTCCCCACTGTCAGAGCCAGGACATTGCTCTGACAGTCCTGTCCTCGTCATCAGACCTGGGACACTGCCCTGATGGACCTCTCCCCACTGTCAGAGTCAGGACACTGCCCTGATGGATCCACCCCCACCATCAAACCTGGGACACTGCTCTGACAGTCCTGTCATTGTCATCAGACCCAGGACACTGCCCTGATGAACCTCTCCCCATTGTCAGAGCCAGGACATTGCTCTGACAGCCCTGTCCTCGTCATCAGACCCAGGACACTGCTCTGACAGGCACAGGACACTGCCCTGATGGATCCACCCCCACCATCAAACCTGGGACACTGCTCTGACAGCCCTGTCCTCGTCATCAGACCCAGGACACTGCTCTGACAGGCACAGGACACTGCCCTGATGGACCTGTCCCCACTGTCAGAGCCAGGACACTGCTCTGATGGGTCCATCCCCACCATCAGACCCGGGACACTGCCCTGATGGACCTCTCCCCACTGTCAGAGCCAGGACACTGCTCTGACAGCCCTGTCATTGTCATCAGACCCAGGACACTGCCCTGATGGATCTGTCCCCATTGTCAGAGCCAGGACATTGCTGTGACAGGCACAGGACACTGCTCTGAGGGATCCACCCCCACCATCAGACCCAGGACACTGCCCTGATGGACCTGTCCCCATTGTCAGAGCCAGGACATTGCTGTGACAAGCACAGGACACTGCTCTGAGGGATCCACCCCCACCATCAGACCTGGGACACTGCTCTGATGGACCTGTCCCCACTGTCAGAGTCAGGACACTGCTCTGATGGATCCATCCCCACCATCAGACCCAGGACACTGCTCTGATGGACCTGTCCCCACTGTCAGACCCCAGGATGCTGCTCCCAGCAGACCCATCCTCAGAGGCCTGGAGTCCTGCTGTCTCCCATGCCCAGTCAGCAGGAGCAGTCCCACCATTGTTCCAGCCCCAACAGGGTGAGCTCAATCCCCAGAGGGTTACAGACACCCCATCCCACGCCCCCTTTGTATCCCAGTACATCCCAGTGCCCTGACCTGTATCAGCGGAGGAGTCGGACACGGTGTCCTCCAGTGCTTTGGTATAAAGAACTTCCCTGAAATCTGCTGGGAGCAGAGAGAGCCCTCAGGCCTCGGCAGCTGTGCACACCCCAGGCAGCACAAGCTCCCAGGCCAGCAGACCTCCCCTGCTGCCCCCATTCCTTCCAGACCGGCTCTAATCCCACCCGGCCGCAGAAAAACACAGCCAAACCCCGCGGCTGCGCCGCACAGACGCCGCCACGCTCCCATCCCATCCCATCCCATCCCATCCCATCCCATCCCATCCCATCCCATCAATCCCATCCCATCCCATGGATCCCACCTCATGGATCCTATCCCACCCCATGGATCCCATCCCATCCCATGGATCCCATCCCATCCCATCCCAACCCAACCCATCCCACTCAGGTGTATGGATGAGTCCTCTCCCTCTCCATTGGAAGTGATCTCCTTCCCCTTCCTATTTCATCCCATCTTATCCCATCATGTTCCATCCTTTCTCCCCACCAGGTAGAAGGATGAGTCTTCTCCCTCCTAATCAGCAGGATGTGCCTTCCATGCCATGCCATGCCATGCCATGCCATGCCATGCCATGCCATGCCATGCCATGCCATGCCATGCCATGCCATGCCATGCCATGCCATGCCATGCCATGCCATGCCATGCCATGCCATGCCATGCCTTCCCATCCCATCCCATCCCATCCCATCCCATCCCATCCCATCCCATCCCATCCCATCCCATCCCATCCCATTGATCCCATCCCATCCCATCCCATCCCATTGATCCCATCCCATCCCATTGATCCCATCCCATCCCATCCCATCCCATTCATCCCATCCCATCCCATCCCATCCCATCCCATCCCATCCCATCCATCCCATCCCATCCCATCCCATCCCATCCCATCCCATCCCATCCCATCCCATCCCATCCCATCCCATCCCATCCCATCCCATTGATCCCATCCCATCCCATCCCATTGATCCCATCCCATCCCATCCCATCCCATCCCATCCCATCCCATCCCATCCCATCCCATCCCATCCCATCCCATCCCATCCCATTATCCCATCCCATGCCATCCCATCCCATCCCACAGCTGGTTGTCACCTACCAGCACGGCCAAGCATGGGCACGCCGGGGTCACTATGTGCCCTCAGCAGCGGGCGCGGGGCCAGCCCCGGGGCCGGGGACGAGGGGCAGGAGGTCTCGCTGTTGCGCCGGGGGTGTCCGGTGGCGGTGTCCGTGGGACGGCCACCCCCACGTCCCCGTGGCGTGGAGCCCTTGTCCTTGAGGCGCACCTCGGGGAAGCACGGCCCGGCACAACGCGCCGGCCCCACCAGCCTGTTGCAGCTGTGGGTGACAGCTCCCCCCACCAAAACGCCATCGGGGCCGGGCTCTGCGGTGGAGCAGGAGTAGGATCGCTCACCCCGCACACGGGGTTGGGGGGTCTCCTCGAAGGGACCCTGCAAGGCCAGCGTGGGGCTGCGGGCGTGGTGGCTGCACTGCACGCAGTCCACGCTCAGGCAGTAATCGGCGCGGCTGCGCTGGATGGAGCGGAACAGGACGTAATCCACGGAGCGCATGGAGCCCTGCAGCTCCAGCAGGCACGAGTCCTCCGAGGGGCTGCTGTCCCCGGGGATGTCCATGATCTCGGACATGATCAGCGACCCGCTGTCCATGGAGACTGCAAGGAGAGGATGAGCACCGCTGAGGAGCTGCTACGGCCCCGCTGCCATCCCCGTACCCGGGGGGACGCTCACCTTCCCCGCTGAGCACGATGGAGGGGACACGGTCGCAGGTGCAGGCGTGGGAGCTCTCAGTCAGCTGCGAGTCGAACAGGGTGACCTGTGGGACAGCAGGCTCAGGGCTCGGCTGAGCACAAACCCACCCTGCCCTCCCCACGGCCCCATGGACCCCACCTGGCTGTCCCCCCGCAGCCCCATCACAGTCTCGTAGGATGGGGGGAAATCGGTTGGGTAGAGGGGCACGGGGCTGTCCATGGAGCCGTTGTAGGTGATGCTGCAGAGGTAAGAGCAGAAAAGCCACACTGGGTGGGACAAGCCCAGCCTGGGCCCCCTGCCCTGCCAGCCTTGCTCCCAGCTGGTACCTCTGCGCATCCGTCTCGGAGCTGCAGGTGTACTCAGGTGGGTAGTAGGGGGGTGGTGGCACTGGAGGCACAAACTCCTCGAAGTCCATCATGCTCTGCAGAAAGGTGTCAGGTGGGGACGTGCATTCCAACGTCACAGAGCTCGAGCGCTGCGGGACCAGCTGCGGGGAGAGGGGAGAAGGGAGAGCTGAGACCTCCTGCCTAGAGATCCAGCACGGGATGTGCATCCTGGGCTTTCATCTGCAGCTGGCTGGGGCCAGGTCCTGCCCTGGCACCCCAGGCACCACCCCTGGGCCAGAGCTGGCACTCACCACATGGACAATGTCAAGGGAGAAGATCTGGATGCAGCACACGACAGCAGAGAGCATGCAGATGACGGTGGAGAAGATGGTCAAGCCACAGACACTGAAGAGGAGATCCTGGGGAGCAGTGGGGTGAGCTGCAGAGCCCGCAGAGCGTGGCCGCTTCCCAGGGAGCCCTTGCATCCCCCTGCTCCTCCACCTTGAGTGCCACACGGATGCTCCGGCAGTTGGGGTTGGGGAACATGGTCAGCATCTCGCTCTGCTGGCTGCAGGAGGCGGGCGGGGGCTCCGAGCGGGCCTGGCAGCAGACACACGTGTCCCTCTCCTGGGGACAAGAAACGCTGCCAGGAAGCCACCAGCACACCCGACCCCAGCCCCGCAGCTCCCCGTGTCCCCAGGGAGGCCCGGGGGTCTCTGCTCAGCCTCACCCTCTCACAGGCCTCCAGGGTCTTCACCAGCTGCGCGTTCTGGCACGAGAGGATGGAGCCAGCCAGGCTCAGCATGACGCCCAGCACCGACAGCAGCGCGAAGAAGGCGATCTGCAGCGGGAGGAGAGGATGGGCTGCGGGCTGCACACCCTGGAGCACAGGGGGGGTGTTCCTCAGCCTCCCCATCCTGGTCCCCCCAACACCTACCACCAAGGTGAGCGGCCGCTTCCAGGAGATGACGCCGACCAGCCCAGACAGTGCCAGCTGCAGGTGCACAAGCGCCGGGGTGAGCACGGGGAGAAGCTCTGCCAGGCTGCGGGGCCCCGAGCAGCCCCTGCCCACGGGCAGAGCCCCCTGGTCCCTGCAGGCCTGAGCCAGCCCAGCAGCAGTGGGGCTGTAGGAGCAGCCCTGGCGCCACAAGATGGGAGAAACTGCTGATTCAGGGCTGGGCAGCAAAGCCAGGCCAGGATCTGTGCTGTACAATCACCACGGGGGACCCCGAGTGCTGCCCTCACCCCAATCCCCAGCAGACAGAGCAGAGCCCCCATCGCCACCCTGTCCCTGCCCTGTTGTCACTGTGGTGCCCCACGCCCCTCCCCGCCCAGGACAGTCCCCCCGCACCCCTTGGGGGTCCCCATCCCTCACACAGTCACCCTGGGGGAGCCCTTGGGATACTCCCACAATGCACCGCGGCAGCCACGGGCAGAGGATGGGGGAGCAGCGGGGCTGCCCTCCCCGGGGACCGGCGGCCAGCTCAGCCCCCAGGGAGCAGCGCAGCCCCCTCGGCCCCGCACTCACCGAGAAGCCGGCCCAGGACGGGCAGGAGTGACGGATTCTGGTGGAGGGAGTGATGGTGGCCGCCACCAGGCTGAAGGTGACGATGAGGACGCCCAGGATGGCTTGCACGAGACCCAGCACCAGCAGGACCTGCAGCCAGGTGCGCTGGAGGCGGAGGTGGGTGAGGCTGCGGGAGCTGCGGCCGGTCAGCGAGCGGCTGGAGTCGGTGGGGGAGGGCATGGCCGCGGCGGGCGGCGGCTCGGGGCCGGCCCCGGAGCCCCGGGGCAACCGGCGGCACCGCGCCAGGACCGCGGGGAGCGGGAGCAGCCGCTCTGCGGGAACGGGCCGGGCTCCACCTTTCGGCCTGCCGGAGGATGCTGACGGTGCCTCTTCCCTGCCCCGGGAGGGGGGGTCGGGCAGCGCCCACGGACACGCGGAGCCGGGACCGCCAGAAGCTCCGTGGAGTAAAAACCGGCCTCGCCAGACCGGGGCGGGCCTAAAACCGCCGACCGGACACACCGCGCGGCCCCGGGACCGCCGCTGCCTCCTCCCTGGCCGTCGGTGGAGCGCCGGGCCCCCGCCGGGAGCTCATCCCGCCCCGCGGGGACCGGGAGCCGCCGCCCGGGACGCGGCCCCCGGGGCAGCGGCAGCAGGCGGGAGCCGCGGTCCGCACCGGAGCATCCTCCGCGGGCGGCGGGCGCAGGGTTGGGTCCCGCTACCGGGCCGGTACCGGTAGGGGAGGGCGGCTACCGGCGGTCCGTCCGCCCCGTGCCCCGCAGCCCCGGTGCCGCGGGGAGCGGCGGGCGGGGACGCCGGGACGGCGGAAAGCTGCGGACGAGCATCGCCGCCGCCGCCGCTGTGCCCTCGGGGACCGGCGGGAGCGGCGGGGACGGTCCCACGGGCCGGAGGATGCTTGGCCGCGCCCGCTCCGGGGCCGGCCCCGTGCGGCACGACGGGAGCTGTAGTCCACCCGCACCACCCCCGGGAGCGGCGGCACCGGCGGCACCGGCAGCGGCTCCCCCCAGCCCCGGTAGGCGCACGGAGATGGCGAAGGAACGGAGTGAACCTTCATTTATTCCTTAAATAAACCGGGAGCGCTCGGGAACAGCACACGGGGAGCAGCGGAGGAGGCGGGAGCCCCGGAGGAGCCCCGGTCGCAACGGGACCGGGAGGGCACCGGCCCCCACAGCTGAAGGCACAAAGCCTCCCGCCAGCCCCGGAGCATCCGAGAGGAGATGGACTGAAGCAGAATGCAGGAGACCTGTCCTGGGGATCCCCAGGGACACCAGGGCAGGGGACAGAGGGCAGGTAAGGGGGGCTGGCTCAGCCCCCGAGGAGCGTGAAGGCCTTGGCTGAAGGGTGCTGGGGGCAGCAAGGGGTCACAGTCCTGGAAGCGGGTGGGGAGGGGGACTGGAGGAGCTGTTCAGCCCTCCCTGGAGGCAAGGGGGTGCCATGTAAACGCCAGGGCTCCTCCTCGGCACCCAGCCCAGCTTTGGGTTCCACCAGGCGAAAGGCAGGATCCCCACAAGCAGCAGCTGCCTGAGCTCTGCCTGTCCCTGCCCTGCTCTCCTCATCCCTGGGCCTGAAGAGAGGGAGAGGATGGGGAAAGGGACAGGACAAAAGGACGAGACACCCTGGGGAAAGCACCAGCCCCATCCTCATCCCACTGGAGCAAGCCCCAGGAGGAAGAGGGGGATGACGTTCTTGGCAGAGCATGGGGGTCCCTGGGCACACAGGGGGGCAGGGGACCCTCCACACCCCGGGGCACACAAGTGTCATCACCAGGTGGGGAAACAGGAGAGCACAAGGAAGGCAAGTTCCATCCCTGGAAGCAGCATTCCAGCCATCTGGAGGAGGCTCCTACCCTCAGCAGCTGGTGCTGGAAGGGCGGGCGATGGCTCAGGGCTCGTCCTTAGCACTCCCCACCCTTCTCCCCCCAATCTGCTGAGGGGAGGGGACCAGCACAAACCAGCACAGCCTCTGTCCGTGAGGAAAGGGGGTTAAGAGCAGCAGACGATTCAGGCACCAGCACTTCCAAGCTGGGATGAGGCAGCCTCTGACAGCTGATGCAGACGCACGGGGATCCAGTGAAAGTGCGACTCGGGTTTCCTCTTCCTCGGGAAGAGCTCCCGTGCGCCGGGGAGGGGCAGGGCCGGCACCCGCGGGGCTACGGGGCACGGAAGGCGTTGGTGGCCGCGCCCGCGGCGGCGTTGGCCGCGGCCGTGCGCACGGCCTGGTTGGAGAAGACCCCGGCTGCAAACTCCTCCTGGGCCTTCTGGAAGCTGGCACCCGTGCGGCGGTACAGAGAGTGGATCTGAGGGCAGGAGCAGGGAGTAAACAGAGTTGTGACAGCCCAAACCTCCCCACAAAGGGACAGCTCCAGGTTTTGATCCTAACCCACCTTTTTCAGCATAATGATCCCCAGCACAGCCACCGCCGTGAAGGACAAGGACACCAGGATCATCATCACGGCCACGGCCGTGTTAGTCCGCAGTGCTATCAGGCTCAGGATCCAGCCGCTGCAAAACAAGAGGTTGTTGTCCCCAAATTCCCTCTCCCCCACCCGCCTCTTGCCTTGCCAGGGTCAGCACACAGCGCACCTGAATCCCCAGTTTGGGATGCCAATGGCCTGCAGCACATACATCACGTTCTGGGCGAAGAAGACGAAGAAGAAGACAAAGAAGTTGAAGGAACTGTCGCTCCTGGGAGGAAGAAATGGGCAAGGTTAGGCCACAGGAGGAAGCTCTCAAATTTTCCTTAAAGCAGAACGGGGAGCTCGGGGTGGAACAGAGGCAGAGGCCCCCAGGAGCCAGAGCACAGGGCTGAGGGACACACCTGAAAGCTTTGTACATGGGCCGATACCAGCAGACGAAGGAACAGGGCGTGTAGAGCAGAGCCCAGAGGATGGAGAGGCCAAACCCAGACCCGGACGTGGGGTCCACGCAGAACCAGGCGAGCGAGGCCAGGAAGTTCAGGAAGAGAGCGATGGTGCTGGCTGAGGGAGAGGAGAACTCTCAGGAGCCAATCCAACCCCCACCACCACTTTTTCATCCCAATTTCCCCAGAGCAGCAGCACAGGACATTCATCCTTCCACCTGCCCCCAGGCTGGCCTGGAGACTCACCCATCCAGAGGTAGTACATGGTTGTCACTGTCTTCTGGAAGTCAGCGGGGATCTCCACGGGGATGTCCTGGTAGAAGCAGGGCTTCACCGGGCAGAAGGACGGCAGCGGCGGCCAGTTGTTGAGCCTCGCTGCGGAGGGAAAGGGGTGAGGAGAAGCGATGAGGGGACCAAGGGGGTTCCCATCCCCGCCCAGCCCCGCAGCCACTCACTCTGGGAACCGCCGAGGGCCGCGTTCTGCAGCTCCCGCTCCCGCCGGTCCAGCTCCTCCGCTTTCCGGTTCAGCTCCTCCTGCCGCTTCAGCAGCTCCGCCGTGGCGGCGGCGGCGGCCGAGGCCTGCGGAGGGGGGGGACACAAACCCTGAGCTCCCGCCGCCGCCCGAGTCCCCCCGGCGCGGCGGCGCCTCCGCCCGTACCTGCGAACCGTACGAGCCGTAGTTACGGGGCTCGGTGGGACTCGCCTTCCGCGGGGGCTGCGCGGCCGCCGGTACCGGGGGCGGCGGCGCTACCGAGGGGGTCTGGAACGGCGGCGGTGGCTGTAGGAGAAGAGGATAGAGGTGAGACCGCGCCGGCAGCGGGGAGCGCTCCGCTTCGCCGGGAAGACGATCCGGTGCACGGGCAGGCCCCGGTGTGCGGGCAGGCCCCGGCGCTCACCGCGTCGCTCTCGAAGGGGTTGTAGCCATCCAGCACGGCGGCGGGCCGGGGCTGCAGCGCCGCGGGGTCCTGGAAGGGGTTGTCCGGGAGCACGGCGGGGCCGCCGCGCTGGGCCATGGCCGGACCGGGGCCGGGAGCGCGCGGGACCCGCGGCACCGGCGCCAGGCCCCGCCCCTCCCCGCCGCTGATTGGCTCCGCTGCTCCGTGACGTCACCGGGGAACCCGCCCCGCCCCGCCGCCGATTGGCTCCGCCGCGCCGTGACGTCATCGCGGAGCCCCGCCCCGCCCCGCCGCAGAGGGCCGCTGCGCACGCGCCACGGGGCGGGGCGCGCGCGTGACGCGGCCACGTGTCCCGGGGGTCACGTGCGGCGCACCCATCTCACCCCCCCACACACACACCCCCCCCCCCCACCGAGCCCCGATTTCCTTTGGGGTCCCCCCAGACAGTGGCGGCCGGGACGGGACCCCAGCACCTCCCGGTGTCCCGGTATCCATCGCCCGTTACCTCCCGGTGTCCCGATATCCATTGCCCATCACCTCCCGGTGTCCCGCTATCCATTGCCTGTCACCTCCCGGTGTCCCGGTCACACCCCGCTGTCCCGCTATCCATCGCCCGTCACCTCCCGGTGCCCCGGTATCCATCACCGTCGCCTCCCGGTGTCCCGGTATGCAGGCATTACCCCGGGGGTCGCGGGGGCCGCTCCGGCAGCTGCCACCGACAGCAGCCAGGGAGTCGCCTGGGGAATTTCTCCTGTGGCTCCTGGGGCAGTTATTTATAGGAATCTCCAAATTCTTCCACTCCAGCTGCCCCTGGACCGCACAGTGACCCCATCCCGGGACCGGGACACCGACCCGTCCCTGCCCGGGACCGGGACACCGACCCGTCCCTGCCCGGTCCCCTCAAAATACCCTCTGAACAGACCGAGAGTGACATATGAATCCCACAGGTGAGCCCAAACCTGGAGCAGCTCCTGGCAGAAGCTGTGGATTTGGATTTTGGTCAGCAGCATGAATTTGTTATTTTCTTGAAGCCGATTTAATTCTCCTCCAGCCTCAGTGTGGGGCTGGGCACAGGGGCGGTGGGACAGGAGCTGCTCCTGCTGCCTCAGGAAGGTGAGGAGAGTTGGGATCACAAGCCCATGGAGATCACTCAGTGTCAGTGTCACCCTTCCCCACACTCCCTCCAGGTGAAACCAGACTTTTCCTGTCACCTCTGCACGGTGACAGCCTGGTGGTGTCACAGCAGAGGGATAGGCAGAGCCTGTTACCCTCTCTCACCCCTGCCCTCAGCTGTGACACAGCCTCAAAAACGCCCAGGGAACAGCCCAAAACAAGGCCCAGCCTCCCTGCAGAGCTGGGAAAAGTCAAAAAGACACCACCAGGCCTGGGGTGGGTGTAGGACAGCTGGATGTGGGTTCCTGACAACCCCTTTTCCAACAGCCACCACCAGCAGCCAGAGGTTCCTTCAGGTGAGAGCAGCTCCCCGAGGGCCTCACTGTCCTTTCTGTGCCTCCCACCCCAAAAATGGACCCAGGCCATGAAGAAAGGGCCAGTCCCTGATTTTCTGCCCCACACAACAGCATCTGGTGGCCAACAGCCAACAGCAGCTCCTGCTCAGTGTAGGAATGGTGCAGCTGGATCACAAAGTTCCTTTCATCTCTCCTTTCCCCCACAGGGCACAGTAGAACAACCCCAGGCTCAGCTGCTGCCGGGCCAAACCCAGACCAGGTGCTTTATTCACTTCATATTTATTTTTCACAAAGACTGTACAAAATTCTTATAAAACTCTGGTGTGGGGATGGGCTATGACATTGATCCAAAAAATAATTCCCATGCAGTCCCACCAGTTCCATAACTTACAAGGAAACAGAAAAGCTACAGAGAGCTGCGAGTCCTGGAGTATTTACACCAAGGAGGGCAGGAACAGGAGACAAAGCAACACAGGACAAGAGGTATTTACAGCACGGACACACAGGCCCCCCTCACCTCACGAGAACGGCAGCAGCGACAGCAGGTCAGGCCCGTGGTGCTCCTAGGCTGACAGAGAATCTGGGCTATTTACAGTATCTCACATATTAACAGCTTTACAAACTTGTCCAGGAAGTTTCATCTCATGTATTAAAAAAAAAAAAAAAAAAAAAAAAAAAAACCAAAAAGAAAAGCACCAAGTGTCTGAATAGAAATCACACAGGCCTCCACGGGGGCTAGAATCCGAGGGCTGGCTGGCACCTGTGGCGTCACCGGCTGATGTCCCGGCTCGAGTCCCACATTTTTGTGCTGGGCTCCATGCCTAGCATGTCAAAGAAGGGGTGCTTGAGGGCCTCGGCCAGGGTGACACGCTTGGAGGGTTCGTACTCCAGCATGCTCTCGATGAGGTCGAACAGGCGGTGGTGGTCCTCGGCCTCCGAGGTCAGGTATCGCTGCCAGGAGGAGAGGGAAAGTGAGGCTCAAGGAGGCTACACCCCGTTCTGGGATGTTCCCCAGGCTCAGGGATGTTTGTTCACACCATCACTCAGCCTGCAGCTGAGCTCTGCACTCCTCTATCCAAAACTGACAGATTTTCACACACCCTCCCTTCCCTGGGCACTTCCTGAACTTTTCGTGCTCTCCTTGTCCACATTAAACTCAGGCTGCTGCACCTTCCTATTGCTGGGACAGCCAAGGATCCCTTCAACCACTCTTCTGCTGGCCCAAACTTGCCCAGAGGGAGAATCTGAGCAGGGGCCAAGCTGCCTTACCCGCAGTGGTTTGCAGTTCTCCCGAACGTAGCGTCCAGCTGAGGTGTTCTCGTCCCAGTCCAGGCGGCCGTGGTAGAAATATTTCTGTTTCCTGCCAGAGTAAGAGGTGGCAGCAGGTTACACCTGAGCACAACACACCCTGCAGCAGCAGCAGCGAGGTGCCAGCCCAGTGGGACACAGCAGTTCTAAAGTGGGATCTGCCCATGGAGCAGGAGGGTGGCAAACCTGCAGTGCCCAGCTGGCTTTGCTCACCTTGTCTTCCTGACCATCCGAGAAGGAATTGGCCCCAAAATCCTCTCCATCATGGCCAGGTGCTCCCGGTTGTCATGTGTCTGGGAGAGAGAAATGTAAATGGAAGGCATGGAACACATTCCAGTGGTTCTGCCTCCAGCCCTGGGTATTCCCCCACCCAGAACCCCTTCCTGGCCAACGCCTTGGGTGTCTCCACAAGACTGCAGTGATGGAGGGACCCCCATCAGTCTCAGGGAAGCAGCCAGCATCCTCTCACAGCTGGGAAATACCCACACAACACAGTTCTCACCTGGAAAAGGGTGAAACCCACATAATACTCAAAGATGATGCAGCCAATACTCCACACATCACAGGGCTGGCTCCAGCCAAGCTCTGAAAAACAATGTCATTTAAGTAAATGATCCAGTTACAACCCAAGAGTCCAAATCCCTCTTTCTTTTAGAAATAAATAACTGATAAAAAAAATAAAAAACATCCCATTCCAGCCAGGTTTCTGGTGCTCTGCTGGCAATATACTGCCCAGTTTATGATGGATCAAGGAATCAGCAAGGTTGGAAAAGACCTTCAAGATCACAACTCCAACCTGTGACCAATCCCCACCTTGTCACCCAGTCCAGGACACTGAGTGCCACATGGAGCCATTCCTTGGACACCTCCAGGAATGGGGACTCCAAACCTCCCTGGGCAGCCCCTTCCAATGCCTGCCCACCCTTTCCAGGAAGAAAATTCCTCCTGATGTCCAACCCTGGCACAACTTGAGGCCATTTCTTCTTGTCCTGTCCCTTGCTCCCTTGGAGCAGAGCCCAAGCCCCCATGAGGAAATTGTGGAGAGTGAGGGGTCCCCCCTGAACCTCCTTTTCTCCAGGTGAAACAAACCCAGAATAATGACAGGGCTGTAACCATGGCCTTCTCAGGAAACAGCACTGCAGAGCTGTTAAATCAAGCACTTCCCATCTCCCAGGGCAAACCCACAAAGCTCCTGAATGATGTGGAAGCCAAGCCCAACGCTCCCCAGCCCTCAAGGGGCACCCCTGCCCTGGCACAGACCCAGTGGCACCTTACCCAGGATGACTTCAGGGGCCCGGTAGTGCCTGGTGGAGACGATGGTGCTGTGATGCTCGTGGTCAAAGGTGGCACTGCCAAAATCCACCACCCTGATGGCCGTGCTCTTCACGCTCCTCTCATCCCGTTTCTGCAAGGGGCACAATGGGATCCATCACCTGGGAGCTCCAGCCCCTGCCTTACACAGCTGAGGGAACCACTGGAGGGGAGTTTTGGCAGCCCCACAGCTCGGCCCCAAACAAGCTCCCACCACCACGGGGTCACCGTGGCTTGCTCAGCACTGCCTGGCAGGTCATGCACAGCCCTGAAGGACTGCATGGAGCCCACATATCCCCTGGGGCTGTGTCTCTCCTCTGGCAAGGTCAGGGACACCAAGAGGAGAGCCAAGTCGAGGCAGTGCGTTACCTTCTCCAGGTTGTAGGAGAGCTCGTAGTCAGAGCTCACGAAGAGGATGTTCTCTGGCTTGAGGTCAGTGTGGGTGAGTTTATTGTCATGCAGAACTGAGGGAGCAAAGAGAGTCTGGGTGAGGGGAGAGCAGCAGAACAACACTGCACGCCCACTAAAAAGCCACCACTGGTTCAGTTTGCTCATAGTGGCACCAGTTTAACCCACATTTCAACCTGTTGTGAACAGCCAGGCAAAGCCCAGGCCACAATGCTTCAGCAGAAGCACAAAATTTATTGTATTGATCACCAGAAGGTGAAGGGGGGTGGATGCTGGAGTGCTCTGAGCTACTGCCAGCCCACAAGCATCAGAAAATGAAGAGCACTCATTCCCAGAGGGACGGGAAGGCTCAGGCTCAGAACCACAGCAAAAACTTGTTGCTCTGGGCCACCAGTTGCAGAAGTGCAACCCACTCAGCTCCCCAGGTCAGCCCAAAGCAGGGGAGAGCAGCAGGGAACACTTACACTTCACAGCCTGGCACACCTGGAAGGCCATGTGCCGTACTTGGTGGATGGGGTAAGGCAGGTAGTTGTTATCCTTCAGGAAATCAAAGGTGCTGAGCCCCAGCAGCTCGAAGGAGATGCACATGTGGCCGTGGTAGTCAAACCAGTCAAACATCCTGACACAGAGACTGACAGAAACATTCCAGTTGGGAACAGCTCTGCAGGCACTGCTCAGCTGTGTCACCCCTGCTCAGTCTGCATCTCACAGCAAGCCAAGATGCTTCCAAAACTATCCAGGATCACATTTAACCACACAACACCAAGCACCTCTTCCACCCCAGCCCTGAAACCAGCCCTTCCTGCTGAGCACCAAGAGCACACTCACTTTGTGTTCTCAGGATCCTTCTCGTTGATTTTCTCCAGCACGTTGATTTCCAGTCGAGCAGCCTCTTTGTATTTCTCTACGTTTTTGATGATTTTCAGAGCAACACGAGCACCACCCCTGCGGGAGAAACAGGAAGAAAGCACAAGGTGAGCCCTGAGCAGGTAACAGGTGCTGTGCCCTGTGAAAAGGACCTTCTGACCAGCCTCCCTTGCTCAAGCAGCTTATTATTAAGGAGTGTCCACCAAAGGTTTCCCTTTCCCTCCCTACAAAAACAGCCCTGAAGCTTTCCCCAGTACATGGGCAACACAAACAGGGTGAGAGCCTGGAGCAGCAGATATTGGAAACCAGGAGACTGATTTTCCCCCCCAGGCTCCCATGGGCCAAGGCTCCATTGCCAGCTGTGGCCTCTCCTTTCCCCACATACCTCCGGTGATCCATGCACTGCACCACTCTGCCGAAGGTGCCTTCCCCCAGGGTGCTGATAATCTCATCTGGGAGGGAGAGAAGGAGAGGGAAGGAGCTGAGAGAGGGAGCAGGACCTGGCTGCAGCGATACACAGGGCAGAGGAGAATGCATTGCAACACCTAACCTGCACACAGCTGGAGAGACCGGAGCAGCGGAAGGCTGACACCGGCTGCACAAGGCAGCTGCCCTAATTCCCTGGCACTTCAGTAACAATACACAATATAAACGTAGCTTTAACAAAAGGGGAAGGAAAAGGAGAGGGTTTTTCTCTTTAATAAACAATGAAAATAAAATGAAACAGAAAGATAAGACAGATCTGCGACTGCGATGGGAGCTTAACTAGAGAGCTAAATTATGTTACGATTTGGCTGTACATCTTTCTTGTAGCCAGTCGCCGACGCGATAGATCAGATGCCCCTCGTCGTCGTCCTCCACACTCTTGGCCCTTCTGCTGCTCTGTCGACTCCGCTGCTGGCCCAGGCAGACAGGGAATTCATCATTCACCAATCAGATTTTCAAACCAGCGCAGCAGCAGCCAGCGTCACGCATTGGTTGGTTTGGAAATTCACATGGTTGTTTGAGGAGGGGTTGCAGGAGGAGATTCCCAGCCAATTCATACGGCACAGAGGAATATATAACGATAGGGATATTGCAAGGGAACATGTCAAGATACAACACACTAGCTCAGAAAAGAAAAAAACAGTTTGCTTTTCGTTGTAGCAAAAAAAAAAAAAGAAAAAAAAAGAAAAAGGAAAAAAAAATAAAAAGAAAAAAGAAAAAAAAGAACCTACAAACAGCCCCAACCCGAACCAGAGTGACAGCAGAGCTGTCAGAGTGAGGGAGCTGAGGGGCATGGAAAGGGCTGGCTGCTCTCGCTCCCACGGGGGCTCAGAGAGGAACAGCACCGGCCTTCGGGTCCTGGGGACTGCCTGAGCACGCCGAGGGCCAGAGGCCACGGGGAAGGGCTCCCCGGCCCCACGGCCACAGCACAGCAAGGGCAGCAGGAGGCAGGTGCTGGGAGGTCCTGCACAAGCCCAGGCTGCCCCCACAGGCACCCCTATCCCACTCCAATAACCGCCCACACAGCTTCCCCCAGCCCCGACACTCAGGGAAAGATGAATTCCGAGAATTCAGAAAAGCAGCTCTAGATACAATGATCCATCCAAAACGGAAAGTTCGCAGTGACTGCCTGGGGAAAGATGGACAGCTCTTCCTAGACCCTCCCCCAAAAGAAGCTGATCCTGGAAGGACTAACTTCCAGAAGAGAAGCAGAACCCAACAGGGAACAGGGACAGCCTGGGATGAGGCAGATAAGAGGTTTATGCCGGAGAAGAGAAAATTCCTGCCTTCGGTTCCTCAGCTAAGTATCCCCATACCTGGGAGCAACCAGACAGCAGATTTGGGACCCAAATCCAGCCCCCAATCCCCTCCCTGGACACAGAGCCAGAACAGACCAGACAACACTGAGAGCTCCACACACAGAGCAGAGAATGTGTCTGGGGTCTAACAGAAGTGGAAGGTGAACAGCAGAACAGACAAGAAGAGAAAGCCAGGGATGCTTCCGGGAAGAGCCTGGGATGGTTCTGCCTCCACCTGAGCTGAGTGCTTCAAAAGCTGTGCTCCTCCACGAAGCCCACATCAGCTGGGCCCACCCAGGAGGATCTAAACCCTCAGAGCCAGGGCCTGAAACAGGGACCACAGGGGCAGCCACCCGTCCCAGGCTCTCTGGGACTGGGACCAGCTGAGCGCTGGCTGTCGGAGCCTTGCACAAATCCTGCCTGGCTGGGGCTCCTCACAGCGCTCCGTGAGGAGATGCAGCACCACCCTGGGGACCCGCCAGCCTCGCGGGGCACTCCTGTCCTCCCACCTGAGAGAGGGCCTGAGCCACCCGTGCCCAGCTGGCACCACGGCGCACAGGGACGTGGGCAGCAACGCTGTGCACCAAAACTCCTCTAACACACACACACACACTCACACTCACACATCAAGCCGACTCGGAGAGAGCTTTATAAAGTGATTTTTCTACTTACCCAGCTCAGCACCTGGGAGAGAAAGGTTACAGGGCAGGCGCGGCACGGCAGGATACTCACCGATGAGGAGCGGCTAAAGGACCGGCTGCGGCGCCGCCTCCGCCTGTGCTTACGCCGGCTGCTTTTGCAGCTCCGGTAGCTGCCCTCGCGGTCCCGGGAGCGCCGGTACTCGTAGGAGTGGCGGTACTCGGGCTCGTAGTAGGCGTCGCCCCGCTCGCGGCTGTAGTCGTTGCGCCGGTAGCTGTCACAGTAACGGCGGTCGTAGGCCCGTCGGTCTGCGGAGTGGTCGTCGTAGCTGGGCAGGGGGAGGTGGAGGGGTGATGGTGTTACTTTTTGGGTATTATGAGCTCACAGAGAACTCAGCACACCCCAGATAGCTCTGCTGTCTAAAATTAACAGGATGGTTTCTGAGGTAATGCTGGAAACAGAAAAAAGTTTAATAAAAGACAAAACAGCAAAGGTCTGACAGAGAAAAACCAAGCCACGGGCAAGAGGTTCCTGCTAAAACACCCCACAAAAGGGATTATTCCCTTTGTTCTCTTCTTTTTCTAGTGAGACCTCTTGGCCTGTGTCAAGTTGGGCAGCCCCAGGTCTAAGGTGAAGTCCCAAAGGTCTAATGAGGTGTCTTTGTACCAAATAGAGAAAAGAAACTTCTGGGCTTTTTGCCTTTTTAAGCAGACAAATAATAATTTAGTCACTCCATCAACAGAGGTCACATTCCTACATCGGGGAATGTTGAGGGGTTGGAATGGACTTGAAGATCATCATCATCACCTCTCACTAGACCAGACTGCCTTGTCCAATCTGGCCTTGAACGCTGACAGGGTTGGGGCATCCACACCCAACCTGTGTGCCAGTGTCTCACCACCCTCACAGGGAAGATCTTCCCAAGCCTAGCCTAAATTCCCTCTCTTTCAATTTGTACCCATTACTCCTTGTCCTATCACTACAACTCCTCATGGAGGGTCCCTCTCCAGTTTCCTTGTAGGTCCCTTTTAACACTGGAAGGTGCTGTGAGGTCACACAACCTTTTCTTCTCCAGGCTGGAAAACGCTCCCAGCCCAAATTCTCTCACAACCTTCTCTTCTCCAGGCTGGAAAACTCTCCCAGCCCAAATTCTCTCACAACCTTTTATTCTCCAAGCTGGAAAACGCTCCCAGCCTAATTTCTCTCAAAACCTTTTCTTCTCCAGGTTGGAAAATGCTCCCAGCTTAAATTCTCTCACAACCTTCTCTTCTCCAGGCTGGAAAACTCTCCCAGCCTAATTTCTCTCAAAACCTTTTCTTCTCCAGGTTGGAAAACGCTCCCAGCCCAAATTCTCTCATTACTTTCTCTTCTCCAGGCTGGAAAACGCTCCCAGCCCAAATTCTCTCACAACCTTCTCTTCTCCAGGCTGGAAAACGCTCCCAGCCCAAATTCTTTCACAACCTTCTCTTCTCTAGGCTGGAAAACTCTCCCAGCCCAAAATTCTCTCACAACCTTTTCTTCTCCAGGCTGGAAAACTCTCCCAGCCTAATTTCTCAGGGACACTGAAGGACACTCTGAGCTGAGGACCCCAAATCCTCCCGTACTGAAACTGTGAAGGGATAAAAGCTCAGCAGGTCCCTCCTTGAAGGCACCAGCTAGAGCTGTGAACTTTGTTATTGCACCAAGATTGAACATTTTTAAGGACTGAGATGTCTGAGACTCTGCTGTGAGAAACCAGGGCTGAGCCAGTAAGAAAACTGGTCTGACTGGGACCGTGGGGTGTGCAGGGAGTCATATTGGGTCACTGAAGCCACCTCTGTGGGCTCAGTCCCAGCTCAGGAGGTGGAGTGGCACTGCCAGAGGGGCTCCTGGGTGGAAGGACAGGGAGGTTTCCCCAGGAAGGGAGTGAGGGGCTTTGGTGACAAGCACTGCCCAGGCTGTGACAGCTCAGAGCAGGCCCAGGTCACATGGAACCTGGGTGAGTATGGATGACTAGGCCATGATTAAGGGACTGAAGCATCTCTCTTAATGAGCAGAGACTGTGGGAGATGGGCCTCGTTAGTCTGGAGAAGGCTGAGAGGAAATCTCATTATTGCACATCAATATCTCCAAGGCATGTGCCAGGATGGTGCCAAACACTTTTCAGTGGTGTCCAGCGACAGAACAGGGAGCAAAACCATAAACTAAACCACACCTCAACATAAGGAAGAAGTTCTTCCCGTGGAGGGTGACAGAGCACTGGAGCAGCTGCCCAGGGCAAGCATGGGGTCCCCTCTCTGAAGACATCTCACATCAATATCTCCAAGGCAGGTGCCAGGATGGTGCCAAACACATTTCAGTGGTGCCCAGTGACAGAACAGGGAGCAAAACCATAAACTAAAACACACGGAAGAAGAGTTCTTCCCGTGGTGGGTGGCAGAGCACTGGAGCAGCTGCCCAGGTCAAGCACGGGGTCTCCCTCTCTGAAGACATCTCACATCAATATCTCCAAGGCAGGTGCCAGGATGGCGCCAAACACTTTTCAGTGGTGTCCAGCAACAGGATGGGGAGCAAAACCATAAATTAAACCACACCAACACTACCTCACCACAAGGAAGGGCGGCAGAGCACCAGAACAGGTACTCAGGGCGAGCCTGGCACCTCCTTCTCTGGAGACATCCCAAACCCACCCGGACGTGTCCCCGTGCCACCTGCAGTGGGTGACAGCCCAGAGGCGAGCCCTCACCTCCGGGATCGGACGTGGTAGCTGTCCTCGCGCCGGTGCCGCCGGTCCCGCTCGCTGCTGCTGGAGCGGGAGCGCGTCCGCCGCCGCTTGTGCTTGCGGCTCCGGTAGCGCTCGTGGTAACTGCCGCGGCTGCTGCGCTCCGACGAGCGGTACCTCCGGGAGTGCGGCATCTGCGGGGACAGCGGGGACGGTCAGGCACCCCTGAGGACACTGGGACACCCCTGGGGACAGCGGGGACGGTCAGGCACCCCTGGGGACACTGGGATACCCATGGGGACAGCAGGGACAGTGAGGCAGCTGTGGGGACAGCAGGGACCCTGTGGGGACAGCAGGGACTGTGAAGCACCCATGGGGTCAGCAGGGACACTGTGAGGCACCCACAGGGACAGCAGAGACCCTGTGGGGACAACAGGGACCCTGTGAGGCACCTGTGGGGACAGTAGGGACTGTGAGGCACCCATGGGGACAGCAGGGACTGTGAGGCACCTGTGGGGACAGCAGGAACTGTGGGGTACCCGTGGGGTCAGCAGGGACCCTGTGAGACACCTGTGGGGACAACAGGGACCCACAGGGACAGTAGGGCCTGTGAGGCAGCTGTGGGGACAGCAAAGACCCTGCAAGGCACCACGGGGTACAGCAGGGACCCTGTGAGGATGGCAGGGACCCTGCGAGGCACCCATGGGGTCAGCAGGGACCCTGTGGGGACAGCAGGGACCCTGTGAGGCACCCGTGGGGATGGCAGAGACCCTGTGAAGCCCCTGTGGGGACAACAGGGACCCACAGGGACAGTAGGGACTGTGAGGCAGCTGTGGGGACAGCAGGGACCCTGTGAGGATGGCAGGGACCCTGCGAGGCACCCATGGGGTCAGCAGGGACAATGGGGCACCTGTGGGGATGGCAGAGACCCTGTGAAGCCCCTGTGGGGACAACAGGGACCCACAGGGACAGTAGGGACTGTGAGGCACCTGTGGGGACAGCAGGGACCCTGTGAGGCACCCATGGGGTCAGCAGGGACCCCAAGAGGACAGCAGGGACCCTGTGGGGCACCCGTGGGGACAGTAGGGACAGTGAGACACCCATAGGGACAGCAGGAACCTAAGCCTGACAGAAGTTCCAAAAGGTGGCCTTGAAAATAAGACCAGATACTTTGGAGAAATAGAACTATGAAAGATGCATTGTAGTAGGAGCCACGAGGGGTAATTTTAAACTATTTGCTTTAAGGTATTTACAGCATGGTGTGGCTAAAACCGATAAGCCAAAAAAATGATTATAATGTACTGTAATTAAAAAAAAATAATTAGAATCTGATTGTGATGGCGTGGATTATAACACCTGTGTTGTCTCACCCTTCACATGAGACTGAGAATAGAATAAAAGTTTTTAAAACCCCTCTCAGCTGATGCATTTCTGGGTCAGAAAAAGGCAAAATCCAGAGAACAGCTCAAGAGATGCCTCAGGTTCACTGCCAAGGGTGGGGAAGGGGCTTGGGGAGCACACCAGGAGCAGCTGGGGGTATTTGGTCTGTTCAGCTGGCACTGAGGAGAGATCTCAGGGGGTTCCTCAGGAGAGACAGCTCCAATCTCTGCTCTGTGACAATGACAGCACCTCAGGGAATGGCTGGAGCTGTGTCAGGGGGGGTTTAGGTTGGATTTCAGGACAAGGTTTTTCCCCCAGGCACTGCCCAGGCTTCCCAGGGAATGATCCCAGCCCCAGGAGGGTTTGGACAACGCTCCCAGGGATGCACAGGGTGGGGTTGTTGGGGTGTCCTGGGGAAGGACATCAGGACTTGCAAACCTTCCCTTCCCAAAGGACATCAACAGAGCCCTGCAGACCCTCAGCTCTGCTCATCTGGGGGGAAAATGAGAGGCTGGAGCCGAGGGGACCCCGAGGGCACAGCGGGCACAGCCCCTCGCACCCTGCCAGGCTGTGCTCCACACCTCTCCAACATTCCCCACACGGATTTTGGAATTATAGAACGTTAAATGGGAGGGACCCTCAAAGCTCACTCAGTGCCACCTTCCACTAGCCCAGCTCGCCCCAGTACTCGCCCAAAATGCCTTTAAACATCCCAGGGATGGGGCAGCCACAGCTCCTCTGGGCAATCCGTGCCACGGCCGCGAGAGAAGCCGCAATTTTCCCCCATCCAAAACGCCCCTGGCCGCGTCCCCGTCCCCGCCCTGCGCTGACATCACCGGCAGGGCTCGGACAGGCCGAACCGGCCCCGGGCTGACCGGGGGCAGCACGGGCTCGGTACCGCCAGCACCGGGGGTTTTACCCGGGCTGCCCCCGAGCCTCGAACCGCGGAGAGAAGGGAGCGGCGCTGGCGGCCCGCCAAGCCCCGAATCCACGGAACCAACAGCGGGGCTGGAACCGGTTTGCGGCCGCTGATGGCGGCGGCGCCGGGCGGGGCCGGAAGCACCGGGACACCGGGAGAGGGCGGGGTGGCCTCGGCGGGGAGGCCTCCACCCGGTTCCCCCGGGCCATCCGGCCGCGCCGCCCCCGCGGGAGCACCCAAAGCCGCCGATTCACACCGGGAACCACAAACCGGGAACCGCACACCGCACACCGGGCCCGCCCCGCGCCGCCTTCACCGCCAGCGGCCTACCCACCCCACCCCCGCCCCGCGCGGCTTCGCACCGTCCTGGCAGCCAGCCCGGTGCGCTTGTCCCACAGGAAATCCGTGATGGCGGCCGTGGGCCCCGGGGGCCCCGTTCCAGCTCCCGCCGCCGCCGCCGCCGCCGATCCGGGTCCTGCCAGCCCGCGGGGCCGCGCGCGCACGTACGCGCTCACGCACGCACGCACGCACGCACGCAGGCGCGCGGAGCTGCGTCACGCCGCGATGGGCGGGGTTAAACCCGAGAGTCCCGCCCATATCCCCTCTGGTTAAGCCACGCCCCTTTCCCCGTCCCAACAACGCTGGGTGATATAGGAGGGGCGTGGCCTGTGCAGATCGCCCCGCCCACTCCTCCGCGAAGCCACACCCCCTCTCCTGACAGCGGAGGGGCGTGGTATATGCTAATATCCCGCCCATAAGCCACGCCCACCTCATCCCAAGCCACGCCCCCTTCGCCTCATTGCCGCCGATGGGCGTGGCCAGACAGAAGGGGCGTGGTCTCTAATTGTAGCCCCGCCCCTCTCTCTTGAAGCCCCGCCCCTCCCCGGTTCCCCCGCCGGTACCGGGGCCGGACCGGGGGCGCGTTCTCCTTCCCGAGGTCCCACCCGCCAGCCCCGCCCCACCCCGCCCCGCCCGCCGCGGGGTCCCGCCGCTCCGGTGCCGCCCGGGCCTCGCCGCTCCCTCCCTCTCCGCCGCTCCGGTGCCACCGGCGCTTCCCGGCTGCCGGCGGCCGGAGCGTGCGCAACAGGCGGGAGCCGGCGGAGCTTCGGGAGCGCTCGGTGAGCCAGCGGCCGCCCGCCCGGGGCCGGGCATGTGCGGCGGGGCGACGGGCAGGGCGCCCGGGCAAGGGCGTTTGAAGGAAACGTGAGGCGAAGCGGCGGCGGCGGCGGCGGCGGCGGAGGGATGGAGGCGGCACCGAGGCGAAGCCCCGAGCCGCGGGAGAAGCCGCCGCTGCTGGACGGGGAGGCAGCGGGGGCGCCCGCGGGGGCGTCGGGCGCGGCCTCACCGGCGGCGGCGGAGCAGATCGTGGCGGAGGGCGAGGCGGCGGCGGCGGCGGCGGCGGGCACGTTCGTGCAACGGCAGCTCGGGGCGATGCTGCAGCCCGCCGTGAACAAGTTCTCGCTGCGCATGTTCGGCAGCCACCGGGCCGTGGAGATCGAGCGGCAACGGGTGAAGTCGGCGGGAGCCTGGATTATCCATCCCTACAGCGACTTCAGGTGGGAACGGGACCCCGCGACCCCCGCCCCGGTACCGAGGCACCGACCCCCATCCCGGCGCCGGTCACCGGCTCCACCGCCCGGTGCGGTGCCCGCTGTCCGTGGTGCTGAGCTCGGCCCCGCCGCCCGACACCGTAGGGGCAACAAGTGCCGGTAACCGGGGCTCAGCACCGGCCCCGGGAGGCGGCTACCGACCGGCGGAGCCCGGGGCGCGCTGCACCGGCCCCTTCCCGTCGGGGATTATCCCGTCCGCACGGATGACTCTGTCCTGCCCCGGTACCCGCGGGCTCTCGGTGCTCCCGGTGCCACCGGGCAGCGCGGCTCCGCCGGTCTCCGCTGAGCCGGCCCCGGGCGTGCGGAGGCGGCGGAAGGGGTTGTTGGGCTTTGCCTGTCCTTAGAGCTTCCCCCCGCCCTTCTCGATGCTGTTTTTAATTTGATCAGGAGCTTTCATCCCGCTGGGACGGGAGCAGGGCTGGTCACCCAGCGAGGAGCCGGGCCCGGCTCTCGGTGTCACCGGGATCACAGCGGGAGCTCGGGGATGGATGATGTGGGAGGAACTGGGTGTCACGGGGATGTTGAGTCATATAGGGTGGGCTTTCTCCACGGGGAACGAAGCTGCCAGGCAGTCATCTCCCGCAGCAAGCTGTGACATGGATGATGTCCCCAGCCTGATGGAGCCAGCACCCTGTGTGGGTCCCCAGCACCTGTAGCCATCTCTCCTCACCCCTGGGTCCTCACCACCCCAACCCTGAGAGCCCTTTTCGCTGGGAATCCCAAAGTTTGGGAGCCTTGAGCTTGGCAGGAGCAGCTCCTGCAAGCAGCACCGTGAAGGGAGCTGGCAGGTAGACAGACAGAGGGATTACTCCGGTGTTTATCACATTAGGGAGATACAGAAAGGCCATGGAGATCAGGGCCCTGAGTGCTCAGTCTGACACGTAGTGAAGGACAAGGCCTGTCCTAAAGAGCTTAAGCCTAAATCTGAAGTGAGAGCTCCAGGCAGGCTTGGGCAGCTACAGGGACAGGCAGTTCCCTGCTCAGCTCCTCAGGGCACAGCATGGAGGTGCAGGAGGCAATTCCTCAGCTGGGTCAGGCCCCTTCTGCCTCAGCTGCATTTCCTCCCCTGGCCCAGCAAATCCTGGCCACTGGCAGGAAGGTGTTAACTCAGGAGAGGCTCCTGACCCTGGGGTGGTTTCTAGACCTGGTGTCACTCCGACCTTGGGGTGGCTCCTTGAGGACCCTGCCCCGCCTCAGGCTGTGATGCTCTCTCTGAAGAAGCCTCTCATGGCAGCACGACATCCCTTCCCTTCCCTTCCCTTCCCTTCCCTTCCCTTCCCTTCCCTTCCCTTCCCTTCCCTTCCCTTCCCTTCCCTTCCCTTCCCTTCCCTTCCCTTCCCTTCCCTTCCCTTCCCTTCCCTTCCCTTCCCTTCCCTTCCCTTCCCCTTCCCTTCCCTTCCCTTCCCTTCCCTTCCCTTCCCTTCCCTTCCCTTCCCTTCCCTTCCCTTCCCTTCCCTTCCCTTCCCTTCCCCCATCTCCAGAGATCCCAATATCCGTGTCCCACCATGGGTGTGGGGCAGGAGATCCCCACAGGCTTCTGCCACCTCTAAAAGCAGATTTGGATTCACTGGGCACTAAGAGTGAAATGAAATCACTGAAAATTTCAGTGATTTGCCCTGAAATCACCCTTGGGAGATGTGAGCCTACACCCACAGCCAGGGCTGGGACAGACAGGGGACGCCTGGGGACACCTAAAGCTGGGTGAAGGCTCTGCTGGGGGATCCCTGGAGTCACAAGCCTCGTGGAGAAAGTCATGATGTGTCTGTGAGAAGAATGAGAACATCCCGGTGGCATTTGCATTTGAACAGGGCTGCTGGGTGTCCACTCCCAGCAAAAGGAGGTGGATGAGGAGCGCCTTCATCCTGCCCTGTGCATGCCCATAGGGTTGGACCTTCCCCTGGTACCACCATTGTCTATCCTTGCCTGGCTGGCTCACCACAACATCCTCCCTGATCCTTCTGTGCTGCCCCAGGAGCTCGGTTTGCATAACCAGCAAAGCTTATCCCAAATCCTGCTAAGCCAACTCGGGTGGTGCCAGGGAGACAGCGGATGACAAGGAACCTCGAGGGAGCAAAGCCCACATCCTCTCTGAGTTCTCCATGGGGCATGTGGCAGCTTTGGGGTGGGGGCATAGGTTGTGAAAGAGGATTTTTGGGGTTGTGTGTACACCATCGGCTCTGAAACAGGGTTTTTGGGGTTGTGAGTACACCATCAGTTCTGAAACAGGGTTTTTGGGGTTGTGTATACCCCATCAGTTCTGAAACAGGGTTTTTGGGGTTGTGTATACCCCATCAGTTCTGAAACAGGGTTTTTGGGGTTGTGAGTACACCATCAGCTCTGAAACAGGGTTTTTGGGGTTGTGTGTACACCATCAGTTCTGAAACAGAGTTTTTGGGGTTGTGTGTAAACCATCAGTTCTGAAACAGAGTTTTTGGGGTTGTGTATACCCCATCAGTTCTGAAACAGGGTTTTTGGGGTTGTGTGTAAACCATCAGTTCTGAAACAGGGTTTTTGGGGTTGTGTATACCCCATCAGTTCTGAAACAGGGTTTTTGGGGTTGTGTATACCCCATCAGTTCTGAAACAGGGTTTTTGGGGTTGTGTATACCCCATCAGTTCTGAAACAGAGTTTTTGGGGTTGTGAGTACACCATCAGTTCTGAAACAGGGTTTTTGGGGTTGTGTATACCCCATCAGTTCTGAAACAGGGTTTTTGGGGTTGTGTGTACACCATCAGTTCTGAAACAGGGTTTTTGGGGTTGTGAGTACACCATCAGTTCTGAAACAGGGTTTTTGCAGTAGAAAGAGGGACAGCCAAGCTTCTCCACCCCCCATTCCCGCACAGGGTGACTTCTGCACCCCACTTCTGCTCACATCTGTCCCAGCCAAGCAGCAGGGTGTGGGTGTGTTTGTCTCCTCAGCCCCTGCCTCTCTGCACCCTGCCAGACCCTAATTTCATCCTGGGTTTATTGTCTAACTCTCTGTGTCCTGCCTGGCCCACTCTGGCCCCTGCAGGTTTTACTGGGACCTCATCATGCTGCTCCTGATGGTGGGGAATTTGATCATCCTGCCCGTGGGCATCACCTTCTTCAAGGACGAGAACACCCCTCCCTGGATCGTTTTCAACGTGCTTTCGGACACTTTCTTCTTGGCTGACCTGGTGCTGAACTTCCGGACAGGCATCGTGGTGGAGGACAACACGGAGATCATCCTCGACCCTCACACCATCAAAATGAAGTACTTGAAGAGCTGGTTCCTGGTGGACTTCATCTCCTCCATCCCTGTTGACTACATTTTCCTCATTGTTGACCTGGAGACCCAGGTGGATTCTGATGTCTACAAGACAGCCCGAGCCCTGCGCATCGTGCGCTTCACCAAGATCCTCAGCCTGCTGCGCCTGCTGCGCCTCTCGCGCCTCATCCGCTACATCCACCAGTGGGAGGAGGTGAGAACCTCTTGGGGGTCTCCTGCTCGGGGTCCCAGGCCAGGCTGGGGCTCCCCAGCTGCAGGGTACAGCTGTCTGGAGGGCAGAGAAGAGTTTCTCTGCAGCTCCGCTCCTGCGTGTTCCCCAGATCTTCCACATGACGTACGACCTGGCCAGCGCCGTGGTGAGGATCTTCAACCTCATCGGGATGATGCTGCTGCTGTGCCACTGGGATGGCTGCCTCCAGTTCCTGGTGCCCATGCTGCAGGACTTTCCTGAGGACTGCTGGGTCTCCAAGAACCACATGGTGGTGAGTGCCCGGACTGGGGTGGTTCCAGCTGGGATTTGTTGTGGTGGGGAGAGGATTTGGTTTCCTGTCTCCCAGCCCAAGGTTGGAGCTGCTGGGAGATGTGCTGGTTAGGATTGTCTCTGTGGTCACAGCAGTGGGAATCTCTGCATCACCTTCCCATCCCAACCCACCTTGCTGGAGTCAGGGAATCCCTCGGGGAGGGAATAGGACAATGGGGCTCCTACCTCCTCCCCAAAGCATGGGCTCGTGCATGCTCAGGTCTTCACACACTCCAATTCCATTTTCTTGGTGGAGAACTCATCCCTTTGACCTTGGAGGAACCTTCTTCTCACTGGGTGTCTGGACTCCCCAGCTTAGGGAGGTGGGATTGGGGTGTTGAGGTGCCCACCAAACCCTTCAGCACCGCCATCCCTCATCTGCAGAACGACTCGTGGGGCAAACAGTACTCACACGCCCTGTTCAAGGCCATGAGCCACATGCTGTGCATCGGCTACGGGCAGCAGGCGCCCGAGGGCATGACCGACGTGTGGCTCACCATGCTCAGCATGATCGTGGGGGCCACCTGCTACGCCATGTTCATCGGCCACGCCACCGCCCTCATCCAGTCGCTGGACTCGTCCCGGCGCCAGTACCAGGAGAAGGTCAGTGGGGTGAGGGAGGGAGGGAGGGTACTGGGGAATGAGCTGGTCCAGCTCCAGAACCAGCTCGGCACAGCTGCCATGCCCTGCTGATTCCAGAGGTTGGGATCTTTGTCCTTGCCAGTCTCCCTTGGGTTGTTGCCAGTCTCTGTGTTCTCAGAGAGAACAATTGGTCACCCCAAGTGTCATTATCCAAACCTGACCCCTGACTGGATTGACCTCTTCCTTCCGAAAAAATTCTTTTCCCGTGTCAAACCATGACACAGATGAAGCTGAGGTTGCCTATTGAGAGAGAGAGAGACCATATTTGGGTCCATATTGGGGTAATTTCTGCACAGTGTGGCCCCATCCTGCCCTCTGCCCTGGGTCCACCTGCATCCTCAGCGCATGGGCGTCCTGTCCTTTGTCCCCTTGGGGTCAGGGTGCTGGAGTAGAGGTGTCTGTACCTACACCACTGAGAGAAGGGACGCATGGTCCAGCCATGCAGGTGGTCCCAGCTCAGCCCTGTGTGACTCCCCTTGTCCCTACAGTACAAGCAAGTGGAGCAGTACATGTCATTCCACAAACTGCCCGGGGACACGCGCCAGCGGATCCACGAGTACTACGAGCACCGCTACCAGGGCAAGATGTTTGACGAGGAGAACATCCTGGGGGAGCTCAGTGAGCCGCTCAAAGAGGTGTGGGCAACACTCCTGTGCTGTGACCAGGAGGGCAGAGGCTGGTGCTGACATCTGTGATGTCCCCACTGACCTGCTCCTCACCCCACAGGAAATTATCAACTTCAACTGCCGCAACCTGGTGGCCAACATGCCCCTGTTTGCCAACGCTGACCCCAACTTTGTGACGGCCATGCTGACCAAGCTGCGCTTCGAGGTCTTCCAGCCTGGGGACTTTATCATCCGTGAGGGCACCGTGGGTAAAAAGATGTACTTCATCCAGCACGGCGTGGTCAGCATCCTCACCAAGGGCAACAAGGAGACAAAGCTGTCTGATGGCTCCTACTTTGGGGGTGAGGCTGGGCTGGGGAAGCTGCTGAACAGAGCAGGGGATAAAAGCTGTCCAGGAGCAGAAGCTGGGGCATCCCTAATGTTTCTGCCTGCCCTTCTCTTCTTGCCCAGTGCCAAAGTTTTGGCATCCGTTTCACCCCAGTTCTGGCTGGCTGGGGCAGAGGGAGCACCCACTGCTGGTCAGGGAGGAGTGGGGCTTGGAGCAGAACATCTGAGCCAGTTTGTAGGATACAGGCACAGCTCTGGGAGGGAAACAGGCCAGGCCATCACAGCAGCCACACCTGGAGGTGTCTCCGTGGCCTGGCCATGGCTGTGCAGGCTGCAGGGTCAGTCCCTGCCTCTGAGCCGTGCTTTGTGCGGGGTGGAGGGGTGCCAGGCAGCCCTGTTCCTGCTGGCAGGGCTGGGAGGGGGATGGATGGCTGTGTCACCCTGAGCCCAGCCCCGTGTCCCTGCAGAGATCTGCCTCCTGACGCGGGGCAGGCGCACGGCCAGCGTGAGAGCCGACACCTACTGCCGCCTCTACTCCCTGTCCGTGGATAACTTCAACGAGGTGCTGGAGGAGTACCCCATGATGCGCAGAGCCTTCGAGACGGTGGCCATGGACCGGCTGGACCGCATAGGTGAGGAGGAGTGACCCTCTGGACTCAGCACAGCCACCCCTACGGCGCTCCCAGGGCCCCCAGACCCACAGGTGGTGGAGTCACAGAGATGGGATGAGGTGATCACAGTGCCCAGCCCCGTGGGTGCCCAGCAATGAGGGTGATGGGGAGCATGAGGAAGGAGCCTGTCCTGTCTCTCCCCACTAGCAAGATCCAGGCAGTGCCATAGGACAGGATTCCCTGAGAAAATGTAACTGCACTGCACTGTGCTTGGCAGTGACCAGCTGCTTGTCCTCACCCTTCCTTGCCTGTGGACAAGCAGGACCCCAGCCCCTTTGGAGTCAGGACCCTCCTGTTTTGTCCCTGCTGCTTCCACTGTTCCAGTCTGGACCCTTCCCAGGGTCTCGCTTCCCCTGGAATGCTGGTGGGGTTTTATTGTCCCTTCCCCACTGCCACCCTGCCCTCCACACTGTCCCCAAGACCCCACACTGCCCCTGGTGATGCTCCTGCCTCCCCTGCAGGGAAGAAGAACTCCATCTTGCTCCGCAAGCGAGCCGAGCACAGCTCGGGACCCCTGAACAACGAGATCATCCAGCAGATCGTCAAGCACGACCAGGACGTTGCCCACAACATCCAGGACCTGCAGCAGATGGCGATGGGCCGGGAGCTGAGCGGCAAACCGGTGATTTGGGAGCCTCTGGTGCACGCCCCTCTTCAGACAGCCGCAGCCACCACCAACGTGGCCATCGCTCTGACCCACCAGCACAGCCTGCAGGCTCACATCTTCCTGCCGCCCTCCTCCATCTCCAGCCCGCTCTCTCCCGAAGCCACGCTGCTCACCAAGCCCGTGCGCCGCTCCCAGCCCAGCCTGGGGGGCTCCCGACCCTCCTCCATCAGCTCACCCTCCGGGGCACCCTCCCACCTGCAGACACCGGCTGCTGCTTCGCCTTCCTCCCCCATGGTCCAGCCCCAGGCGGCGATGGAGAGCGGAGCCCAGAGACCCATCCCCGGGGTGCAGCCCCTGCCTCGCTCAGCACAGAGAGGGGAGATGCCCGCGGGGTCCAAACAACCCCCGGCCGCCCCCCAACCCCAACTCTCCCGGTCCCGCGGTGCTTCTCTCTCCACCTCTCTGCTGCAACAAGCGGCGGGCGCTGCTTCCCCCAGCTCCGAGCAGGCGATGCCACCGGGGAGAACGCTCCACTACAGCCTGTCCCGAGCCAGCGGCTCCCACATCTCCCTCCTGATGCAGCCCCAGCAGCTGGTGAAGCACAGGAGCATCCAGGGCTTGCCGGTGGGGCGGCTCACGCAGGATGTGCGGCTCCTATCTGCGTCCCAACCTTCCCTTCCTAATAAAGTAGCCCAGCAAGGCGATGGGAGCTGTTTGAAGCAAGGCAGGAAATCTGCGGGGAATTTAGCCCGCAGGTCCTCACCCTCGGTAGCCGGACTCTTGGCCAAGCCGTGTGCGGGGGTGCCAGCCCAGCCCGCACACCCGCAGCAGACACCTTCAGGATCGCTGGTTCAACCCACTCCCCAATCCCCGAGCTCCGCATCCCGGCAGGCGGCAGGTCCCTCCCGCAAGGGCTCCGTGGCCTTCAGCCCCGAGGTGGAAACAGCGAAGCCCAAACTCCCGTCCAACATGTGAGTCCTGGCGGTGCCCACGCAGGCGGGAGGGAGCCGGGCATCCCTGCGGCAGAAGCGGCAGGAGGAGCAGAGAACCAGCCCCGCCGTGCCGGAGGGAAAATGAGGTGAGAGGCATCAATCGGGGCTGTTTCAGGCATGGGGATGAGGATGGTGCCAGCCCCAGAGCTGGCACAGCTGGATGAGGAGGCAGCTCTGCTGTCTGCCCCAAGGTGGGGTCACCCTGCCCTTGCTCATCACCATCTGTGAGTTCTGCCCTCCAGGTCAGAGCCCTTTGCCCAAATTCTGGCCTCTCTGGGGAGCTCAGCTCCCCACAGCTGCCCCTTGGGGGCTGGGTCCCCCAGGCTCTGTGCTGCGTGTCCCACAGGCTGTCCTCGGGGCAGGGTGACATTGGCAGCTCCTCCAGCTTGTCCCCGATGCCCACCTCCATGCCCAGATTGCCCCTTTGCCTTTAGGGTGAGGAGGCAGAGGCACGGCCTGTGTCTTCTGCCCGGGTGGAGGGAGGAGATGGAGCCCATGGCAGGCAGAGCATGAGGAGGGTCCAGGGTCAGCACTCCCCTTTCCCACAGTGCCAGGACCACCTGGGGGTCCTGGGCAGGGCTCCCCTGGTGTGGCCAGTGCCAAGGGGCAACGCTGGGGGCAGAGGAGCAGCCCCCCAGTCCCTCTCCCCAGCTTGTGGGACCGTTTTGCCTCAGAGGTGCTGAGTGCCAGTCAGGTTGGGATGTGCTGCTGGGCACGGCTCTGCCCCACACCCGGGCACTGCCCCTCCACGTGCCCCCACGGGGGCAACCTGGGGGGATTCTGCAGCTCCAGGAGGATGCTCAGAGAGTCAGTCCAAAGGGACCCCTCTGTGGCCTCAGGAGGATGTCCAGAAGATCATTTGGGATGACCCTTCTGTGGCTCCAGGAGGATGCTCAGAGGGTCTCCTGCACTGCCTGTGGCTCCAGGAGGATGCTCAGAGGGTCACCTGCAGGGACCCCACTGCCTGTGGCTCCAGGAGGATGCTCAGGGGGATGACCTGCAGGGACCCCACTGCCTGTGGCTCCAGGAGGATGCTCAGGGGGTCTCCTGCAGGGACCCCACTGCCTGTGGCTGCAGGAGGATGCCCATCCCGGGCTCTGCTCCCCTGCCCTGTGCTGCACTCCCATTTCCAGGCCACCCAGAGATGCCAGGCTGTCACAAAGAGATGCCAATCCCGGGCAGCGCCTGAGTGACATGTGGGGCTGTGGGGTCACCCCCCATCCAACAGAAGCCCGGGGTCCCCACAGATACCCCACTCCCCTCCTCTAGAGACAGTAGTGTGCAATGTGTGTGCGAGTCGTGGCTCTGCCAAGCAGCCGAGCTCTGCTTCCAGCGTCGCTTTGGGCCAACCGTGTTCAGTCCCGGTTAGAGTAGTGTCCCCTGTGTCCCCACCACGCTGTGCCAGCTGCTCCCCACTCCCAGAGTCAGGAACCGTGGCTTGTCTTCGTGCTCTGGGGCTGAGGAACCCACCGAGGTGAGGCGTTCCCTTCTCCACCCTCGCGTTTTGGGGTGTCGGGAGCAATGTGGGGCGCAGGGAACACCAGCCCACTGCAGGGGATGTCCTGCACTGCCTTTTTTTCCCCCCCACATTCATTTCATCCGCCCTCCCCTGCACAGCCACGTGGAACCGGAGCCCCCCGAGCTCCCGTTGCCGCCACCACCGGGGCACCTCGTGGCCCGGTGCTCACCCCGGTGGAGGATGAAGGGGTTGGGGACACAAGTTTAGCCACCAAAGACCCTCTCCACTCTTACACTCACGGCAGTCGATGTACAGAGCTTGTAGTTTTTTTTATTTTTGGGTCGTTGTACATAACGGATTTCAATAATAAAGAGAGATTCTGAGCTGGTCTGGGGGGAAACTCCTTCTGCACTTTATTTTTTGGTCGTTGTACGTAACGGATTTCAATAATAAAGAGAGATTCTGAGCTGGTCTGGGGGGAAACTCCTTCACATCCTCCTGAGGCCACAGAGGGGTCCCTTTGGACAGCTGGGGTGCTGTCCCATCCCTGCTGTGACCCCGGGGATGGGACAACACCCCCAGCTCCAATTCTGGTTTTCTGCAGAGCCAGGACACCCTTGGGAGCCACCGAGGGGGCTGAGCAGGGTGGCACAGCGAGATCCCAAAGGCAGCAGGTCCCCTCCCAGCAGGGCAGATTAATGTGTAATCTTTGATTATTTTCCCCCTTCCATCTCCGTTCCCTTCATTACCGGCGAGGGGGAGGGGAGGGTTTGATAGCGCCTGATTGCAGAGCAGAACTCGAGGCATTAAAGTGATTAAATGAAGGTCACAGAGCGCAAGGTGGGCTGGGGCACCCGAGCCAGGGCACTGCTGGCACAGCTCTGTGGGCACAGCCTGCACCACCCGCTGCCAGAGCTCACCTCTAGGTCGGGGGTGGTGGAAAAAATCTCTCCTCCAACCTGTGCTTTCAAAAAAACCAAAAAAAAACTCAGAAATTTTCTGTTGTTCGGTCTCATGGTTGTTTATTGCAATTATCTAAAAGATTTTCTTCTCGGGCTGCTGTGGTTTGCTCAGAGCTCAGGCAGAGGCACACACACACCCTGACATCCTCTCTGACTCCTGATTTCTTCTTCTCTCCCCACCCAGGGCTGTGCTGTCTTTTATATGGTACATTATGTGTTAAATGCTTATAGTTTTTCCCCAATGCCCATTACCTATATTAAATGGTGATTTTCTACTCTAAACCAATCTGTGAGTGCCAACATCACCAAGAACATGGAGGTGAGGAAGAAGAAAGAGGGAGGACAGGACAGGCCCAAATCCCTGTTAAATCCATGTACAAAGCCAAAACCCCCCTGTACAGCACTCAAAAATTCTTCCCTTTACTTCGTGACTACTTCTACTATAATATCTAAATTTTTGTGGCTTCTTTTTCTTCCTGCAAGGTTGGTAACTCATTCCATGGCTCAAACCCAAAATTTTCCAGCTGCCTGCCAGGGTCTCAAATGCTTCTGAGCTGGGCCTGGAACCTCCAAAAATGTCTGAGGGACATTTTGAGTTCCAACAAGCTGCCACAGCCGCTCCAGGAGGGCACAGCGGGGCTCAGATGGGGCACGGTGACAAGCAGGACGCAGGTGCCGGTGGCCACCGAGCTGTGCCCTGCCCGGTGTCCCCGCCACGTTCCCGGGGCAGCCCCTGCCCCGCTGCCCGCAGGAATTAGGCTCGGTGCCACACCGAGAGCTCAGTGCTGATTAACGGTTTCTCTCTAATTTGATTATTTCAGATTACACCGCAGCCAGCATGATTAAGCTGGGAGCAAAAAAAAATAGATCATTTTTTTGGGGAATGAATTCCAACATTCTTCCACCCAGTTTGTGTCTTGAGGCAGCAGGACCACTGGTACCTGTTGGAATCTGTGGGTATTGGTGATTCCCAGATTGTAGAAAGTCTCTGTCTTTCTGCCCCGTTGCCAAAGCAGAAGCCATAATTCATCTGTGCTGTTTTCAAGGTTGTTTATTCTGTTTATCTCTAACATGTTCTGCTGCCCTGCCGCAGCTCTGTCCTGCAGGGCAGCGTGTGGGGCTCTGCCCTCAGTGGGATGGTACAAACATTAAATACCACAAACTACCTGTGCTGGATTTACAATAACGTGCCAATATCTGTCACCTACGTTGGACAGTGTGTCCCCAGCCTGAACCAACAGAAAAATGCCAACAGCACAGTGAAACATGGAGGGCATGAAGAAGGAGAAAAAGGACAAGGCACACCCAATTTCCTCCATCTTGTCCCCTTTCAACCCCTAATCTAGAATCCTAAAATTTTACTTTTGCACCCGTGTCACACTTAATTATTACTCTTATCAAACACTCAGAGCAGGTAATTCATCCTGTAAGATTGAAAACTCTTTTCCATGGACAGAGATCACAGCCAGTGTCTCTGGGGGCTCTGTCCAGGGGGGTTCCTGACCCCTGCCAGGGTCCCAGGGCAGCCAGAGGGAAGCTCTGGATTCCCACAGGTGCCCACAGCATCCCGGGATGCGACGGAGCCCCGGTGCCCGCCCGGGGCTGAGGGCAAAGCCGCGGGGTACGGGGGCCCCGCAGAGCCCCCGGTCCATCCCCGGTTCCCTCTCCGTGCTGGAGCCGGGGGCTCTGCCCCGAGCCCCGCGTCCCGGTGGCGGCGGGAGGGGGATTAGAGAGCACCGGGGAGAGACGAATTAGCGCGGGTGAACCGGGATTAGGGGATTCGGGGCGGGTGCCAACCGGAGGGGCCGGGGAACAGGCAGGAGCTGCGGGCAGCAGTGGGAAGGTGGCACGGCGTGTGCCCCATAACTGCTCTGTGCCCCATAACTGCTTTGTGCCCTATACCCGCTCCACACCCCATAACTGCTCTGCACCCCATACCTGCTCTGTGCCCCATACCTGCTCTGTGCACCACACCTGCTCTGCACCCCATAACTGTTCTGTGCCCCATAACTGCTCTGTGCCCTATACCCGCTCCACACCCCATAACTGCTCTGTGCCCTATAACTGTTCTGCACCCCATAACTGCTCTGCACCCCATAACTGCTCCACACCCCATAACTGCTCTGTGCCCTATACCCGCTCCACACCCCATAACTGCTCTGTGCCCTATACCCGCTCCACACCCCATAACTGTTCTGTACCCCATAACTGCTCTGCACCCGATAACTGCTCTGCACCCTACACCCACTCTGTACCCCATAATTGCCCTGTGCCCCATAACTGCTCTGCGCCCATAACTGCTCTGTGCCCTATACCCGCTCCACACCCCATACCTGCTCTGTGCCCCACACTTGCTCAGTACCCCATAACTGCTCTGCACCCCATAACTGCTCTGTGCCCCATAATTGCTCTGTGCCCCATAACTTTTCTATGCCCCATAACTGCTCTGCACCCTACACCCACTCTGTACCCCATAACTGTTCTGTGCCCCATAACTGCTCTGCGCCCCATAACAGCTCTGCACCCCATAACTGTTCTGTGCCTCATAACTGCTCTGTGCCCCATAGCTGCTCTGTGCCCTATACCCGCTCCACACCCCATAATTGCCCTGTGCCCCATACCTGCTCTGTGCCCCACACCCGCACTGTACCCCATAATTGCTCTGCGCCCCATAACTGCTCTGCACCTTATAACTGCTCTGTGCCCCACACCCGCTCTGTACCCCATAACTTTTCTACGCCCCATAACTGCTCTGCACCCACACCTGCACAGTATGTCGGCTGCACAGCACCCCACACCTACACTGCACCCCACACCTGTGTGCACCCCACATCTGTGTGCACCCCAAAGTCACGCGGTATACCACACCTGCATGGAGACCCACACCTGCACAGCGCCCCAAACCTCCCTACAACCCCCCCCACCGCATGGCCCCCCACACCGGCACCCCACACCCCCATTTTTCCCGCAGTTCCAGCGCCCCCCATTCCCCGTCCCGGTGCCCGCGCCCCCCGTTCCCCGCCCCGCTACCGAACACGCCCCGCCCCAAGCCACGCCCACCAGCCTCAGGCCACGCCCCCGCGCCAGGCCGGGCGCTCTCTCCATTCCCCTTCTCCACCAATCACCGGCCTCCATCCCGCCCCCGCCGCGCTTCTATTGGCTCAGCCGTCTTGGGCTCATCCTCGCACGATGAAACGGACCAATAGGCGCTGCTCCAACCGCGTGCCCGCTGGCCCTCCCCAGGCGCGGGGTATAGTGGGAGTTGTAGTCCACCCGCGGCCTTAGTAGGGGTCGTACCCGCGCGTCGGAACTACGCATCCCGGCGTGCCCCGCGCGGGGGGCGGGCCCGGAGGGGCCGTGAGGGACGCGGGCGGCAGCGGCGGGACCGTGAGGCGGCACCGGGGACCGGCACCATGAACGGGGCAGCGGCCGAGCGCGACGAGTTCGCCGCCTTCTTCCCGCAGATCGTCCGCGACCTGACGGAGGACATGCTGGGCCACCCGGAGGTGGGGGACGCCGTGGCGCGGCTGAAGCAGGTGAGAACGGGATGGCGGCGGCGGCGGGCCCGGGGATGGGGAACGGGGAACGGGGAAGGTCCGGGATGTTCAACCGGCTGCGCTCCCGTAGGTGCTGGAGTACAACGCGCCCGGAGGGAAGTGTAACCGGGGGCTGACGGTGGTGGCGGCGTTCCGGCGGCTGGCGGAGCGGCAGGAACCGGAGAGCCTCCGGTGCGCCCTGGCCGTGGGCTGGTGCATCGAGCTGGTGAGAACCGGGACCCCCGGGGGATGGAGCTCGAAACGCTCCTCAAACATTTCTACAAGTTCCAAGCATTTGAAACCCTAACAAACAGCTGGAAACAGCTGTGATTTTGAGGTTGAACCATAGAATAATTTAGTAATTTTGCAGAAAGAACAAGAAGTTTAGATATTATAGTAGAAGGAATCACAAAGTAAAGAGAAAAAAATATTTAGTACTGTACAAGGAAGTTTTAATATTTATACAGGGGGGTTTCTGTTTTATACATGAGTCAAAAGTTTTAAGACTGAAAAATTTTAACCAGTCCTGTCCTTCCTCTTTCTTCTTCCTTACCTCCATGTTTTTAATAATGTTAGCACTCACAAATTAGTTTAAAGTAAAAAAGTAGTAAGTATTAAAAAAAAAAACTATCAACATATAACACATAATATACCATATAAAAGATAACAATAGCCCAAAAGCAAGGAAAAAAAAAAAAACAACAAACAAAGAAGCCTAAGCTGCTGAGCTAACCACAGCAGCCCAAAAGGACAATCTTTTTAGGTAAGTTACAAATAAACAACCCTAAAACCATTTCTTTAAAAGCATAAATTAGAAAATAAGTTTTTCCACCACACAAAGCCACCCCAGAGTCTTCAACTGTGGGAGTTTTCTCATCTTTAATCTGACCTCTGGCAGTTCCAAGCCTTTTTCCTGGTGGCTGACGACATCATGGACGCGTCGCTGACCCGCCGGGGGCAGCTCTGCTGGTATAAAAAGGTGAGAGCTCTCAGGAGGACCCTGCTCACGCCTTGTGGGGTGTCCCCTGCGGGTCAGGAGGATTTGGGACACCTCTTTCCTTCCCTGGTGCAGGAGGGGATCGGGCTGGATGCCATCAATGATGCTTTTCTGCTGGAGTCCTCGGTGTACCGGCTGCTGAGGAGGTACTGTGGGCAGCAGCCCTACTACCTGCACCTGCTGGAGCTCTTCCTGCAGGTGAGCCCGGCTCCCCAAACCCCTTCCTGATTTTTTGGGGTCTGAGCCTTCACATCGGACCTTTTCTGATGTGGGTCTTGAATTCCTGGCCATCCTGCTGGACACACCCTGAGGAGCTGAAGAGGGGTTTGGGGTCGGGCTTTCCTGGAGGATTCTGTGAATAAATCGTGGAAATCACACCTTAAAGGTCATCTTGTTCCACTCCCCTGCCATGGGGACACCTCCCACTTGACCCAGCTTGCTCCAAGCCCTGTCCAACCTGGCTTTGGACACTTCCAGGGGCACCCAAAGCTTCTCTGGGCATCTGTGCCAGGGCCTGCCCACCCTCCCAGGCAGGAATTCCTTCCACCACCCTTTATCTTCTTATTCCCCCCATTCAAAACATCCTCCTCCCTCTTTTTTATAACCCTTTGAAGCACTGAAAATCTGCAACGAGGCCACAAATCCTTTCTTTCCTCTCCAGACAGGCTACCAGACCGAGCTGGGGCAGACCCTGGACCTCATCACTGCTCCAGTTTCCCAGGTGGACCTGAGCAGGTTCAGCGAGCAGCGGTACGGGGGGCAGAGGCAGAGCCTGGGGTTGGTTTTTGGGGAGCAGCTGAGCCTGGGGCTGGTTTTTGGGGAGCAGCTGAGCCAGGGGCTGGTTTTTGGGGAGCAACCCGGTCCCTTCCCAGCTCTGCTGAGCCTGGGGCTGGTTTTTGGGGAGCAGCTGAGCCTGGGGCTGGTTTTTGGGGAGCAGCCCGGTCCCTTCCTGGCTCTGCTGAGCCTGGGACTGGTTTCTGGGGAGCAGCTGAGCCTGAGGTTGTTTTTTGGGGAGCAGCTGAGCCTGGGGCTGGTTTTTGGGGAGCAGCCCGGTCCCTTCCCAGTTCTGCTGAGCCTGTGGTTGATTTTTGGGGTTTTAGGGGAGCCCTTCTGTCCCCCAGGGTGGCAGAGGCAGAGCTTGGTCCCTTCCTGGCTCTGCTGAGCCTGGGACTGGTTTTTGGGGAGCAGCTGAGCCTGGCACTGGTTTTTGGGGAGCAGCTGAGCCTGGGGCTGGTTTTTGGGGAGCAACCTGGTCCTTTCCCGTCTCTGCTGAGCCTGGGGTTGATTTTTGGGGAGCAGCTGAGCCTGGGACTGGTTTTTGGGGTTTTGGGGAGCCCTTGTGTCCCCAAGGGTGGCAGAGGCAGAGCTTGGTCCCTTCCCAGCTCTGCTGAGCCTGGGGTTGTTTTTTGGGGAGCAGCTGAGCCTGGGGCTGGTTTTTGGGGAGCAGCTGAGCCTGGGGCTGGTTTTTGGGGAGCAGCCCGGTCCCTTCCCATCTCTGCTGAGCCTGGGGTTGGTTTTTGGGGAGCAGCTGAGCCTGGGGCTGGTTTTTGGGGAGCAGCCCGGTCCCTTCCCAGCTCTGCTGAGCCTGGGGCTGTTTTTTGGGGTTTTGGGGTGCCCTTGTGGCCCCGAGGGGGGCAGAGGTGGCCTCGGGGCTCAGCCTGCTCCCTCTGGCACAGGTACAAGGCCATTGTGAAGTACAAGACGGCGTTTTACTCCTTCTACCTGCCCGTGGCCGCAGCCATGTACATGGTGAGTCTGCTGGGAGCTGCTCGGGATGGCAGGTCCTGGAAGCCGTGATCCCCAGGTCCTGGAAGGCTCGATCCCCAGGTCCTGGAAGCCTTAATCCACAGGTCCAGGAAGGCTCGATCCCCAGGTCCTGGAAGCTTTAATCCCCAGGTCCAGGAAGGCTTTACTTCATCCCCAGGTCCTGGAAGGCTTCATCCCCAGGTCCTGGAAGGCTTTTTCTCCAGGTCCAGGAAGGCTTTACTTCATCCCCAGGTCCTGGAAGGCTAGGCTTTATCCCAGGTTCTGGAAGGTTTTACTTTTTCCCAGGTCCTGGAAGGCTTGATCCCCAGGTCCTGGAAGGCTTCATCCCCAGGTCCTGGAAGGCTTCATCCCTAGGTCCTGGAAGCCTTAATCCCCAGGTCCTAGAAGCTTTAATCCCCAGGTCCAGGAAGCCTTGATCCCCAGGTCCTGGAAGCCTTGATCCCCAGGTCCTGGAAGGCTTCATCCCTAGGTCCTGGAAGCTTTAATCCCCAGGTCCAGGAAGGCTTTACTTTATCCCCAGGTCCTGGAAGGCTTTGCTTCAACCCCAGGTCCTGGAAGGCTTTGCTTCAACCCCAGGTCCTGGAAGCTTTAATCCCCAGGTCCTGGAAGGCTTTACTTGATCCCCAGGTCCTGGTAGGCTAGGCTTTATCCCAGGTCCTGGAAGGCTTTGCTTTATCCCAGGTCCTGGAAGACTTTACTTTATCCCCAGGTCCTGGAAGGCTTTTTCCCTGGTCCTGGAAGACTTTACTTTATCCCCAGGTCCTGGAAGGCTTTATCCCAGGTCCTGGAAGGCTTTGCTTTATCCCCAGGTCCTGGAAGGCTTTATCCGTAGTCCTGGAAGGTTTTTTTTAACCCTGTTATTTCCTCCCTCCCCTCAGGCAGGCATTGACAGTAAGGAGGAGCACGAGAACGCCAAAGCCATCCTGCTGGAGATGGGAGAGTTCTTCCAGATCCAGGTAGGAGCTGCCTCAGCGCCCCTTGTTGCTTGCCCGGCGCTGGCTGTGTCACTCAGGCGTTGTCATTGTCACCCAGGACGATTTCCTGGACTGCTACGGGGACCCAGCCCTGACGGGGAAGGTTGGCACCGACATCCAGGACAACAAGTGCAGCTGGCTGGTGGTGGAGTGTCTGCGCCGGGCCACGCCGGAGCAGAGGCAGATCCTGGAGGTAAAATCCTGGATCCCACACCTGGGAGAGGGGCTGGAGAGCCTGGGTGTACACCTGGATGTACACCTGGATGTACACCTGGATGTACACCTGGGTGTACACCTGGATGTACACCTGGATGTTCACCTGGATGTTCACCTGGGTGTACATCTGGATGTACACCTGGGTGTAGACCTGGATGTAGACCTGGATGTTCACCTGGGTGTACACCTGGATGTTCACCTGGATGTACACCTGGTTGTACACCTGGGTGTCCACCTGGATGTCCACCTGGATGTACCCTGGATGTACACCTGGATGTACACCTGGGTGTACACTTGGATGTTCACCTGGGTGTACACCTGGAGTTCCAGGTGCTGTTACCTGGCTGGGAGGAGGGGGATGAGCACGAAGAAGTGAGAACAAAGCTCAGCACTCACAGCAGCGTTTTCTCAGGAGAACTACGGCTCTAAGGAGCCCCAGAAGGTGGCCAAGGTGAAGGAGCTCTACAATGCCCTGGGAATGGAAGCGGTTTTCCGGGAATATGAGGAGAGCAGCTACCGGCGCCTGCAGGAGCTGATCGGGAAGCACGCCCAGCGCCTGCCCGCCGAAATCTTCCTGGACCTCGCCCAGAAGATCTACAAGCGGCAGAAGTGATGGAGGGACCTGGCAGGGGTCTGCCTAGAGCAGCTCCCTGCCCTGGGAAGGGTCGGGGAGGGATGGAGAAGGTGCGATAGGATGGCCGGGGTGGGGTTCAGCCATCTCCCCCCCTCTTCCCCCGTGAATATATGTGAATAAATATAAATTATTGTAGCTGCGGCGCTGCCTGCTGTTGTCTGGGCACACTCCCGTGTTTTCCGGGCTGGGGGGATGCCCGGAGCGCCGCCTCCACCGGCGGGGCGGGACCGGGCGGTTCCCGGTGGGCGGCGGCGGGGCCGCGGCTCCTCCTTCCCTCCCGCAGCCGCATTCGCCGCCGCAGCGCCGAGGTGAGCGGGGGACGGGGAGGAAGAGGATGGAGCCGGGAGGGGGATGAAGAGGGCCGCGCCCAGGCGGGCCGCTGCTGCTGCCTGGCTGCCGGTCCTCGCCCTGGGCCCGGGGGATGCTCGGGACCGGGGGATGCTCGGAGCTTGCGGATGCTCGGAGCCCGGGGGATGCTCGGGAGCCCGGGGGATGCTCGGGACCAGGGGATGCTCGGAGCCCGGGGGATGCTCGAGGACCGGGGGATGCTCGGAGCCCGGGGCCGGGGCTCCCCATCCCCCCCGGTAAGGCCAGGCCCGGTGGCGCGGTGGCGGTTCCGCAGCGGCTCCCAGGACCGGGAGATTCCAGCCAAACCTTGGTCCCTGAGCACCCGTGGTGCCACCGCCCCCAGCCAGGGCAGCATCCTCCCCCGCCCCCGTGTCTCGACGAAGCTCCAAGGGCGTTTTCTCCTTGGCGGCATCCCCGAGATGCTCCGGAGGGAATCAGCCCCGGAGCAGCTGGTTTCAGTCCCTGCCCGGCCGCAGAGCCCCAAGCCGGGCAGGAAACTGTGGGGCATCCCCTCCCTCAGGGCACATCCCCATCTCTAACCCCCAGCCCCATTGCTGCGAGGTCACTGCCATCCCTCTTCCCCCGCCTGTGCCTCTCTCCAGGTTTGTTCTTCCTCGGCCAGGAGGGTGTTTGGTGCTTGCAGGGAGCTGGATGGTGTGAAGAGAGGAGCTGCTGGCCTTTCCTGGCAGCCCTGGCACTTCCAGCGAGGAGACAGCACCATGCTGGCTCCAAAGAAAGGCCTCCTGTGCAACCTCAACCACATCCACCTGCAGCACATCTCCCTGGGGCTGCACCTCTCCCGGCACCCCGAGCTCCAGGACGCTTCCACGGCTGGGGGAGAGCAGACGGGCTGCACCCAGTGCCCGGAGAACCGTGAGCCGGTGGATGCCAATTCCAACAACCCCTCGGTGAAATGCCGCTGCTGTGAGTCCCACGCTCCGGAGCTGGAGACGCTCGGGCTCCAGAACCAAGAGGATTTCCCCTGCCTGCACAGCGGAGACGAGGAGGAGGCAGCTTCCCCTTGTGATCCCCCTTGTGATCTGGCTTCTTCCTCCTCCTCCTCCTCCTCCTCTGTCAGTAGCTGCTCGGATTTCAGCTTGGATGACTCCCCGGTCTCGGTGTACTGCAAGGAGCTCTCCAGAGCAGAATCCCAATCTCCTGACAAGCAGCTGAACGTCATTCCCACAGAAAACGCCTGCGATGGAGAGTCTCTGGCTGATGGAGAGAGTCTGCCCGACCAGGACAGGACGTGCCACGGGAGAGATGCCAACCACAACTCCCCGGTGTCCCTCAGAGCCACCACCGTGCCCAGCAAGAGCCCAGACAGCCTCTGCAGCAACAACTCACTCGACTCCCACTGCGATGAGCTCTCTCCCAGCACAGCAGCACAGGAGACCACCGGCACCTGCCCTGACCTAGACCCCAACTGCAACCCCCTCCCCGAGCCCGATGCTGCTCCTCCAGCACCTCCGCCTGTGCCGGAACGGCGGGATCCCGAAATCCCGAGCAGCGCTGCGGAACCGCGGCCCCGGCCCGGGGGTCTCCCCCCACCGGTGCCCCCTCGTCCCCGGCGGCGGCTGCAGGTCCTCAACGCTCACAGAGCGGAGCATCCACCAGAGCCCAAGGCCGGGCCTGGTGAGCTCTGCCGAGACGTGGGCACCAAGACCATCACCTCCTTCCACGAGCTGGCCCAGAGGAGGAAGAGGAACGTGGCTGGAGCGCTCGGCCAGGCCAGGGTTGACCGCAGTGACTGGCTGATCGTCTTCTCGCCTGACACGGAGCTGCCCCCCACCAGCGAGCTCCTCTCCGGTACCGTGGGCCAGGAGCCAGCCCACCCTCCACCCCAGCCCCAACAGCCCCAGCAGGACGGGCCGGTGGGGCCTCCCGGCTCCAGGCAGCGAGAGGTGACGACCTTCAAGGAGCTGCGGTCCCGCAGTGCCACCCGGCAGCCCAAGGGGCAGCGGGCAGAGCCGGGCCAGCACCCCCCTGTGCCCCCCGGGACGGGCGCGGGCTGCGGGCCCCCCACGCCCCCGGTGCTGGCACCCAGCGACAGCCACCAGCTGAGGAGGAGAGCCCGGCCGAGCCTGCAGCCCATCGCGGAGGGGCAGCCGAGGGATGTGGAAAACGGGGTGCATCCCCCGGGGGAAAAGGGACCGGGCACCGCCCCGCTCCGGAGGATCGGGGGTCCCACCGGGGACCCCGCGGTGCAACGGGCGGCTCAGCGAGGAGGCGAAACCCGCACGGGGGGTGAGTTTGGGTCTCTCCGGTGTTCTACCGGGGGGTTGCGGGGTCAGGTGAGCGGTGACAGTGATGCCGGGGCGCTCCGTGCCGGGCACGGTGAGAACCGGGAGTTCCGCCGCATCGCCCGGCGGGACGTGGCGGGGCTGTCCCGGTCCCGCTCCGCCCCGCGCTTCCTCCGCCGCCCGGCCCGGCCCCGCCGCCCTTCGCCCCGCGGCTCCATGAACCGGAGCGAGCCGGGCCCCGTTCCTCCGCCGGTCCCGGGCAGCGCCGCAGCCGCCGCCCCGCCTGACCCCGCTGCTCCGCTCTCTCCAGCCAGGCCCGAGCCGCTCGCCACCGGAGCCGCCACCGGAGCCGCCACCGGAGCCGCCCCCGGAGCCGCCACCGGAGCCGCCCCCGGAGCCGCCCGGCCCGGCGGGGGAAGAGCGGAAGGGCCCCGTGGCGAGCAAACGAAAGGTTTGGGCAATTCTCCACCGGGAGAACGGGAGGGGAGGAGGGGGCAGCGGGACCCGCGGGGTGCCCCGTTCATGGGAGTCACCTCGGGAGGTGCCAGGGGCTCGTCCTGGGCTGGGACAAGGACAGAGAAGGGCGAGGAGGGACGGTGCGGGCAGGGATGGGCAGTGCTGCCTTCACCGGGCCCGCCGGAGAACGCGGCCGCCACCCCAAACCCACCGAGGGTGTCCCCACCCGCGGCTCTGGCACAGCCCCGGGGATCCGCCGGTGGTGCCCGGAGCTGCTCGGTCTCTCCTGGGTGCTGACCCCTCTCTCCTCCTCCTCTCCCGCTGTCCCCAGCGCTGCTGGTGGCCATCAGCTCCGCTGTGGACAAGGTCATCGCCCACTTCAGCACCGCTCGGAACCTGGTGCAGAAGGTGAGAGCTGGGCTGGGCGGATTTTGGGATTCCCTCATTGCTCCCAGCGGAATTAGGATCTGGTGCTGTCTTTTCCTTCCCTCTCCTGTCCTTGTGCCTCCCTCAGGCCCAGCTGGGGGACAGCCGGCTCAACCCCGACGTGGGTTACCTGCTGCTGCACACCCTCTGCCCTGCTCTCTACGCCTTGGTGGAGGACGGGCTGAAACCGTTCCAGAAGGATGTTATCACCGGCCAGAGGAAAAATTCCCCCTGGAGCGTGGTGGAAGCCTCTGTGAAAACAGGTGAGGGTGAGGCTGGGGGTATCTCCAGGGAGTGTTGCTGTGCCCTGGGCAGTGGCTGTCTGTGCTCTGTGCCCCACAGGCCCCAGTGCCCACTCCCTGCACTCCCTGTGCTGCCATGTGGCCGGGCTGGCCCCCCTCAGCAGCACCAGGCAGAAGTTCCACGCCTTCATCCTCGGCCTTCTGAAGTGAGTGGTGTTGGCCCTGCTGGCCCCACTGCCACGGCAGCTTGGAACTGTCTAATGTTGGCTCTAATTTGGGTTCCCTTTGTCTTATTTAGCATTAAACAGCTGGAGCTGTGGATATCTCACCTGCAGAAGAGCCCAGGTAAGGACACGGTGACCAGCAGCTCTGTCCCTGGGCTGATAATCCCACTCTGGGGCTGGAGTTCCCATAGTGGATCAGGGCATGGTTTTCCACGGTGCCTCTTCAGCACAGAGGTGCTCTGAGTGACGTGGGCAGCCTGGCTGGCCCTCAGTGGGGCTGTGACAAGGACAGGGGGACATTCTGCATGGCCTCACCTGTCCCTGTCCCCTCAGGTGTGATCTCCGTGCTTTACTCCCCCACGGCCTTCTTCTCCTTGAGCCAAGGCCCTCTTCCCCACCTTGCTGACGAACTTCTGCTGCTCATCCAACCCCTCTCGGTGCTGACTTTCCACCTGGACTTGCTCTTTGAGCACCACCACCTCTCCGTGGACATCCGGCCCTTGTCCCGCCGGGTGGAGTCCTCGTTGTCCCCTGGCACTGCTGGGGACAACCTGGAGGATGAAACCCCCCCAGATGCTCTGGGCAGGGTGGGGGGCACAGGGAGCAGCACAAAGCTTCGGTCCTCAGCGTCCATGGGTGGGCTGGTCCCAACCCCACCCATGGGTGCTGCCCTGCAGCAAACCTTCCAGCATGTGCTGCGCTGGGGCGACCGGCTCAGCCGCACCTTGCTGGGGTCTGACACCCCCTCCCCGGAGAGCCACGGGCCTCAGGAGGGTGCTGAGGGTGCTGGGGCTGGTCTCAGTGGCTGGTGGGGCCAGCTGAGCCAAAGCTCCAGGATTTACACTGCTCCTAGCAAGGAAAAGTCCCCCTCGGTGTGGTGGACGAAGCTGCGGGCGCCTGTGGGTGATCCCAACCCAAGCCAGGCTGGGCAATCCCAAATTTCCACCAGTGAGCCCAGAGGCACAGAGCTGCAGCTCCTTCAGACCAAAGCTGTCCCTGAACACCCAAAGCCCAGCAGCAGCACTGACACCTCAGGGACCTCTTCCCCTGAAGATCTCTTCTTGCCCGCTGGAACCCGGGTGTCCACCAAGCTGGATGATGCCACCACTGGAAAGAACCTCCTGGTTGCTTCTCCAGAGCCTCCTGCCAACCAGGCAGCACCTTCTGGCCTGGAGATGGGTGATCCTCCTGGTCCTGCCAAGGGCAGCTGGCTGGGCTGGCTCTTTGGGGCCACCACCTCCTCGTCCAGGAGCTTCTCCGCCAGCCCTGACGCCGTCTTGGCCAGGTCCAGGTAAGAGCCAGCTTGGGGAGGTACAGGGGGAAGGGTTTGTGTGTGCTGAGGGAGGGATTCTGTGTGCTCAGGGGTGTTTCTGTGTGCTCAGGTGTGCTGAGGGAGGGATTATGTGTGATCAGGTGTGCTGAGGGAGGGTTTCTGTGTGCTCAGGTGTGTTTCTGTGTGCTCAGGGGTGCTGAGGGAGGGATTCTGTGTGCTCAGGTGTGTTTCTGTATGCTCAGGTGTGTTTCTGTGTGCTCAGGTGTGCTGAGGGAGGGATTCTGTGTGCTCAGGTGTGTTTCTGTATGCTCAGGTGTGTTTCTGTGCGCTCAGGTGTGCTGAGGGAAGGTTTCTCTGCACTCAGGTGTGCTGAGGGAGGGATTCTCTGAGCTCAGGTGTGCTGAGGGAGGGATTCTCTGCACTCAGGTGTGCTGAGGGAGGGATTGTCTGAGCTCAGGTGTGCTGAGGGAGGGATTCTCTGAGCTCTGGTGTGCTGAGGGAGGGATTCTGTGTGCTCAGGTGTGCTGAGGGAGGGATTCTGTATGCTCAGGTGTGTTTCTGTGAGCTCAGGTGTGCTGAGGGAGGGATTCTGTGCTCTCAGATGTGCTGAGGGAGGGTTTCTGTGTGCTCAGGTGTGTTTCTGTGTGCTCAGACGTGCTGAGGGAGGGATTCTGCATGCTCAGGTGTGTTTCTGTGTGCTCAGGTGTGCTGAGGGAGGGATTCTCTGCACTCAGGGGTGCTGAGGGAGGATTTCTGTGCTCTCAGATGTGCTGAGGGAGGGTTTCTGTGCGCTCAGGTGTGTTTCTGTGCTCTCAGGTGTGCTGAGGGAGGGTTTCTGTATGCTCAGGTGTGCTGAGGGAGGGATTCTCTGCACTCAGGTGTGTTTCTGTGCACTCAGGTGTGCTGAGGGAGGGATTCTGTGCACTCAGGTGTGCTGAGGGAGGGATTCTGTATGCTCAGGTGTGTTTCTGTGCTCTCAGGTGTGCTGAGGGAGGGTTTCTCTGCACTCAGGTGTGTGCTGAGGGAGGGTTTCTGTGCGCTCAGGTGTGTTTCTGTATGCTCAGACGTGTTGAGGGAGGGTTTCTCTGCTCTCAGATGTGCTGAGGGAGGGATTCTGTGCACTCAGGTGTGCTGAGGGAGGGTTTCTGTGCACTCAGGTATGCTGAGGGAGGGTTTCTCTGCACTCAGGTGTGCTGAGGGAGGGTTTCTCTGCACTCAGGTGTGCTGAGGGAGGGTTTCTGTGCACTCAGGTGTGCTGAGAGAGGGTTTCTCTGTGCTCAGGTGTGCTGAGGGAGGGTTTCTGTGCACTCAGGTGTGCTCAGGGAGGGATTCTCTGCACTCAGGGGTGCTCAGGGATGGTTTCTATGCCCAGCTCACCACGGTGTTGGCCTCTTGGGGATCTTGTAGGGTCCGTGCCCGTGGGATTAGGGCACATCCCAAGTGCTGCTGCCATCGCCTTGTTCAGTCCTGCCTCACAGGGAGCCTCAGTGCTGCTTGGTGGCTCCTTGGCAGCTCTGAGATCACCAGAACAACCTGAGATAAGCACCTTGAGGAGCTGCCAGGTGAGCTCGTGGCTCCCTTTGCTCTGTGGCAGGAGACCGTCCCGCTGGCTGAACCCCACCCCGCAGGTCCTGGCAGGGGTGATGAAGGCTCTGGCGCCCGACAGGAGCCCGCAGCAGCCGGGCCAGGCTGTGCCCACCTTGCCCCCAGCCCGCAGGTGAGGCAGGGCACGGGGTGGGCAGGGGGTGACATTTGGGGTGCAGGGGGTGACACTGAGGGTGCAGGGGGTGACATTGTGGGTGCACGGGGTGACATTTGGGGTGCAGGGGGTGACATTTGGGGTGCATGGGGTGACATTTGGGTACAGGGGGTGACATTGGCGGTGCACGGGGTGACATTGGCGGTGCAGGGTGGGACATTTGGGGTGCAGGGGTGACACTGGCGGTGCAGGGGGTGACATTTGGGGTGCAGGGGGTCACACTGGTGGTGCAGGGGGTCACACTGGTGATGCAGGGGTGACACTGGTGATGCAGGGGGGACACTGGTGGTGCAGGGGGTGACACTGGGGGTGCAGGGGGTGATATTGGCGATGTAGGGGTGACATTTGGGGTGCATGGGGTGACATTGGCAGTGCAGGAGGTCACACTGGTGGTGCAGGGGGTGACATTTGGGGTGCACGGGGTGACATTTGGGGTTCAGGGGGTGACATTTGTGCTGCAGGGCAGTTCGGGCGCTGTGTGACCACACGGGCACCGCTGACGGGCACCTGAGCTTCCAAAAAGGAGACATCCTGGAGCTGCTCTCCACTGTGGATGAAGACTGGATCCGCTGCTGCCATGGGAACAGCAGCGGCCTCGTTCCTGTGGGTTACACATCCCTGATTTTGTGAAGGAGGAGGAAAGGACCCGAGGAAATGGCTGAGCTCACCAGAGCCGGTGCCAACTCTGGGAGGAGATGTCCCCTGCCACAGCTGTGCCACCTCCAGGGCTGGCAGCTCCCAGGGGACCCCGCCTTGTGCCTGTCACTGCTGCATGGCATCACCGTCTGCCACCGTGTCCCACCCTCTGCCACCCTCGGGGCTCCTCTGCTGCTGCCCACCCTTGTGCCAGGCTGGGCCAGCTCCTTTCCCTGCCCAGTGTCACCTCCGTGCCCCCGTGTCCTGCCACCGCTGCCACCTCCCCGTGCCCTGCCCTGCCCCGGGGGCCCGGGCCGGGCTGTAAATAGTTGTAACCACGGGAAAAAAGCTGGAAAATAAAGGTTGTGATTCACCTGAGCGCTGGGGCTGGTGGTGGCCACGGGGACGGGGTGGGATGAGGATGATCCAGGAGGAGCAGCCAGGGTTGGGATGGGTTGGATCTCAACATCTCGGCTTCCAGCAGAAGATGCTCAAGCTCCTCCACAGCTCTGTAGCCTCCCAGAGCCAGGAAAATCCCTGGAGAAGCTCCTGAGGAACAGCCCAGATCGCTGGTTTAGTTATTTATGTAACTTCAACGAATCATTTCATAGCCCAGAGGATGCCAGTAGGGGTTAAACCGCTCCAAATTCTTCATATTTTTGTCATTGCTGTGATTTCATCCCAGGATTTGCTGTGAAATAAAGGTGTGGCCATAGCGGGTCCAGGGGCAGTTTTGGGTCTCTGTTTCACCCTCCTGACTTCCCCTTGGGGTGGCCAAATCCGCTGGGTCAGCCCTCAGCTCTCCTTTCACTCTGCTCTCATTTCCACTCGTCTCTCTGGCGTTTTTATTCTCAGCCCAGTGACGTTATATCCTGCCTGGAATGTTCCTTGGCTCGCCTTAAGGAGGTTTGATTGATTTCTGCAGCTGCTTCTGGGCTTGGAAAACGGGGTCATGCCAGCAGGGGAGGAAGCCAGGTGGTACTTCAGTTTATTTATTTTTTTTTTAAATAAACACCTCTCCAAACCTTGGCCTGGGGCCTTGGGTTTAAAAAGGAGCGTAGGGGTCAAGCGTGGAATTTTTGTGCTCATAGAGAGCCAGAGTGGGAAAGGGAAGAAGAAAAATCAGGTTGCACAGAAGGGAAGAAGAAGAAAAAGCTGTTTAATTCCTGAGGGATGCTGGTGTCTCTCTGCAGGGGAGAGATCTCTGTGACCTGTGTCACCTGGGGGTGACAGTCCCCAACCTGTGCAGGACAAGGGGGCTCCAGGACACCAAATCCATGGATTTAATGGCTCCTGCCCCAATTTGCCCCACAGGCAGCCATGGTCACAGCCCCTCTGACCCACAGGTGACCGTGCTGGCCCCAGCGCTCCTGCAGAGCTTTGGGGTGACACTGAACCCTCTGAGACGTGTGGCAGCTGGGGGTTCCTGTTCCAAGGGGTGTTCCTGGGCTCCCATCCCAGGTGGGTGATCCCGAGTTCCCATCCCAGGGATATTTCATGGATTTCCCTGTGGATCCCACAGATTTCATGGATATTCCTGTGCATTTCATGGATTTCTCTGTGAATCCCACGGATTTCATGGATTTCCCTGTGAATCCCTGGAATTCATGGATATCTCACATGGATTTCCCTGTGGATCCCTGGATTTAATGGATATCCCTGTGGATCCCATGGATATCCACGTGGATTTCATGGATTTCCCTGTGGATCCCACGGATTTCATGGATTTCCCTGTGGATCCCTGGATTTCATGGATATCCCTGTGGATCCCACGGATTTCATGGATATCCCTGTGGATTTCATGGATTTCTCTGTGAATCCCACGGATTTCATGGATTTCCCTGCAGATTTCATGGATTTCCCTGTGGATCCCTGGATTTAATGGATATTCCTGTGGATTTCATGGATTTCCCTGTGGATCCACGGATTTCATGGATATCCCTGTGGATCCCACGGATTTCATGGATATCCCTGTGGATCCACGGATTTAATGGATTTCCCTGTGGATCCCTGGATATCTCTGTGGATCCCATGGATTTCATGGATATCCCTGTGGATCCACGGATTTAATGGATTTCCCTGTGGATCCCTGGATATCTCTGTGGATCCCATGGATTTCATGGATTTCCCTGTGGATACACGGATTTCATGGATATTCCTGTGGATCCATGGATTTCCTTGTGAATACCACGGATTTCATGGATACCCCTGTGGATACCATGGATTTCATAGATATCCCTGTGGATTTCATGGATTTCCCTGTGGATTTCATGGATATCCCTGTGGATCCCACGGATTTCCCCCTGTGAATCCCTGGAATTCCCGGATCCCTGCCCCGATCCCTCCTCCTGCCCTCTGGCACACCCCCGCTCCCACCAGCTCAAAGCAAAGAAAACCCCCCGAGCCAGCCGTAGGAAAAGATTTTTCCATTTAATACTAGACTCTCAGGATTGAGATGCAGGCTTTTTATGCAATTACATCCAATGTTAAAATTGGTAATACATAATTTACAAAGATTAACATCAAAACAATGATCTATTTAGATATGCTTTGTAAAAAGGAAATATATTAGCAGCATTTATTTTCAGCAATCACACAGCCTACACCCATGCAGACTAAGGTTCAGCTCTATTTGCAGTAACGTAGTGCTTCCTGGCTCCGGCGGCGATCCTGGGGACACACGGGTCTGCTCAGTATTATAAAATAACCAAAAAAATAAAAAAAGTCATTAATTTCTACACCAGTAAGAAAAAACAATTCTTTGCACTTACCTAACATTTGATTGTCTAAAAAACATTTTGTTTAGTCTTTCAACAAAAGAAAGATAAAATGACAGAGCTAGTGTCTCGCTTCTGTACGCACTTTATTTTTTTATTTTTTAAAAACTTTTTAGTGTTTAACACCATTTGAGACAATGATTTCTGTTTGAAACTAAATGAGACAACTCGAGGGTTTGGACATGCGATATTCCTACTACACGCACGAGTATTTTATACTCAGGGTTCCTGGTACTGTACAGTGCTTCTCTACAGTAAGAAAATATTCCAAACTATTTTCTTATTTCTTTTTTTTTTTTAATAAAATATTTTTTTTTTCTCAAAGGGTTTTTTTCCTTTCTTTTTTTTTTTTCGTGGTTTTTTTTTTGTTTTGTTTTCTCTTTTTAAATCAACACATAAAAGTTAATGGAATGAGTCATGTTCCACTAAGAGTAAAATAATTATAATAATAACAAGAATGTACATTAGGACGAGCTTGGTCCATAAAAAGGAACATGTAACTACGGTATTGCTTTACATCCACGCAGCAGATATATACAACTTGGCACATTAAAAACCGGATTTCTTATAAGAACACCTAAAACAGGACTGGATATGCATGTGAGACAGGAAAGCAAAGCCAGGTCCGGGAGCAGCGGGCGCCGCCCGGCCCCGGGGCTGGCGGGACTATCGCGACAATCGCGACAATCGCCGCGGGTGGGGCCGCTGTCCACCAGCACACGAGGGTAGTGTTAGCAGTTGATAAATTCGATAAATTCTACAGCTCACGACAAACACTCGCTCGGATACTGCCTGACGGGCACGGAGTGAAAGGGTCCTGGGTTGGTTTATTTATTTTTTTTTGTTTTCTTTTAGTTTTTTTTTCTTCTTTTGTTGTTGTTTTTTTTTTCCTTTTTTTTTTTTTCTTTTAACAGATTTTTATTTGCACAACACACGAGACACACGAGAACCACAGCTTATCAAAAAAACCAACAGCAATGGTGGCGTCAAGGAGCTGACTTCGCTTTTATAAAATTTCTCTGCAGAAAAAAAGTGAAAAAAACCTCACACCCCACCCACCCCCTCCCCCCTGCACAGCAAGTGCCTCATCCCAGCGCTCCTGCCCCGCTCCAAGGGCTTCTGGAAGCTTCTCCTTGGCACAGACCGCAGGGACACGAGCTCAGCTGTCCCACGGCTCCTCTGGGGACGTTTCTCTCTTCTTGGAACTTGTGCAAATCAGAGGCCGCAGCTTCAGGGCAGCTTTTCCTCTTAAGCCACTGCTGGGCCTTTCCTCTCCCCTCTGGATTCCTGGATTCCCTTGCCTGGAGTGCTGAGGGTGGCTGGTACAATCCCAGGTTAGCAGTGACCGTGGGGAACATCCTCCTCAGAGTAACTCAGTCCTTTTTCCTCTATCCTCCCTATTTCTATTTTTTTTTAAATTTTGTTGTTTTTTTTTTCCTCTGAGTGGGAATATCAAGCAAAAATAAATTAAATTTGACCATCCTGGACAATAACCACGAGGTTTCCTCAGTACCTAACATCAATACAAGGCACGCCCACCAACACACACACCAAGAGCACTGCAGAGCAGGGTGGGCAGCGTGCCGGCCCGGCCCCCCAGGTGCTACTGTTTGTATTTTGTCAGTTTGCTGCTGCCTCCCCTTGCCCAGGCTGGGCTCTGCCCCCAGCCCTGACAGACCCCAGAGCTCGGCTGTCCCTCCTGGGTCACTTCCTGAAGCTGCTCTCGGGGATGCTCAGAGTGCGGCGCCGCAGCTTCCGACCCGATCCTTCCTCCAGCAGGTAGGTGACATCGATGGCTGCAACAGAGCACAAAGATTTCAGTCGTTACAGGGTCACCCAGGCTGGAAAATACCTCCAGGATCATCAGCTCCAAGCTGTGAGTGATGCCCACCCTGTCACCTGAGCGCCGCCTCCCAGCACTCCTTCAACACAAAATTTTTGTTTCCTGTTTCTCTTAAGGATGTTCCCCTCCAGGAAATCCAGGACAAGGTGATGAGTGACCAAGCCCTGAGCCATGGCTGGACCAGACACCTCCAAAAATCCTTCCAAGCTAAATTAAGCATCAGTCCATCAGAACTTGGAAGAGACTGGACAGAGCTCATCCAGGCTATAATTTAAAAGCAGGGTCACACTTCACCCTGATCCCTCATCCCCCTACAGCAGGTACTCAGAACCAAAGGAAAGGTCATGAAAGGTCAAAAGAGACTTTCCAAATTCCCCTCAAGTCTTTCCTGGCTTGTCTGCTAAGTTTCTCCATTGCAGATACGGAATGAAGGGGAGGAATTCGTTTTTGTGGCCATTAAAAATATTATACAAAAAAAATTTTAAAATATTATACAAAACAGTGTCATAGTTGTAAGAAATTTCACTTGGATTTAGTGGATTTCTGTTGCAAAGGAAAACGTGGCTACAAAGAAAACTGACTTTCCTAATACTTGCTAGCAAGAAATTCAGACAAAAACACTGATTTTATCAACACAGCTCAGCCAAGCGACCCCAGACCTGCAGCAGACCCAGGGGCTGTGCAAGCAGAGCCTGAACTCTCACCGTTTTTCCCTGGGATTTTCTCGAGGAGGTTGAGCAGGATCTGGTTCAGCCTCTCCCTCTGGAGGTGCCGCCGCTCCTCGGGGCTGCAGAGCGGCCTCGTGTCCGAGGGGTTCTCGTCCCCCTTCTTCTCAGCCTCGCAGCTCTCGCTGGCCACGGGCTCCTTGTCGGGCTCCTCGGGGCAGGGCACCTCCCCTGGAGCCTGCTCAGGGGCCCCCAGCACCTCCTCCATGAGGGGCAGGGAATCTTCCTCTTGGTTTAAGTCTTTGATCTGTGGTTTCGAGCGATCCGATTTCCAGGATGACCTTGCCAGGGGGGGAAAAAAACGGGGTTTAAAGAGGAGTTTTTCACCTGAAAGGATAATTCCCAGCAAGTCCAGCACTCATCCATGATTAGGAGCTGTCTGGAGCTCAATTTCTTCCCTCAATCCCTGCACTCACACCCACCAATGCTTTATCTGCACCGCACCAAACGCAGCTTTGAAAAAAAAATGGGTTTTTCTTTTCAATTGCAAAAGATTTTACCTCCAAAAGCACTTTGGCCCAGCCCTTAGTGGGATGTAATTGCAGGCTCTACCAGATCTGGGCTCTGACTGCCCCACAGACACGGGCAGCAGGTCCAGGACCTGGGTTCCTCCATCTGGGGAGGCTGGAGCCTCCTGTTCTGGCCATCTCCTCACTCAGCTGCTTTTTTTTTGACCTTCAAATGGCTCCTTTCTCCTCCTGATGTACATTATTAAGGCTGCCTATCCCTCCCAACTTGTTCCCTTTTATCTCTCTGAAAGTTTCAAATGGCTCCTTTCTTTTCCTGATGTACATTATTAAGGCTGCCTATCCCTCCCAACTTGTTCCTTTTTATCTCTCTAAAAGTTTAGAGAGCTTTAAATAATTTAAACTTCTTATTTCCATAGCAGCAAGGGAAAAGGGGCAGGAGGAGAGTGGGCACAACAAACAAACAGCATTATTTCATCTCTTCTCAACAGTCTGGGAGGGGAGACTCACCTGCCTCCGTTCCTCTTGTAGTTGTCTGGCACATAATGAGGCTGCAATAACAATAAAGATTGTGATCAATACCAAATCAAATTCGCAGTGGAAGGAAGTGCTGGTCTATCAAATACTCTGAATGTGCCAATGCAAGACACTCTGGAAATCCTGGTGTACCTCAAAGAGACTTCACAGGAGGAGCCATAATCATGTGGTAAGATAAATTAGAGCCAGACTTGTCTCATTCTTCACATCTTCTAAATAAATTTCAAGCCACAGACCACGGTGATAAAAATCACCTTTGCTTTCTGCACAGCACGAGTCTGGAACCTTCTCCAAAGCCACTACAAAAACCTCTGCTCCAGGAAGAACAGAGCTCACTTGCAGAAGGTTTGCAGATCTGCCACCTCTGCTGCTGAGTCTCTCTCTGAGCTCACCATCACCATCCCTTGAGCGCCTCTCTAGGTTCTGTTACAGTTTTCTTTCCTGATTTGCTTTCCAGTCAGTTTTTCCCCCAGGCCGTGCATACTCACAGAATCATGGAATGATTGATGATGGAAAAGCCCTCCCAGACACTTAGTCCCAGCTCAATCCCCACCTTGTCCCCAGCCCAGAGCTCTGAGTGTCACCTCCAGGTGTTCCTTGGACATCTCCAGGGATGGGACTCCAAATCTCCCAGAGTTTGGAGGGAGGTTTGGATGGGGACTCCAAACCCCCCTGCCAAAGCCTGACCACCCTTTCCATGAGGAAATTCCTCCTGATGTCCAGCCTGAGCCTCCCCTGGCACAATTTGAGGCCTTTTCCTCTTCTCTTGTTCCTTGGGACCAGAGCCTGACCTCCACCTATAGCATCAGCTCCCTCTGCCTGACCAAGCTTCATTTATAACCAGTCAGGAGCTTTCCAGAACTCCATCCAGCCTCCCAAAAACAGGTGAGGAAGCTGAGAGCAAAGCCACTTACTGAGAAATCCCTCTTGGGCGTGAGTTTCTTGGGGAAGTGGTCGAAGGCGTAGGGCTTGGTGCACACGGGGTAGCGGTTGCGGTGGATCTTGTAGAAGAGGTGAGCTGATTTATCCAGGCGGTAATCACAGATGTAAACATCCTGCTCCTTCACACCCTTGGGCCTCCCTGCCATCAAAACAAGGGGAAAACAGTCAAAAACTGAGGGGGAAACGTGGTTTATAACAGTGTGAGCGAGGCAGGGGCTGGCACAGTGTCCCTGTTGGCTCTCTCCCTCAGAACCCAACAGATTCGCTCTGAGGGGAGAACCTGCATGCTCTGATCAAACACTTCCCCAGCTTTCACACACACAATTATCAACTGACATCATTTTCTCTTCCCTCATTTTCTTCTCATCATTTTCATTCTGGCTATGAGAGTTTTCCAGGATCCATTCTGACCCCTGTTTATCAAAGGTGTCCCTTTTCAAACAGGGCAAAACCATCGTGTGTCCTCAGCTCTGAACCACACAAACATCCCCCAGGGCCTTTGGGCAGCAGAACTACTCCAGGGCATGTCCTTGCTTCCAGAACAGAGTGGATCTGTCCCAGTGCCTGGTTCAGGGTGAGGATGACACTGGTGGTGCCCAGCAGTGCTCAGGACTCTCCAGGGTCCCCTGCTCTGCCAGCAGGGCCAGGACAGCTGATCCCAGGATATTCCAACACCACGGAGGGTCTGATCCAGTGGGGGTGACTGGGATTCCCCAGTTTGTGCTGGGGAGTGGCTGCACTGGGCATCACTTGTGCTTCCTGGGGTTTATTCACAGAATCATGGAGTGGTTTAGGCTGGCAGGGACCTTAAATCTCATCCCATTCCTCCCCCTGCCATGATCAGGGACACCTTCCATTATCCCAGGTGGCTTGGACACTTCCAGGGATCCAGGGGCAGCCACAGCTTCTCTGTGCAACCTGTGCTAGGGCCTCCCCACCCTCACATAAGAATTTTCTCTCTGTGTCCAACCTAATTTGCCTCTTTTTCAGGTTGAAGCCATTCCCTCTTGTCCTGTCACTCCAGTTCATCATTAAGAGCCTTTCTCCCCCTTCCTTCAAGCCCCTTCAGATATTAGACACCTCTCTTTCTGTAACCTCCCTTTCTATTACTACTGCTATCATTATTATTACCACTACAATATTTTAATTTATTTCAACCATTAAACTGTTTTTACCCCTACCCCTGAGTTTTAACTTTTCCTAGTTCCCTGTCCATCACAGGGGGAGTGCTGAGCTTTCAGCAGGGGTTAAACCACCACAGCTCAGTACCCAAATGTTAGGAATGTGTTTAATTCTCACCTTTGCAGTAGGTGTAGAGGTCTAGCACACAGCACGTCCCCACCACGGCCTCCAAGGGGATGATTTCGTACAAGGGCACCCGGAAGAGTTCGTTGTGGTAGAACTTGCGAGACGGGGAATGGTGAGTTTCGTGTGGACGGAAATAGTGGTGGCCAAAGGCAAAGCGCTCCTCCCTGAGGGGACAGAAACACCCATCAGCCCATGACACAGCCCACTCACTGCCCCTGCTTCATGCTGAGTTCCCTCTCTGGCACTTGGCTGTGAAGAACAGCAGAGTCACCCAAGTGTTCCGTGTTCCACCTCCTGCCTGCAGCTCAAAGCCTCCCAGCATGGTTTTGGTAGGCACAGCAGAGCTGTCACTGCACCCACACTGAGGAAATCCATCCATTTCTATCTCTAACCCTTTCCTTAAACCTCCAACCTCACGTTTTCCACTGTACAGCTGCACAGCACAGCTGGGAATTCCCAAACTCCTGCACCTGCACTTTGCTCATTCCTGCATCTATAAGGTGAGGCTTCCACAAAATCCCCTAATTCCACAGTAATTCCACAACTGCTTTGACAGGCAGGCCAGGGGGGTGGCTCAAACTCAAAGGCTGTGTGGCACATTGTTGGAATCTGAGCTATTGATGATTCTGAGATTGCAGAAAGTCTCTGTCTTTCAGCCCCATTGCCAAAGAAGTCATAATTCATCTGTGCTGGTTTCAAGGTTGTTTATTCTGTTTATCTCTAACTGCCCTGCTGCAGCTCTGTCCTGCAGGGCAGCGTGTGGGGCTCTGCCCTCAGTGGGATGGTACAAACATTAAATACCACAAACTGCCTGTGCTGGATTTACAATAACGTGCCAATATCTGTCACCTACGTTGGACAGTGTGTCCCCAGCCTGAACCAACAGAAAAATGCCAACACCACAGTGAAACATGGAGGGCATGAAGAAGGAGAAAAAGGACAAGACACACCCAATTTCTCCATCTTGTCCCCTTTGAACCCCTAATCTAGAATCCTAAAATTTTACTTTTGTACCCGTGTCACACTTAATTATTACTCTTATCAAACACTCAAAGCTTGTAATTCATCCTGTAAGATTGAAAACTCTTTTCCATGGGCAGAGATCACAGCCAGTGTCTCTGGGGGCTCTGTCCAGGGGGGTTCCTGACCCCTGCCAGGGTCCCAGGGCAGCCAGAGGGAAGCCCTGGATGCCCCCAGCACATACTTGTCGTTTTTCCAGAGTTTCTCGATGCGGAAGATGTCGAGCTTGTCGCGGTTGATGTGGGACAGCAGGCGGTACGACTGCCGCACCGGGTGCCCGTCGGGGGTCCTGCGGCTGTCCCTCATCAGGTACACGCAGTCACCTGTCCGGGGGCACAAAGGACACACCTGTGAAGAGCCTGCCTTGGGCCCAGCACGCCCAGAAGCAGAGGAAATAATCATTAAAATGAACACAACACAAGTACCTAATGCTGGATTGTAAGGAACGACATGAAGCTGATAGTCAAAGGGTTTTAAAATCATGAGGATTTAGGGTTAAAAAGAAAATTAAGCTTAGTAGGCCCTGAAAAGAAAAAGATAAATACCCTGGGTACATGAAAACATTGTACCTTGCTAGAACTGCACCTGTGAAGCCAGTACATGATAAATGATATAATTGTTAGATGTGATGATTGTTTAGTAATTAAATATAATTACTGTTCAATCGTAAGAATAATCATGAGAAACTGTGGTCAGGGGCCTAAGAAAGATCATGAGAAACTCATATCAATGTATACAATAGAACAATATAAGTTTAATAATTAATATGTAAGTTATATAAGGGTAGAATATAAAATATATTCAGCTCAAAAGCAATGTCGGAGTCAGATTTGGGTCTGGACCCCTGATTCCCAGAGCTCTTCATCAATAAAAGCACCTGCAGATAATCATATCCCGTGATTATGTGTGCTCCTCAAAGCTAACAAACCCACTGCAGAACCTGCCAAGAGCACAAAAATGTTTTTCACAGCAGCTTTACAGAAAAACGACCCATAACTTTCCATGCCCAGTCTGAAAACACCAATCTGTAAGGAATCAAAGCCATGACAAAGCAGAGGATATGTAAACATGTCAGTCATGATTAAGAAAAAGTGTAGGAATTAGTGATGGCTGCAATAAATCTTTGAGAGAGAAGATACTTAGAGAGAAGTTTACTATTAAGGAAATAAATCTTGTCCTGAGAAGCCCCAAGCCTTTGGTTATTCCAGCAGAATTCCAACGAGATGTAGAGCTCAGAAAAGATAAAGAGAATGCAAAAAGGACTAACAAACTGGCACTGCTGGCAATCAAAAGGTATTCCTCAAGGGTGACCACTAGGCTTAAATTTATTCATTTTGTCCCATAAGTGAATTCACCCCTTAATTTCTCTGTTCTGACCTGTGAAATCCCAGAATGATTTGGGTTGGAAAGGATCTTAAAGACCATCCACACCCACCCCCTGCCTTGTGCAGGGATATCTTTCACTAGACCAAGCTGCTCAGAGCTCCATCCCACCTGGCCTTCAGCACTTCCAAGGCTGGCAAGAGACTCCCCTTCTTCTGTTATTTACCTAAAAATGACCAAAACCTGGGAGGTCCCAAGTTATAAAACCTGCCCTGGGTAGGAGCAGAGGTCACAGAGCAGAATGTTCTGGCTGGCAGCAGCAGCTGCTCAGGAGGAGGAAGCACAGGAACAGACAAGCCAAGGAAAAGCCTCCCCATGCTGTCCCTGCCTTTCTGCTGTTTATGGACTTTCAGAGCCAAAGGCTGGAGCTTTGGGGATTAATCCTTCTTCCAAGTATTTGTCTAATCTTTTTTGGAATCATTTATACCCTGACCTCTCCACCCTTCTGTAACAAGGCTTGCCACAGCCTAGTTATGCTTTTGTAAAAAAAATCTTTATAGCCTAGAGTTTAATTGTTGCCAGCTGATTTCTGTTTGTTCCCTAATTTCTGCATGGTTGCACCTTCCTGAGCATTTCACAGACTTTCATCATTCACCCTCCAAATCACCTGGGCAGACTCTGTCCACAGAAAAGATGATCCAGGTCAGATTATCTTTGTTAGCTTTGTTTTTACAGGCAGTGAGATCCTCTGTGCAATGGGATGTCAGAGCAGCACAGGGCAGAGAGGTCACAGAAAGGCACAATCACTCTCCTGTTTTGTGCATAACAATTCCTGATATTCCCTCTGCCTTTTTTGACTCAGGCAGAACATTTTTCTCATGTTCCCATTAAATGACAATGACTCCTGGTGGGGGTTTTTTTCCTATTTTTTTCCCTGTTTTTGTATATGTGTAGCTATGGCTGTTTTCCTTCCATGGATATTGGTGTTATTAATCAGCAGGTTTGGGGAAAAGATGCCAGGGAACCACTGAGAACAATGTGTTCATCAACACCCCAGTTTTGCTATAACCAGATTCAGGATTAAAGTGAAGCACAATTCTATTTTCATTCATATAATCTCATTTATCAATCTTGTCTAAATTTAAAAGATACTCTGAAGGACTTCCTCATAAGCAGAAATTTCTCCCATATTTCCAACTTAAACTTCACATGGTCCCACCTCTCTAGGTCCCTCTGGATCCCCCTGTTCCCTCCAGCATTTTGACCACACAGTTTGGTGTCTTCTTCCCATCTGAGCTAAAACTGGGACAACACCACCTTCCCTTTACAACTTTAAGGAGAACTTTTAAAGAAATTGGAGAGCTGGGTCCCTCAAAAGACTCTTAGAAAACAAGGAACATACTGAGAGGAGCAACTGGCCCCAAGCAGAATGTAATTAAATATAATGTAATGTAATTATGTAAAATAATAAAATAATGCAAAATGTAATGTAAATAATTTTAAACCAGCTTTTTTCAACTCCTCTTCCCCACCTCTCCCATGAGAAGAAAGCAACCCCAGCATTATTGTGCCTGCCTGAAAAAGGAGCATTCAGAAGGAGATGTAGACAGATGCTCTCTTGTTCTAAAGATCAAGAAATTTTATTTCAATTCCAGTTTATACAGGTGTTGTACCTCAAAAATGAAGCTGCCAAGGAAAAACCACAGCAGCTGTTGCTGGTGCATCAGGGATGATGATTTCTTACAATTTCTGGCTATGTGGGTTTTCCAGGATCCATTCTGACCCCTGTTTATCAATTCCTATCCAAGATAAAACTCTATGTTCACTCCAAGGGATGGATCAGATCTGTTTTATTTGCATCATCTCCTGGGTTTAGGAATTAGGGAATTCCTGCAGAGGAAGCTTGTCTGTGATGTAACACTCAACAACTTCCAGCAGAATTGCCAAGGAATTAAGAAACAAGTTCTGCAACCACCCCTGAGATCCTCTCTGATCAGATTTTACACAAATAAAATTTAACACACCGTGACAGAAATTATCTTAATGCTCTGAACACCTGGAAGATGTCACAAGTCCCAGATAAAACATCACTCATTTCAACACAGAATGTAAAAGCAAGTTCTGATACAGCCCTTGAGTTAAAAAGAAGACATGAGAAACCCAAAGGCTGAACTCTGGAATGAGCAGACAATGCAGAACAACACCCAGCAAGGAGAACTACATGCAAATTCCAGAATCTTGCAGATGGGATAATGAATATGCTGGTTTTTGACCTTTTTAAATTCCCCATTGTTCTGAAGACTCTCCTATTCCATTCTAGCAAACTTATCAGCTGGTTTCACTCATTCAAGAGCAGTTTCCTCAAAATGCTAAAGGGTTCTTTCTAACCTTGTGTGTATCTGTAGGATGAAATAAAAAAAAAAGCAATAATCTGTGAGCTGAATTGAGCAGCTGCTTGGAGAGATTCAGGAATTCAGAGCACAGTCCAGAAGAGATAAGCTTTAGGGAACACACAAGCAATGAGCTGGATGTTTTAATGACCATTCTGCACTAAAATACTGGAGGTCTAACAGCTTCCTTGGCCTTTACTTCTAAATGTTAACTACCAGCAGTTGGCTCAGCATCATCCTCCCCTGGCCAGCACAGTCCTGGCTGTGCTAATTAACATTTCTTCATCAACAGCCTGTGAGAACCCTGTCTGTGTATCACTCCCAGCACTGCAGAGAGAGCAGCTTCCACTTGTGAGAAATGAGAAGTATTTTTGACAGGGTAATGCTACAAGTGGCAGCTTCCACTTGTGAAAAATGAAAGTATTTTGGACAAGGTGATGCCACAAGTGGCAGCTTCCACTTGTGAAAAATGAAAGTATTTTGAACAAGGTAATGCCACAAGTGGCAGCTTGCACTTGTGAAAAATGAAAGTATTTTGGACAGGGTAATGCCAGAGATCCCTGCACGCTGAAGGGACCCAGGGGCAGCACGTACCTTGGCGGAGCAGCAGATCATCCCTCAAGAGGCAGATGTAATAAACACAGCCAGGCTGGGCATAGTGAGGCCGAGGGATCATAGGAACCTCCTGTGGGGAGAAAAAAAATAAAAGGGAATCCTCAGCTGCCCACCAGGATCAGCCCAAAATTTGGTTTTATTCATTCAAGGGATAGGATTAAGATTGCACTAAGAAAGTGCAATCCTTTGGGCTCCTCACCTACTGGAATGAAAACCCCTCTGAGCTTCTCAGAGAGGGAAATGAATGCAGGGGTTTAATTTCTTTAGAGAAATTAAGATATATTAAGCCACACAGATATGAAGTAGAGGTGTAGGTTTAAGTTTTAAGTATGTAGAAGTAGAAGATATAGTTTTAAATAAGTTTAAGCTTTAGGTTTTAAGTAAGTAGAAATATATTTTAAGTGGCTTAAGAAACTGTGCTAGCTAGCAAAAGCCCTAAGGCCTAGTTTAAAATTCAGTAACTTAGTTCTAGATATAACAGAAACATATAGTTTAGATAATATTTGTTTGAGAGGTTGTGAGATTTATAAGATAGGAAGTAGTTGGTTACAGATTTTTTGTTATAAGGTATTATATAACTTTCTGAGCCAACAGGTTGATGTTACAGAGCTTATTTTGCTTTTTTGATGTATCACTTTTATTTCTTTTCATCGTAATGTGGATATTTTTGTCTAATAAGGTTTTATTACATGTATACACGTATGTTTTTATTATAACATCTAAATTATTTGCTTATTTTATACAATTACATTATTACATTACTGTGCTATAAAACTTTATCTTCTTATTTAATATAAGACAATATTATATATATAATATATAATATAATATATTTTTTTCTTACTTACTTAAAGTATATTCTTACTTTTAACTATAGAAGCATTAAGTTAATGATTTTTTTAGTTCAATGTTTGTGTATTTTGCTTTTACATCAATTTAGGCTTCTTCTAAAGCTACAAATCAAACCCTCTTGAGTCTGTGAGGATTTCTATTTTTCCAATTCCCACATCACCCTATAGAAATACACAAAGAAAAACAGAAAAAAACACAGAAAAACTGACCCCTCAGAACTGAACCTAAACCAAGGAAGCTTCACCAACCCCAAAAGATACAAATTTTAAATGCAAATATAAAAAAATCCCTAAGGAGCTGCTGTAGTTTTGTAAGAGCAATAGGAAGGAGAGTTTTGTTTTACCCTGTTCACAGCTCGAGGTTCACACTGCTCACACAGGTAGTGTTCAACATCCGAGTTCACACCCATGCAGTCACAGTGCTGCCACACCTGGAAAAACAGATAAAACAGATAAAAACAGATAAAACTGATAAAACTCCCAGTCACAGAGCCCTGGCACAGCTTATAGCTGCAAACTGCATTTTCTCAACAAATATTAAAGAAAGCAGTAAAGTCAGCTTCACGTAGGAAATTTAAAAGTCCAAAATTTTAAAATTAATTTCTCTCTCCTGCGACAGCTGAGGCAGTTTCAGCTCCCCTGCACAATGCAAAGTTGCATTTTCTCTGTGAAAAGAGAATCTCTCCTCTTGTGGAGAGGAAGTAAAAGGCTTGAAAAGTTAATTAATGCTACCATTAATTAACTGCTGGTGAAAAGCTCCACTTGCTGTGGAGAAGAGGAGGAGAGAGCAGAAACCTCTGGGCTCCTCACCTGCTGGAGTGAAAACCCCTCTGAGTTCCTCAGAGAGGGAAATGAATGCAGGGGTTGAATTTCTTTAGAGAAATTAAGATATATTAAGCCACAAAGATATGAAGTAGAGGTGTAGGTTTAAGTTTTAAGTACGTAGAAGTGTAAGTTATAGTTTTAAATAAGTTTAAGCTTTAGGTTTTAAATAAGTAGAAATATATTTTAAGTGGCTTAAGAAATTGTGCTAGCTAGCAAAAGCCCTAAGGCCTAGTTTAAAGTTCAGTAACTTAGTCCTAGACACAACAGAAACATAGCAGAACCTTGCCACTAGAATAGAGAGAAGAGAGAAGAGAGAAAAGAGAGAAGAGAGAAAAGAGAGGAGAAGAGAGAGAAGAGAGAGAAGAGAGGGGAGAGAGAAGAGAGAGAAGAGAGGGGAGAGAGAAGAGAGAGAAGAGAGAGAAGAGAGAGAAGAGAGAGAAGAGAGAGAAGAGAGAGAAGAGAGAGAAGAGAGAGAAGAGAGAGAAGAGAGAGAAGAGAGAAGAGAGTTGTGGTCCCTGCAAAAGAAAGAAGAAAGTTGGGGCCCCTGCAGAAGAAAGAAAGAAGAAAGATGAAGGAAAGAAGAAAGAAGAAAGAAATAAGAAAGTTGTGGTCCCTGCTGCTGCTCAGAACATCACACTCCACACCAGGGAACAATTGCTGCTGCTGCTGTTCCTGCACAAAAACTGGGACAATATACAACAAAGCAGCCTTGCAACTGCTGCTCCAGCTTGGGACTCTTTGGCAGAAAGCTTCTGCGTGGACTTTTAACACCTCTTTGCCTTCAAGACTGATACATTCACGCAATAAACAACCTCACAGCAACCCACAACCGCTGGTGTCTCTGAAAACCCACGCCCCGCTAACACCTGGACACCCACCATGCACTTTTCACACTGGATCATCAGCCCCTCGTCCTTGTAGAGGCCGCAGATGCAGCGGATGACGTCCTCGTCCTTCTCGTGCCCGTTGTCCTTGTCACACACCGAGGTCTCGCTGCTGTCGGCCTCGCTCGCCGTCTCCCCCACGATCTCGTCGATCTGGGCCGAGGCCTCGTGCCGCGCGTTGTAGTAAGCCTTGCGCAGCCGGCACACGTCCCGCCCCGTCGGGGACTTCCTGCCGTAGTATTTCTGCAAAAATCACCAAAAAAACCCCAAAAAAGCTTTATTTCCAAGTGCCATCCTGTCTAGTTCCTGCCTGTGCACACCTGGGCAGTAGTAGGCCTTGTGCAGCTGGCACAGGTCCCACTCTGTCAGGGACTTCCTGCCATTGTATTTCTGCAAAATCAACAAAAATTCCCCATAAAAACCTTTATTTCCAAGTGCCATCCTATTTAGCTCCTGTTGATACATGCCTGGAAGGCCCACAGCCCCAAACCTGGAGGCTACCAGCTCTCCATCTCCCTCCTGACTCTGGCCAGCCTTGCACAGCCGGCACACGTCCCGCCCCGTCGGGGACTTCCTGCCGTAGTATTTCTGCAAAAATCACAAAAAAAAACCCCAAAATAGTGCTTTATTTCCTGTTGAGCTCCTGGGAGGGGTTCTCCCTACAGCTGCAGCCCCAAACCTGGGGTGACATCTCCATCTCCCTCCTGACTCTGGCCAGAGCAGTAGTAGGCCTTGCACAGCCGAGACACATCCCGCCCCGGGACTTACTGCCGTAGTATTTCTGCAAAAACAATTTAAAAAACCCCAAAAAATCTTTATTTTCGAGTGCCATCCTGTTTAGTTCCTGTCTGTGCACACCTAAGAGGGTTCCTCCCTGCAGCTGCAGCCCCAAACCTGGGGTGACATCTCCATCTCCCTCCTGACTCTGGCCAGCCTTGCACAGTCGGCACACGTCCCACTCTGACAGGGACTTCCTGACATAGTATTTCTGCAAAAATCACAAAAAAACCCCAAAAAAAGCACTTTATTTCCTGTTTAGCTCCTGTCTGTGCGTGCCTAAGAGGGGTTCTCCCTTACAGCTGCAGTGAGGTCTCCATCTTCCTCCTGCCTCTGGCCAGCAGGTGCATGGATGTGACGTGCACAGGGGAGGAGGATTTGGGGTGATGGGTGACCAAAAACTCAGTGTGCCCCGGCCACGTGTGTTCACAGCCCAGAAACCACCCCTGTCCTGGGCTGCATCCAAAGGAGCATGGGCAGCAGATCAAGGAAAGGGATTCTTCCTCTCTCATCTGCTCTCCTGAGACTCCACCTGAGGTGCTGTGTCCAGTTCCAGGACCCTCAATGGAAGAATGACATGGAACTGTTGGAGCCGAGGGGACTGGAGCCCCTCCCTCCATGGAGCCAGGCTGGGAATGCTCAGCCTGGAGATGAGAAGGTTCTATAGAGACCTCAGAGCCCATTGCAGGATCTGAAGAGGCTCCGGAGAACCTGGAAAAGGACTGTTCATCAGGAACTGGAGTGACAGGACAAGGGGGAACAAGTTCAGACTGAAAAAGAGGAAATTTAGGGTGGCTATATGGGAGAAATTCCTCTGTGAGGGTGGAGAGGCCCTGGCACAGATGCCCAGAGCAGCTGTGGCCGCTCCTGGATCCCTAGAAGGGTCCCAGGCTAGGCTGCCCAGAGCTTGGAGCAGCCTGGGATAGGGAAAGGTGTCCCCGCCCATGGCAAGGGGTGGAATGGGATGAGCTTTAAGGTCTCTTGCAGCCCAAACCATTCCATGATTCTGTGATTCCATGACATCTCATACTGAAAAAACAGGGTATCCCTTCCAAAAGGAACAGAAATTTCTTTAGGTCAGTTCTTCATGCGTGTCCTTGACCTTCTCTCTGACCTAAGGCAGTCAAAGGCTCATGATTTGCTATTGAGCCCTCATCAGGAATGGATCAGCACAAGTTCTCTTCCTCCAGAATAAATTTCTTCTTTTATTCCTGTAAGAGCATTAAAGGAGGGCACATCCCTGCTGCCAGTGCACAGCCATCAGACCAGACAGCCTCACCTCTGCATTCCTGAAGACCTTCAGCATGTCCCCATCAAAAGCTTCCACAGTTTTGTAGTAACCAGTCAGGATCTGCTTCTCAATCGTGGCAAGGTCCAAGGGGTCAGAGATCTTTTCATAATAGTCTGCATTTCTACAACAGGAATGTTGGCACAACGTCAGGCTCACCACTCAGCTATTCCCACTGTGCAAATCCATCAGAGAAGCAGCTCTGGGAATGCAGCACTTACTTTTTCTTTGGGGGCAGGTTCAGGAGAGGAGTTGCCAGCACTTGCCTGGAGGAGTCTACAACAGGAACAGAGCTTAGTGCCATCACTGGAGTGAAACTTCCAAAGAAAACCAACTAACAACATTCAATCTGGGTTAAAAAAAGGCTTTTCTGTTATCTGAGCCATGGGGAATTTCAATGCTTCTGCATTTCTGGGTGTTGATAGCACAAGGGTAACAGTTTCTGATTTTTTCTGGAATTTTGAAAAATCAATTTCAAAGGACAGCAACATCTACAGATTCTGGTGGTAAAGCAGGGTGTTGTGTTGAGGCTGAAGCAAAGTGATTATTGGAAAGGGAAGACATTTAAAAAACCAGGAGTTATTTAACACCCCATATTTTTCTAGCATTTCCTATTCACAGAGTCCATTTCCAGAGGTTGAAAACACGCCCACAGAGATTTTTTTTAAGAGAATCACCTTCACCTTTGTAGGATATGATGCTGTCACATATCTCCTTGAAGATCTGAGCCAGGCGGGCGGCACGAGCCACCTCGAGGTTCTCCTCAGCCGCCGCCAAGCGCCGCGTCCGCACCGAGCGCGACGTCTGCAGCGCCGAGAATTGGGTCATGAACACGTCTGAGAGAGGCAAGAAGGGTTACCCAGGGCAGAGATTCACGTTAGAACATTGGCTTTTTGCAAAAGTTAAAATGGATTTTGTATGTGTGGTGTTAAATAACTTTGTTATAAAAATACGGGTTTTATTTCTGTTAATTATGCTTAGACATAGTAGTGGAATAGCTGATATGTGTAAGATACATATTGTAATATTGACTTTTCTTAAATGTTAAAATGGATTTCATATGTGTGATGTTAAAGTAACTTCATTATATATATAGTTTTCATATATGTGATGTTAAAGTAACTTTGTTATAAGACATGGTTTTTATTTGTTAATTATGCTTAGACATAGTAGTGAAATAGCTGATACAAGTATGTGTTATAGACATATTATAATATGGATTTTTGCAAATGTTAAAATGGATTTTATATGTGTGATATTAAAGTAACTTCATTATATATAGTTTTTATATGTGTCATGTTAAAATAACTTTGTTATAAAGATGGTTTTATTTCTGTTAATTACGCTTAGACATAGTAGTGGAATAGCTGATATGTGTAAGATACATACTGTAATATTGACTTTTCTTAAATGTTCAAATGGATTTTATATGTGTGATGTTAAAGTAACTTCATTATATATATAGTTTTCATATATGTGATATTAAAGTAACTTTGTTATAAGGTATGTTTTTTATTTGATAATTATGCTTAGACATAGTAGTGAAATAGTTGATACAAGTAAGTATTATAGACATATTATAATATGGATTTTTGCAAATGTTAAAATGGATTTTATATGTGTGATATTAAAGTAACTTCATTATATATAGTTTTTATATGTGTCATGTTAAAATAACTTTGTTATAAAAATACGGGTTTTATTTCTGTTAATTAGGCTTAGACATAGTAGTGGAATAGCTGATATGTGTAAGATACATATTGTAATATTGACTTTTCTTAAATGTTCAAATGGATTTTATATGTGTGATGTTGAAGTAACTTCATTATATATATAGTTTTCATATATGTGATGTTACTAAAGTAACTTTTGTTATAAGGTATGGTTTTTATTTGTTAATTATGCTTAGACATAGTAGTGAAATAGCTGATACAAGTATATGTTATAGATAAGTTCTCCTTGCAAGAATGGATTTACAGAGAGTTTAACTCACCTGATTTGATGTTGCCGTCGTCGCGGCAGATCCCGTTCCAGCGCGTGTACAGCGACGAGCTGTGCATGCTGTCACTGACGTGCTTCACTTCCTCCTGCTTCTGCCTGATCTTCTCCCAGTTCCGTACCAGGAACACGTGGTGTTTCAGCACAAAATTCCTGCAGAGATTAGGCAGCTATTCAAGTTCTTTTTACTGGAAAATTCATTCTTTAATGTGGGGGAAAAGCTGGATATTCAGAGGTGTATCCTGCATCTTCTCTCCTCAGTGGAGAGCAATTCCAGCCTGGCTGGTAAAGGAGAACTAAAAGGTGCACCCTCAGAAATTTCTTCTGATCCATCTTCTAGAAGAAGACATCAGTATTTGCACAGCACTCCATTTCTGAGGTAAATCCCCCTGAAATCAGCCCTTACCTTTCCCTGTTAGACATGGGCTTCATCTGCAGCTGAGGTGTCAGCCTGGTTGGGGCGTTCACGCTTTCACTGGGTTCCTCAGGGATGTGGCCCCTCTGGAAAAGAGATTGTTCTGATGGACAGGAAAAACTGTGCCAAGAACTCAGCAAAGCAGCCCTGAGACAGAACCTGCAGCATTACTCTACTGTACTTCTGTTTAAAGTTTGGGTTTCTGTTTCAAGTTTAAATTTTACAAAATCACCACTTTTTGGTCTGGTGGCACAGACTGATTTCCCACCCAAACTCTGTCTTTCCTACTTACTCTCTTCTTTAGTTTGTGCTTTGACTTCCTCTTCTCTTTCGACCTCCCAGGTCTTCTGTGGGTGCTCACAGGCTGGTTGCTTTTGCTTGAGAGTCCATTCATGCGCTGACTTTTACCCCCAATTATTCCTCTGCATTTGTCAAAGCCACATTTACAGAGTTGCTTTGAGGGAAAAAAAAAAAATAAATCAAATAAACCCCAAATGTTTAGATTCATTCTCAATATTAAAACATTTTCTGCCTAATACAACACAACAGGTTTTGTTAATTTTTACACTTTACAGAACTGTTAGGCCTCAGTGAGATTTTTTCAAGGTCTCACAGTGGGGTTTTTACCTGCTTTTCAACATTAAATGAGTGGAAGTTGTAGTCATAGGTGAGCTCAGTCCCAGCAGGCATGTCCTTCAGTGCATAGAGCCCGATCCGATACACACCGTTCACAGACCTGGGGGAAAATACAATCAAATACCCCAAAAATTCAACAAAAAACAGCAGATTAAGAGTGTGAAAACCAGCAATACTGGGAGGGAAACAGCCCAGTGTAACCAGAAATGCTGGGAGGGAAATGTCCCAGTGTGACAATCAGCAGTGTTGGATCTACCAACAAACTTGGATCCTGTCTCCAAAGCATCCAGCACTCACCAACACCACACGATTTCTCTTCAGCACCGTGTAAAGATTATTCCCAGCTTGATTCCCTCCCTATTTTTAGATCTGACTCCCTCAGCTGAACTGGTTCTCTCTCTCTGGGTACACAGCTTCTCCCAGGGAGCAGAACTCCTCTGCTCACCATTTCTGCATCTCACAGTTGGGGTTGCAGCTGTGGTTGATGAAGCGAGCCTCGTTGCCCATGCGGTAGCTGTCGATGACCATGCCGCTGTCCAGGTTCAGGCAGTAATGGTCGCTGTGGTTGTGGTACTGCTCAATCATCCGGTTCCTGGGGGGCAACACAGGGTGGGGCTTGTCATTCAGCACAAAAACCTCTCAGAGAGGGTTTTGAAGAAAAAGTATTGATAATCTTTTATATTTAACAGAACTGTGGTGACCAGGGACCTCAGAAACAGCACAGAACGCACATCCAACCAATATGATTAATGCAACATTCTCCGTTTATTCCAGAGAAGATGGCAGATTTTATACACTTCTATATAGTTTACAATTTACAAAGGCACTCTGATTGGCAAGCTAACATTGTTTACCTTTGCCTTTTCACACTGCAGCTCTACCCTAATTCACACTCAGATAGCTCATTACTTTGTAGTTACCTTAACATAATTTCTGACTGCGCCACAACTAAATTCTTACTGCATCAAAGGCTCCTAGGCCCCACCAAGGCCTAGTCTGAGGGGGTAGCTCAATTCTCACTCCAGACATAAATCATGCCCTCTCTGTCTCAGAAATTCTGCAACAACTGTGCACCTAGAGATGGAGGGAAATCCTTATTGTACCTATTTTTATAAGTCAAGGTCACTGACAGAGCTTGAGTTAGAATTCAGAAATTTGCTCTTCTGGAATGCCCCGTTTTGAGTCCTGTGGCAAGCACATTTCTCTCCCTCTCATCTCAGATCCAGTCACTTGCGGCATTTTGCATTTATAGGGCAGATAAGGAAGATGATCCATTTCAAACATTAATCACCCCTCAATACTGGACTGAGAAAAACTTGGTTAACCAAAACCCCCAGAATTCTAAACCTTCCTTTTCCCCCTCATCCTCCCCTTTGTTCCTGCTTTAGGATAACCCAACCACAACCACAGACGCTAAAAATAACTTATGGGCCTTGCATGCAAAAGCAACAAATAAATATTTGTACCTGAATTCTTGCTCACTAACAACCTCTCCCAGATACTCGATGATGAACTGTCCTGCTTTCAGGGGCTCTTTGGTACGGATGCCCCAGCCCTTCTCCTCAGCCCGGAACCTCTCCAGGCACTGCACCCACTCGTGCCTCTGGATGCGCTGGTTGCAGCACTGCTCCCCACAGGGGCAGGTGTTGGGGGAACACTCGGCAAAGATCATCCTAAAAAGGGACAACAGAGAAGGTAAAGGGAGGGGAAGAGTCCTTTGGGATCTGTCATGCAAGGAATAAAAGCATAAATGTAAAGATAATAAGAAAATAAGTAGTAAATAAGATCATAAAGAAAATAAAATCAAAAATCAAGATATGAAATTAAGATATAAATATATAACATAAATAATATATAATAATTTATAGATATGAAATCAAGATATAAATATATACATCACCACATAAATAATACATAATTCATAAATATTAAAAACATAAATAAAAATATATAAAATTTTATAAATATGTAACTTTATAAATATATCAAACTTTAATATAACTACAAATATATACTTATAAATATAGAAATTATAAATATAAAAATATAGAAATATAAATGATATACATTTTATATAATTATTTTTATATTTTATTTTAATCCTTTATCTGTATTTTATATTATTTATATTAAAATATAAATATAAATATATGAAATGCATATAGGTTATATATAATAATTCATATCGATATATAAATCAACAATAAATCAATATAAAATCAATTTATAAATCAAGACACGAGCCCAAGGGGGGACACAAGCCCAGGGTCCCTCCTGTGGCTGCTCCACCATCCCAGGGCTGGAAGGACCCAGAGCCTGGGGCTGAGCTGGGAGGGAACTGGTCAAACTGGGAGTGGCTGTGAAGGGGCCTCAGTGCCAGCAGTGACAATCTGGGGGACCCCAGAGCTGCTCCAGGAGGGTCCAAGTGGGAATTTCCCTCCCTGGGATGATGGCTTTGTTGCTGGGGTGCACCCAGCAGAACTCTTGCTAGGAGATGATGAGAAAATCCATTTCTAACCTGTTCAGACAATCCTCCACACAGCCCTTCCCACTGTCATCCTCTGGTTTCTTACAATTGCACGTGGTGGCCTCGTAGCCAGAGAGAGGTTTGACATCCACATAGACATCTGGAGGGGAAAAAAAAAAAAAAAAAGGAAAAACAAACCCAAATAGGGAAAAGAATTCTTTTCAGGTGAAAAACCAGAACTGTTTATCTACAGTATTTTCATTCCAATCAGTAAAGTAAAAAAAAAAGCAGGTGGAAGTGTCTTTGGCAGGACAAAGAGCAGGACAGAAAGGAGGGTGTCACATGAAAATTCCACAGTTATCACAGTTTAGTAATAAGATTTTACTTACTGGAACGGATTTTTTTATAAAGTGGGACATCTGGCTTTTTATACAACTAAAAGGAAGAGAAAGAATATTTTAATACATTGCATAAGTGCATCTGTTATTCAAAAGGATCAGGGAAATTATGTTCTGTACATAGGCAACTGTTCTGTAATCATTACTAGAAATCTGTGTTCTCTTCTCTGGGCTCAGACTGCATTAACAAATAGGTCACAAAAACAACCTGAAGCAGCAGAATTTGGGCTTGGTGAGACAGTGGAGCAGTTTGTTCACCACATTGTTCATTCTGTCTGCCCAGAGCAATGTGACAAAGAGCTGTCCTGAGGACAGGCTCCCCTGAGCAGGGCTTAGAAGAAGAGGAATTATTTATACCTACTTTGGAGAAACCATCTTTGGTGGAATCACCATGTGCCAATGCTTAAAAAAGTGAAAACAAAAAAAATGAGGTGCTGATTCATCAAAGTGACTCGATGATCTGAAGGGTTTTTCCCAATCTAAAGGATTTTGGGATTCTGTAAGAACTTTGAGTACAGGTGGGAGCCATGAGAAATGCAGATTCATCTTCTCTGCAGAGATGATGGGAAGGGAAAGGGAGCTTACTTTACAATTTATTATTTAATCTATATTCCAGCCTGTCAAGCAAGCTTTAAGGAGTAATTTCCAATTATTCTCTATTTCACACACATTTCCTGCTCTAAGAACTTTCCTTCAGTGACCCTTGTGGCCCACAGGAACAACCCAGACATCTCCACACCCCTGTGCAGAGAAACTCCTCTGCAAGGGCCTCCAATATTCCAGGGAGAGCTGGGAAATGTCAAGGAAACAGATTCCATCTATTTATTACTTCTAAAATACTGAACAGATGAGACAGGCATTGTCAGTACACGGCAAGAAAAGTGTCCTCAGCTGAAATGTTCCCAGTGTTCCTGACTTGAGGATCAGATTCCAGGGGTGTTGGGAGTGCAGCTGGAGCCACAGCACCTGGGAATGTGTCCTGCCCATTTACACCTCTGAGAGCACTTTCCCACCACAGAGCTGAGGGCAGATTCTCCCTTAAATCCTGTGGTAAATCACTTAGTGGAAACATCTCAGGGGAAAAAAAAAAAAATCCTATTTTTAAGCTTGCACGTATTTAAAGCTCTTTAAAAAAGAACGAGACTGTTAAACAGTTTCTCCTCTTTCCTCAGTATGAAAATTTCAGCTTGCAAGTGAAAAATAAATTCCACTCTGCTGGGATTGATCCAAGAAAAATAAGGCTTGAAATGTCTCAGTGCTGCTGGCAGTACATCCCAATTCTCCCGAGGCGTGTCTGAAACCAGCTCCCCACACAGAGCAGGCACTGCCAAAATAAAAGTCTGCAGCCAAATTAATGACTTTTGTCAGAGCAGAAACTCACAGGGTTGCTATTTTGCAGGAGATGGAATAATGGGAATTTTCAACATTAAATACATATGCAAATCCCTTCTCCCCTCACACAGCTGGGATGTGTGAACAGGCTCTGAGTGCTGCTGTTTCCTTCTCATCCCAATCCTGGAAACCCCTGAGCGCTGCTGTTTCCTTCTGATCCCAAATCTTGGCAACCCCAGTGACTTCTTATCTCCTACCTGGTTGTGTTTCCACTGCCAGAGGATGTCGTAAGGCAGCTGGAAGTCGATTCTCTTTTGTCTGAGGTACTTCCCTGAAACCACAAAAACATTTGTAAGGGGCACACACTCACAGCCACATGTCCTGAGAGAAGGGGAGCTGCTCCCAGGCACCTCTCAGGGCACAAAGGAGAGGGGCAGAAGCCTCTGAGAACATTCTGGATGTCAGGGCACACCCAGGGAACCCCCCCAGGACACAGAACCAGGTCTTGTTCTCCTGTGCTGCTCAGGAGGGGCCTCCATGGACAGCGAGGGATGGGAAGGAGCTGGGTCAGACCCCACCACGGCCAGCCCTGCACAGAACTGACCATAACACCTGAAACAACTGACCACACCTGAAACAACTGACCATAACACCTGACAGCACTGACCACACCTGAAACAACTGACCACAGCACCTGACAGCACTGACCACACCTGAAACAACTGACCACAACACCTGACAGAACAAACCACACCTGAAACAACTGACCACAACACCTGAAACAACTGACCACACCTGAAACAACTGACCACAACACCTGAAACAACTGACCACACCTGAAACAACTGACCACAACACCTGACAGAACAGACCACACCTGAAACAACTGACCACAACACCTGACAGAACAGACCACACCTGAAACAACTGACCACAACACCTGACAGCACTGACCACACTGAAACAACTGACCACAACACCTGACAGCACTGACTACACCTGAAACAACTGACCACACCTGAAACATCTGACCACAACACCTGACAGAACAAACCACACCTGAAATAACTGACCACAACACCTGACAGAACAAACCACACCTGAAACAACTGACTATACCTGAAACAACTGACCACAACACCTGAAACAACTGACCACACCTGAAACAACTGACCACAGCACCTGACAGCACTGACCACACCTGAAACAACTGACCACAACACCTGACAGCACTGACCACACCTGAAATAACTGACCACAGCACCTGACAGCACTGACCACACCTGAAACAACTGACCACACCTGAAACATCTGACCACAACACCTGACAGAACAGACCACACCTGAAACAACTGACCACAACACCTGACAGCACTGACTACACCTGAAACAACTGACCACACCTGAAACATCTGACCACAACACCTGACAGAACAAACCACACCTGAAATAACTGACCACAACACCTGACAGAACAAACCACACCTGAAACAACTGACTATACCTGAAACAACTGACCACAACACCTGAAACAACTGACCACACCTGAAACAACTGACCACAACACCTGACAGCACTGACCACACCTGAAACAACTGACCACAACACCTGACAGCACTGACCACACCTGAAATAACTGACCACAGCACCTGACAGCACTGACCACACCTGAAACAACTGACCACAACACCTGACAGCACTGACCACACCTGAAACAACTGACCACACTGAAACAACTGACCACAACACCTGACAGCACTGACCACACCTGAAACAACTGACCACAACACCTGACAGCACTGACCACACCTGAAACAACTGACCACAACACTTGACAGCACTGACCACACCTGAAACAACTGACCACAACACCTGACAGGACTGACCACAGCACCCAACAGGACTGACCACAGCTCTGTCCTCAAAGCTGACACATTCTCCTGAGTTTTCCTGTGCACAACCCAACACTTCAACACCCAGGACGAGACCTGCACCACCCATGCAGGCTGGTAAATCATAATATTGTACTCAAAGAAATCAAATCAGTTCTGAAAATAGTCTCCCAGCCTGTTCCCGTGACCTTTACCAGAAGAGATTTAAGAATGAATTCAGACTTGGCAAATACATTCCTAGATTTTTTGGAAAGGCTTCAAGGGGATCTGTATTTTCAGCAATAACTAGAACTCGTTTTAGACAGGAGTTCCTGCTTTCACTGCAGATTTTGGCTCTATTCTTTCATTCTCTGACACCCCTAAAGGACACAGACCCATTACATCATTCACACCAGTCCCGAGGGCAGACACTGGTTAGTTCCAGCCAAGATTCAACATTCTCTGATCATTTTGCTGGAATCCTGTGTCACAAAACTGCAGGGAGCAGAGTGCCTAGGATGAGGTGTCAGGCCCAGGGCTGTTTTTTTCCCCCCAGCTTTTCTAACTGTTAACAAATGCCTTTATATTCCTCCAGCAATGCTCTGTGGGTTCATATAAATTCACACACATACCCTCACCACTGGAAAATAAAAATGGTAATGTTTTCCTTACAATTTACCCCTAAATTACTTTCCATTTTCAATGCCTTATTCATCCCTAGCAGGTTCCAGGAAAAGAGCTAAATCTGCTGGGAATTTGCTTTCACTTCTATGACCTCAGCAGGCCAAACAAAAGGCTCTTTCAGGTGCCCTGGCACCGAGCCCCCAGCACAGGGAAGGTCCCCCCAGCCCACCCTGAGTGGCACCAGGGCAGTCCCCTGGCAGAACCCCAGTCCTGGTCACTGCTCTGGGGTTAAACCATCCCTGGAGCCATGGGAGCAGCTGCAGGGCAGGAGCAACAATGTGGGTGAACCTGGTTTTATGACCCCCATTCAAAAAGGAGCTGAGCAAGGGCACATTCTGAAGAATTTAAATTGTCACCTTCAGCTCTGAAACCTGTTCTGTGGCTGCTGATTCACACAGATCTGTCCAACTGCTCTGCCTTGCTGTGCAGTTGTGCAGGGAGCCAAAGAGTTTTGTTACAGAAGACAAAGCAGTGACAGCTTGTGTTCCACGGGACAAAGATTCCTGAATTCCCCAAACCCGCTGGGCCTGACAGGACTTGCAGCAAGAAATCACAGCACTTCAAAAGCTGAAACAATTGCCTGACAATCAGGAAATTACTCAATCCTGGTTTTAACCTGGGAAATGGTATGAGCTGCAAACAGTGGGGGCCCTGCACCATCCCCCCTGCCCCAGGAGCAGCATCCTGAATCCGTCCCCTCCGTGGGCTGGGACAGGCTTGGGTGATCCCTTCTTTCCACAGGATAAGGGAAGAATACCAGGGACAGGGTTTGGAACCTGGGCTATGGAATTCCATGGAACAAGGTGGAATAAAATAATCTGTAAGGTCCCTTCCCACCCAAACCATTCCGTGTTTCTGTGATTCTGTGAAATCCTAAATCACATTTTTTTTCCTACCCGAGACATAAAAATGGGGATGAAGTAAAAATAAAAAAAATTACAGCAAGGCTTTTTAATTTCTCCACCCTTTTATCCCTGTGTAAAGACAGACACCTTCAAGTGCATGGGGACATGGGGGAATTTATCATTCCATGCTCAGCTTTTGGGATTTAAATGGTCATAATTGTCTGTGGCTATTCTGCTGTAATTTTACTTTGAGGTGGAGACTATTGCTCTGCATTTCATCCAAGTACTATCACAGTTTTCATCTACAATGGTATTTTCTGACACCCAAAAAAATCAAGAACAGTGTTTTAAGCTAAAAAAAAGCCTCTTGAGTCAAACTGGGGAACACAGAGGGATGACCTGGCAAAGTTCATGTGCAAAAAGCCACGAGTGACCTGGCAAGGGATAAAAACCAGAGAAAGGCAGAAGCTGTGCAGGCTCCCCAGTGCCACAACAAGGAAAATACAGATGAGGTACCCACCAACGTGGATAGGGGCTGGGAACAGCCCGTGCTCGTGCTCCCCTGGGGTGTATTCCAGCTTCTCCTTCTTCAGCTGGATCAGGCGGCTCTTGGGGCTGTGGAGGACAGGGACAGAACCAAAACATCACAATGGGCACCATCTGTCACTTCCAAAAATGCATTTTCTGCTTTAGTTAAGGCACAAATGGCTGGAAAATCAGGCAAGAGAGTGATGATAGAAATGGCCAAAGAACTGCTCTCCAGGTTGCCTGTCAAACACACTGATCCCAGCCCTCCCACAATGGGTTTTTTCTCCATAAATGCTGTTAAAGCAACACCCAATGGGACTTGAAATGCCCAGCATGTGATATAAAAGTAATAACTAAAGCTACACAAATAAAAGAGGAGCAGCAGATTGTATCTGGTGGTTTTGCTCTCCCACTTCTCTGAGAGCAAACATTCACATGCTGCCCTTCAGAAGGTTGTTCATCAGGAAAGGCAGAAAAAAACCAGAAATTAGAGTTTAAAAAGGCAATGAGACACCCCTTTGCAGAAAGAAAAATAGGAGTATGGAATTAGAATGGTTGTATGGGTCAGGCAGGTGACAGCTCTGTAATCTGGTGTTCATAAACATCTCCTTCTGGCCAACAACAAACCTTGGAAAATAGAATCTGATGTGGTTATATTTAGAACTGCAGTCCTGCAACATTCAAAGGAGACTTCTAAATGTTAAAGATACCAAAGATTAAATTATATTGAAGCCTATTGAAGTTTACTAAAGTTTTTAAAGGGATCTATTTTAAGAACTGGACAAGTAACAGAAAGATGGCTCAATAAAAAAAATGTGATTTTATTGTTTAACCATTATAGTGGTTAAACGATGCAGACCATTATAGTGAAGGGAAAATGCAAGTCAAAAACAAATTTTGAGATACAGATATCAACAACTGGAAATACTTACTACCAAAAAGTGACAGTTGTGCTGTGGATTTAGTCTACTGAACCAGGTAAAAAAGTGACCCAGTGCCAGCAGGATGGAATGGTGGGATCAGCCCTTCAGGCTGCAAAGGAGGCCTCAGTGGAGGTGGCCACAGTTCTGTCCTTGCTATGCAGGATAGTTGGGACTGTGCAGAGCCAGCAGTTGGACTCCACAATATTTGTGGGTCCCTTCCAACTTAGCAACACCCAAAGTTCCAAATATTTACACTAAAGAAAAGGAGAAGACTCTCTCAGCTCCTCCCAAAAGATGAAATTGTGAGATTTGAACTGTGTACAGCAGTGACAGATCACCCAAGTGGCAAAGTTTTAGCACATCTCTTTAAAACAGATAAAATCCAAGTGGCCTCCCTTTAGTCAGACTGAGATCTGTGTTTTTTCCTTAGTCTTGACCCTTTCACTGATACTTTTGACTCTACTGCAGAGAGAGATTACAGCAGGAGCAGCTGATAAACTGCACTGGCAGTTTCCCAGTGGTCTCTGTAACATTTTAAAGTGGTCCGTGACATAGTGACAAGGTGCCAAATTTTCTCTTTTCAATCTGTCAGATCATACTGGAACAGAAGCATAAATTCCTGACTTCAACTAATTTGTTCAGATGGCATTAGAAAGCATGTGTGACTGCAAAGGGAAGGGAAAGAGGGAGGTGTCCATATTCTACTGGACACCAGGCTGGTAAAGCAACCAGTGGGAAAAATAAAGAAATGCTGGAATTTTTTACCCTAAACATCTCAGAGAAAACAGAGATGAACTTTGCTGAACTGTGAAATGAACTGGGCGCATAGCTGGAATTCTTTCACACAGAAGAGGACCAGTTGTCACCATTCAGCCAGTGAAAACAGGAACCTCATGACCCCTTCTCTGCAGACATTCTGCTCCAATCCTGCTCAGAACCTGCACACATTCAGCTCTCCCAGCACCTGGATTGCCAGGACCACTAACACTCTTGAATAAATAAATCTCTTCTTCAAAACTGATAACCAGAAACACTTCCAGACTACTCAAGGTTGCTTTCTGACTGGAGTTGCACTTTACATCCTCACTGGGTTATGTTCTGACAATTATCATGCACATAATTCTCCACAGGCTTCAATTATGTTGATGGTTTTATTTCACCTGCTCATGATTGGCAGCTCTTTATGGTTCTAGGTGAAAGGAGAGTTTCCCCTGGATTATCAGAGAGTAGTTTTGCTCAGTTTTACTTACTCTGTTGTTTTGTAGACATCAGAGTAGAGCCCAGCCTTCTGGTACTTCTTCTTTGGGGGTCGAGGGGCTTTCTTCTCACGCTGGGTTAGAGGAGGCAAAGGCTGCTCAGGGGTTTCAGATTCAGGTGCTTTCCCAAGGGCCTCATGTGGACTGGGAGGTTCAGCTGCTGTCTCAGAGAAACTGGAAGAAAAAGTGGAGATTAAAAAAAATCCCCTTCCCATTAAGATCATCTCAGAGGATTTCATTATTCCTCTCTCGAAAATCTTCATGTTTCTGAATTTCTGGGTGACTCAACTACTTAAAAAAAAATGCAACTCAACGATCATGATCAAGCGGGGGTTAAGTATAATCATAAGAAAAGCATGATTCTTTTTGTGATATTATTATTACAAAAAGAATGTTGTTTGTACTGCTGATGTTTATCCCTTGGAGCCTCAGCTGAGTAATTCAGAAGGCAGCTCTTGCTTTCTGCTTTTGCACTCTAAAACCAGCACGTGGTAACCCTTTCCTCAGCCTTCAGGAGAGCCACAGAGCAGCCCCTGAACATTTCTGGAAAGGAGAACTCCTGACAGAGTTTTGTTTATTGATGACTTTGGGGATGAGTGTGAGATGATGAGATCAGAGAGAGATTTTTGGTGCGTGCCTTTATCAGTGACTGCACAAGTGTACCCCTTAACTCCTCCTTGCTGCTTTAGCTTTACTTTTTATCTGCATCACTTGACCTCACTTTGCATCCTGTGCTGCCTGTAAGCATTTGTGATCTACATGAGTAGATCCCATGGCACACTAACTCGTCAGGGCTCCTCATTCCACACAGGATGAAGGAACAATCTGTGGCTCCTCATCAGTAACCCTGTTACCAACTCTTCACCAACACAAGTACAGAACCAACAGTTTTAGATCACCTGAGATTCTCATTTCTGGGGTGTTTTCAGTACCCTGACCACACTTAGGGCTGACATGTTGGTTCCCTCTACACTGAACTCCTTCATAACATCAAGCAGAAGACGACTGAAATGTTCTCAACGATTGAAACCTTCTAAAACCAACTGAGGTACAAAACTGCAAAGGAAATCACCTCTTATTGCTCTCCTGCTCATCTTCAGGCAAAGACTTGTGCCTCTTCCTGGCCTGCTCCTCGGGCAGCCACCTCTTCCTCTTCCAGCCTTTGCGGTGCTCGGGGTTGAGGTTGACGCTCTGCACCACGGCCTCGATGACGTCGGTGATGGTGTCGGGGCCCAGGTGCAGGGGGCTGCTGCTCTGCTCCCCGTCCTGCAGCTCCTGGCTGACCATCCTGGCCGCCTGGAACGCCTGCATGGACACCACGGCCTGCAGCGGGTACTTGCGCGGCCGCCCCGGCCGCCGCTTGACGAAGTTGTTCCCCGTCCTCGACTGCCTCTGCAGCTTTTTGGCTTTCAGGATTTTGTTGACGTGGTCCAGATTTTTTTTGGTGGCCAGGATCTTGTTGTAATTGCACATTTTCCTCGCTTGGCGCTGCATGGCCTCCACCACGCTCCTCTTGAGGTGGCGCGGGGAGTAGCTGCCGGGCAGGCGCTCCTGCAGCAGGGCGATGCCCTCGCCGCCGGGCACGCTGGCGGCGCCCAGCCCGTCCTGCTTGCCCAGGGCTCGCTCCCGGGAGTGGTTCCGCGCCGGGCTGGCCGCAGGAGGCCCGGCCATGACGGCCTCCAGGCTCTTGTCCAGCGCGGGGGGCCCGTCCTGCTGCGCCATGCGCTGCAGCAGCGTGTCCACCGCGTCCTCGGGCGCCGGGGCCAGGCGGGCGCTGCGGGCCGGAGCTGCCACCCCTGCAACACACACAGGGCACGAGGTGACACTCAGGGCTGGGATTTGGGGCTCTGCAGTTCTCTGGGCTATGACTCTAACAACACAGTCATTCTGATATCATAATAGAGCACATAATGTATGTAATGTATATCATCTATAATATACATAATCTATATAATGTATGTGATATACAATCTATAATAATTGTATATCTATAAGATATACCTATAATATATATAACCTACATAATGTAGGTAATATAATCTATATGGATCTGTAATATATATAATCTAAATATAACTATATATAACTCTAATAATATAGAGATTCTAATATAATAATAGATCATATAGTGTATGTAATATATAATGTATAATAATGATATATCTATAATATATAATCTATATAATGTATGTAATATATAATCTATAATAATTCTATAGATCTACAATAATATATATCTATAATATATATAATCTAAATATACATCTAAACATATATCTATAATATAGAATCTATATATAATATATATCTAATATAATAATATATAATATATCTAATATTATATTAGATATAGATATTATAGTATTATATTATATTTGAATTTATAACATGTAATTATATATTATTATATATAATATATATTATATACAAAATATAATACAATATTATATACTATATAATAGACAATACACAATATATAATATAATAGTATAGTATATAATATTATTGTATAATATATAATATAATCATATAGAATAATATATAATAGTATATAATATAATAATGTATAATAGTATATAATAGAATAGTATATAATAGAATATAAACAAAAGTGAATTGTGGGAGCAAACTTGGGGTAAATTACTTCATTACCTGAGACTGGAATTGGAAGATTAACCCCCAATATGCAAATGGACCAAACTTATAAAAGTGCAAAACCTGTGACCCATTGTCCATTTTTTGGGTGTAGCCCCCGGGGGTCTTCATGTGCCCTTCAACAAATATCCTAAATTTTATTCTCTTAGTTCCTTGCAGAGATTCTGTGACATGGACAGGGACCCAGTGACACCAGACACTCACATTTTATATCATCACTTGTGACATACAGTTATTTTCTCTTTATTCCCACATAATCGCCCATTTCTAACAGCAAAAAGCAATGAGGGTTCACACGGTCCTCAAGTTTCTTTCTATTCAACGTGGAAAATATAAAACCCTCTGTGCACATAAAAACTCAATCCTGATAAAAAATGGAGCAACATCTGATATATTTTTAAACTCAGTTTTCTTTTTTTTTATAGTTTGGAAGTACTGAAACAACTATTTTCATTGCTCTTGCAGTTTTTTTATCAACTAGACAAGGCTGATGATGACAGAACTGATTGGATAAAGGTAAATAAAAGCATCTGGACAAAAGAGAAAGGCTAATTTGCATAGGAAATAAATCTAGAGAGATAAAGCACAACCAGTTTAAATATTTTCTAGCCTTCTAGCTATTCCTGAAGCCTTTTCTAGTTTAAATATTTTCTAATATTTTTCCAGTGCTCAGCAGTCCAATTGTGTTACTCTGGACAACTCATTCCTCACTAAGATTTCAAAGTCAGGAGTTTGTAAGTGCAAACAAAAAGGTATTTTCTAGCCTTCTAGCTACTCTTTAAGCCTTTTCTAGTTTAAATATTTTCTAATATTTTTCCAGTGCTCAGCAGTCCAATTGTATTACTCTGGAAAATGCATACCTCACTAAGATTCCAAAGTCAGGAGTTTGGAAGTGTAAATAAAAAGGTGCTTCAGAGAATAGAATACACAATGTGGAGGAAAAAGAGCACAACATGTTTTAAAAATCCACCTCTGGACAATGCCCTTCCTGGTGACAAAGGACAAGAGAAGCCTCCTGCTGTGAGCTGACAAGGACACCCCAACAACTCCAAGACACCTGGAAGGATTTCCACTTCCAGCTCTGCGTTTCAGATGAAATAATAAGAATAAATTACCCTTTGTTTTCTCCTTTAGAGATGGAGCTGGGGCTCCTCACCTGCTCAGGGACCCTCAAGCAGCACCACCTCCCATGGGTGCCCTGGAACTGCTGCTTGGGAAGTGATGCCAAGGGCTGGGACAGCTGCAGCTCCTCTCTGACAAACACACTGAAACCCACACACATTCCAGCTCCAGGGATAACACAACAATGACTGATCTGCTCAGCTGCATCATCACCTCGGTGACTTTGAAGCTGATTAACTTGTGATTCATGTCATTCCAATGCTCCTGCACAAAGCACTCCTCGACTTTAACACTTCCTATTCCCACTTATAACAACTGCAGCTGCCCCTTTCAAGTGAGTGAGGGCAAGAAAGGGGTTGAGACAGAGGAAAAAGGAAGATTCCTTTCCCACTGCGAAGGGCTTGCTGCAGCACAGGCTGAATGGAGCATCTGTTGTAAACATCTGCTTAAAGCAGGGAGGAAATGGCACTTTTGGCACATCCTTCCTAGATGGAAACCATAACTAGCTCAAAGTACCAATCCCAGGGATTTACTACATATTTGCAGTCAGTTTGAGAGTCTAAGAAATGTCTGAATTCTGGCAATCAGAGTGTTTCTGCAACTGAGTGTCTTAGAAAATGGGTCAACCTGCTGAATTTTCTTCTGTCCAATCCCAGGGGAGCTCACATTCTATTTTTACAGAATCACAGAATGGTTTGGGTTGGAAGGGACTTTAAAGACCATCTTTTTTCACCTCCCACTGGAGCAGGTTGCTCAGAGCCCACTCCAGCCTCTCCTGCTACCCCCAGTGACCTGCAGGGAACGTCAGCCTTGGCTGCCTCCCTGTCCTGCTGCATCATCCACCCCAGATCACCAGGATGCTGCATCCAGGATCTGCTCTTGGATCATGGATTTGGTGAGATGCTACCAGAACTCCCAGGACTTTCAGTACTTCCATTATCTCTCTCCCATGAGCATTTCTGACCTGGCTGGGGGCATTCCCTGATGGCTGGGAGGAACCACATGTCACCTATTGTAGAAATTCTGATGTCTGGCTCCAGTTCAGAAGGCTGAATGATTTCTTTATTATAACTATATTATAATACAATAATATACTATTTAAAGGAGATACTAAAACTACACACCTGCTTTTCCTAACTACCCCAACTCACAACTTGTGACCCTCTCTCGGGAGTCCAGACCCAGGTGGATTGGATTCCATCAGGCTCAAACAATCCTCACCAGAATCTAATTAAGCAATCACCCCAGCTAAACAATTCTCCAAACACATTCCACACGGGAAAAACAAGGAGCAGAAATAGAAATTGTTTTCTATTTTTTTTTTTCTTCTATGAAAAAATCCTGAAAGAGAGCAGAATGTGCCTGCCACGGTCACCCTCCATCACCTTAGCAGGAGGATTCTCTCATGTGAGCAAGAAAACCCCACAGCACAGCCTGGCCTGATCCTCGTGTGAGCTGCCCAGAGCAGGAATTATTTATTCCTCTAATTCATTGATTAACTTCACAGGTCTGGATAAAAGCCCTGAGCTCTACAAGGCCTAACTTCACCTGGTGAGGAACCAAACCCTACCCTGCCACAGCTCCCAATTCTACAACCCAACCCACAGCCCCTGTACCTCAAAATGTCAGTGGGAAAGGTTCTCACAGCCATGCTGTGTCTCAGCACAGGTCTGAGCACCCAGGGATCCCAAAGCCAGGTCCCTGAGCAGGACTTGCCTGGAGAAGAAGTGCTCTCTGACGTGGATCTCTTCCTGGAAGGGCTGCAGCTCGTGCTCTCCGACTGCCTCTGCGAGGGCTTGTCCTGGCTTGGCAAAGTGCCTGCAAGGCAGAGCAGGGAAAAGGCACAAAAACGTCATTTCAGTCTGGCTGTGCCACTACAGCACTAAAGGCTCAAATTCAGGCTACTCTGGTGCACACCTGTGTGCTCCCAGAATGCAGGGAAAGGATGGGAAGGAAACACCAAGCAGGGATTTCACACAGGCCAGTGGCAAAGGGAAAAAGCCATGAGTAAAGGCACGTAGTATTAACCACCAAAATTAGTTTGTGAGGAAAGGAAAAAGGAAAGGAAAAGGAAAAGGAAAAGGAAAAGGAAAAGGAAAAGGAAAGGAAAGGAAAGGAAAGGAAAGGAAAGGAAAGGAAAGGAAAGGAAAGGAAAGGAAAGGAAAGGAAAGGAAAGGAAAGGAAAGGAAAGAAAAAGGGAGAAAAGGAATCCTCGACATATTCCTACTCTCAACTGAATCCAAACTCCTCGATTTTCAGAAGAGTTTGGAAAAGACCTCTGCAGATTACCAAGACCAAGCACCCTGCTCAAAACAGGGCCAGCTTGCTCAGGGCCACCACTTTCCACTGGGTTTTCTACACCTCCAGTGACACAGATTCCCAGATCTGCCATTCCCTCACCATCACTCTGACCCCAAATTTCTTCTGCACAAACAGAATTCCCTTCCCCTCCTTGGGCAGAACAGCTCACCAGGAACTGCAGACAGGTGAAAAGCCAAAAAGAAAATCCCCAGGACTTTAAAATTCTTTAGATTTGCCCCTTGCTGTGTTGCTTTTCCTTTACAAGATCCTGCCACAATAAAAAACACAAATATTTCTGCTCCAATCCATCATGGCAAATCTGTTAAAGCCCTGGGGCCTAAACAAGTGAGGATGATGATTATCTACACACAGAGCAGCACTGGATTTTAGGCACCTGCAGAACACATTTCACTCTGTGTTCCCAGCACACATGGCTTGCTGGTACTTGCTAAATCCTTGGGTGATGTCACCAGGCAGCAGGAAGCACAATTACCATGCCTTGAGTTAAACCAATTTTAGAAAGATACAGAAATCCCACGACTGCTGCAGGGTGAAGGGACAGGGCTGGGAATGGCAGCTCTGCTGAGAACACAAGCTATTTGTTTCCCTTTTTACACATAAATATTTTCTTACAGTAAACTGTTTTATTTTCCTAAAAATTCGACTTTCAGAGAATCCCAATTACTCTTGAAAGCAAAGGCTGTGGGAGTCATGAAAATGTCATAGAAAAACCTGGTATTGCAGTTATGAAAATGCTGAGATATTAGAAACTCGGATTGGTATAAAACCCCAAATAAGCAAAAAAAGCACGTGGTAGTGCAAGAGGAGAATGTGCATATCCTGAAAATATCGAGAAGACGAAATCCAGGATGCAAAAACCCAGATTTTTGCTGTTCCACTTCAAAATAGGGTTCATAATGAACAAGCTCTTCCCTGCCTTCCTCAAAGAATCCTCCAAAAGGTAACAGCAGGACACTGAACTTCTGCCCAAAATCAAGACCCAAAATTCTTCCCCTGCCCACGGCCTGGGGCTTCAATGCCTCAAGGGAAACCCCAAGAGTAGGGAGACAAAACAATTCCTTCTCCAGCTGGGGACCAAAGAGAAATGATCCAAATCTCAGGCCCAAGAGCACAAACAACGTGGGCTGAAGAGAGAAAAACAAGGATGGGACTGCATGGGCTGGAGCTGTAATTGGATAATTAGCTCTAATATGGTAATGGACCAAAACTCATAAAAGTGTGAGACCCTGTGACCACTCATCCATTTTTGTAGCCATTTTGGGTTGTGCTGCCCAAGATGGATCTATTGAGGCCTCTTAATAAACCCCTACTTTATTCTTTACCTCTGTCCAGTCTGTGTTTTAGGGCAGCCTGCACAAGGCACCAGCAGTGCCTGGTTCAGGGTGAGGATGACACTGGTGGTGCCCAGCAGGACAGCTCCAGGGTCCCCTGCTCTGCCAGCAGGGCCAGGACAGCTGATCCCAGGATATTCCAACACCACGGAGGGTCTGATCCAGTGGGGGTGACTGGGATTCCCCAGTTTGTGCTGGGGAGTGGCTGCACTGGGCATCACTTGTGCTTCCTGGGGTTTATGCACAGAATCATGGAGTGGTTTGGGCTGGAAGGGACCTTAAATCTCATCCCATTCCTCCCCCTGCCATGATCAGGGACACCTTCCATTATCCCAGGTTGCTCCAAGCCCCAGTTGGTGCTGAGCACTTGTACCTGGCATCACTTGTGCTTCTTGGACTTCATTTCCCTCTGTCCTTTTCATGACAATTATTCCTGCTGTTACTATTATATATTATTTTATTTCAATTATTAAAGAGTTCTTAACCCATGAGTTTCACTTTCTTCTGACCCTCTGCCCACCCACCCCTCTGGGTTCAGCAAGCTGCTGCAGGTCTGTCATTCCAGGGTGACTTTTCCTCCTGAGGAACTCCAAGATGCATTGAATTAAAAAAGTCTACATTAACCAAATACCCTGGGAGCTGGGACTGAAAACAGAAATTAAACAGCGGGAGTTAGTGTTGGGAGTGAGAATGGACTGTAATTCATAACAGAGAAAGAGGGAGAAGGTTTTGGAGGTTGTCCCTGTCCTTGTGCTGGTCTTTGTCCTGAGGGATTCCTGTCCCTGTCCCGAGGGGTCCCTGTGTCCGTTCCTGCCTGAGTGTTCCCGGTCCCTCTCCCGAGGGGTCCCAGTCCTTGTACCGGTCCCTGTCCCGAGGATTCCCGGTCCCTGTGTCCGTCTCTTCCCAGGGGGTCCCGGTCCCTGTCCCGAGGGGTCAGCGGGTGGCACATCCCGGGGGCTGTCACCGCCGGTGCTCCGGGAGGGGCCCCAGTGTGACATCCCGGGACCCGCTCAGGTGTCCCCGGTCCCGTTCAGGTGCCCCTGGTCCCGTTCAGGTGTCCCCGGTCCCGCTCAGGTGTCCCCGGTCCCGTCCCGGTGCCCCCGGACCCGTTCAGGTGCCCCCGCCCCACCGGGCTCAGCGGTTCGCGGCAGAGGAGCGGCGGGGCCGCCAGGGGGCGCTGCTGCCCGCCGCTCCCGCGGCCCCGGGCCGGGAACGGCAACGGCCGGGACCCCTCGGGACAGACAGAGACCCGCACAGGGACCAGGACCCCTCGGACCGGGACTAGGACCCCTCGGGACAGGGACCCTCGGGCAGGGATCGGCACAGGGACGGGAACCCCTCGGGACAGGGATCGGCAAAGGGACCGGGACCCCACGGGCACGGACCAGCACAGGGACCGGGACCCCTCGGGACCGGGACTAGAATCCCTCGGGACCGGGACCCTCGGGCAGGGACCGGAACCCCTTGGGACAGGGATCGGCAAAGGGACCGGGAATCCTCGGGACAGGGATCGGAACAGGGACCGGGACTCCTTGGGACAGGGACCGGGATCCCTCGGTACAAGGACCGGCACAGGGACCGGGAATCCTCGGGACAGGGACCGGGAATCCTCGGGACAGGGACCGGGAATCCTCGGGATAGGGACCGGCACTGGGATCCCTCGGGACAGGGACCGGGAAGCCTCGGGAGAGGGACAGGGACTCCTCGGGGCAGGGATGGACACAAGGACAGGAACCCCCCGGAATAGGGACTGGGACTCCTCGGGACAGGGACGGACACAGGGACCGGGACCGGAACCCCCTGGGAAGAGACGGACACAGGGACCGGGAATCCTCGGGACAGGGACAGGGACTCCTGGGGGCACGGACTGCCACACGGTCTGGGGCTGCCCACACGGAAACACCGGTTATCTCAGACATGGGCAAACCCCTGCAAATACCTGCCATCGGCCAGTATCCTAAAAAGAATTTGTTCAACCAGTTAGGCCAGGTTTGTGTTCAAAATGTGGAGGTGAGGTAGCATTCCATGGTTTTTCACATGGAATACGCTGAAATAAAGCATCACAAACATTCCCTATGGATCCCAAAGACACATTCTGGATGGTTCCCTGATGCTGATCCCTGCCTGTTTATTCCAAGTCTCTGATCCTGCACCTCTCCACCATGCACCTACACTGCATCTGGTTTTATAAATAAACAATCACTGATGCACCAAAGATTTTCCCTCCATCTGTGCCTTTCCTTTCATCTTTAATCCATGGTCATGGATCCAGAATCACCATTTGGCACCATGGCTAAAACCTAAACACCCCAAACATAACATGCAAACTGGCACGATCTAAATCTCCCCAGTCTGGCATTTCTCTTTCCTCAGGCTTTTACCAGCCGTGGTTTAAGTTTTCCAAGTGATGTGGGGCACTGGGAGCTCACTGGGAATGAGCTGGACCCCAATCCAAGTGCCAGCCTCACAAAATATCCAGGCTCCAGGTGGGAATGCACTGCCTGGAATCGCTCAAAGTTCCTGGGGCAGGCAGAGCCTTCACAAAAAGCATCTCTGCTCTCCCCCTCCCTTGGGTTATTCCTCACACAAACCCACGTCAGATCATTCACTCCAATGGAAAACATCTCCCAATTCCCAGAGCTGCACAGGTTCCCACAACCAGTTCACTCCTCAGAACCAAATTTAACCCTCTGAGTGACCCAGCACTTGGAATTCTCTTTCCATCGCTGCAGGAGAAGCAATCTCACGGTTCTGCTGCCTTCTCCACACTCCACTCACCGCCTCAAACAATTTCAGTAGCAGCACAAAGAAATATGAATTTGTCAAAGATCCAGTTGTGCTTAAAATGAAGAAGGAAAACATAAACCCCCCCAAATCAAGAGAAAATCCCTGTGCATACACAGGTGTGCAGAGCAGAGGAATCCCATGGAAGGAGCAAGAAGAGAGCCAGGAATGTGAGGAGGGATTTTTCAGTCCTGGTAGCTGGTTCTTGCTCTGTGAAATATTAGTCACACGTGGCTTTGGACAATGATTTAAACTTCAAGGGAGAATTCAGGAAGAAGGGAAGGGAGAAGCAGCTCGGGCTTCCTTCACACACTGGAATCAGGCAGGAGCACAAGCTGCACTTGCCCTTTGCAGGTTATCTTTTATTTTCCTTAATATTAAGCAAATGACAAGTTCCTGCTCCTCCTGTTCCAGTTTTGCTCGAGGCTGTCAGTTGCATTTCCCAACCATGAATAAATCCAAAATTTCTAGGTTTGGTCTCAGGCATCCCCAGCATCAACCCCAGCTGTTCTGAGGTGTTGCAAGAGGCCTCAAGGCAGGGATTGAAAGCTCTGTTGCAACAGAGATTGTGGAATTACCAAAATGGAGTTACAAAAAGAATAGGAAACAGTTTCTTAAATGAAAACATTACTCACAACAGTAGCAGCAACACTTGATCTGAACCAAACCAAACTTCAAACAGAAACGTGGCTTCGAAAATAACAAAAATCGTGAGAAATTTTCCCACCTTTCTCCGTAAAATTAAAATTGTATGGAAAAAGCAAAGAGCTTTGCAGGAGAAAGCATCCTTAGCCTGTGAGGCAGCAAGAGGAGTCTGTTGGGAGGAGGGACAGCATGCTGGGGGTGGCTCTGGGGTGGCTCCATGCCAGCCTGTGCTGACACTGCAGGAACACAACCCCAGTGAGGGCAGAGCTGGACCCCAGCACTGATCCCTGCAGAGCCAAAGCTTCACCTTCCCCCTGTTTGGTACAACAGAACCCAGCAAGACTCAGGGAAAGCCCGAGCTCCCTTACCTGCCAGTGGCTTCTCCAGGGAAGAAGGCACGGGCTCCTTCCGGAGGGGCCGGCTGAGCGCCGCGTCCTGCCCGCTGAAGAGTCCGGGGCTCTCGGGTAACTTTTTACGTCCGTTGGTGCTGGCAGAGCTGGTGGCTCTGCAGCTGCCTATTGCACTTGTGAAAAGGTTTGTGTGTTCATCGCTGCTGGCTGGCTCCGAGCCGGGAGTGAATCCCCCCAGGGACAGAGCTGGGGAATTTTCGGAGCAGTCTATCTGCAGAGGGGTCTGCAATCCCAGTGCCAAGGAATTGGACTCCGAGGGCTCTCTCCTGACCCACTGCTCCTCTCTGCTTAGCAAACCCTTGGAAGGTGATAGGTGAGGACAAGCCATGTGGCATCTGTGTTTCTCTTTATGTTTGTACCTATCGCCAACAGCCTCCTTCCCAAACCTGTAGCGCTTCAAGGACTCCAGAACCGTTCTGGAGGAGCTGTTGGCCGTGATGGTGTCCATGGAAACCTGGGGCTGCTCAGAGGAACGATGCTCCCGGTGCTTGTGGCGGTGCCTGTGCTTGTGTTCCAGCATCCAGCCGTAGGCCATCTCGGGTGGGACGCTGGGGTACGTGCTCATGGACAGCAGAGGAGTCCTGCTCGTGGTGAGGAAAGCTTCCTGGCGCAAGAGTTTATGCTTCTTCTTGTGGTATTTGGTGGGGTTGAGAAGCAGGTGGCCTGTATGCATGTAGGAAGGTGGGGGCAGGGGGGTAGTGAAAGAAGGAGAGGGTGGAGGAGGGTAAAGAGTCGGAGGGTACCTTCCATAATAACCTAATCCTATGGGAGCAGCTGCCAGGGGAGAAGGGGAGTAAGGCATGCCATAGGAGGGGTAGAACCCGGTGCTGGACAGGGGAAAGCTGAGGCTATGCATGAAAGGCATTTCTGCCATAGCTTCCCGCATTTTTGGAGGCCTGCCTCTCTTTTTCTTTAAATCAGGTTTTCTAATGTAGTGCAAAGGATCTAAAGGAAAAGTAGGGTGGGTGTAGAAACTATTGAAATTTATCCTGAAAATGGTAGGCAGCAAATCTCGGGGTATGAAGTGGTGACTTCTGTGGGTTATTCTAATTTCACTTAATCGACTTATTAACTCCTCTAACTCAGCGAGGAAATCAGGGTCCTGCCTCCCTCGGAGCTGAGGGTACTTCTTTTTCCTTTTTCTCTTCTGCCTCTTCATCTTGTCGTAGCTGAGGTAATCGTGGCTGCGGCGCTTGCACTTGTGCTTGTGCTTTTCCTTCAGGTTGCTCAGCACGGTGGAAGTCTCGGGTGGGATGAGGGACACGTGGTCGAAGGAGTGCCTCTTCTTCTTCTGCCCGCAGAACTTCTCCGCTCGGTCCGAAGTGCTGTTGTTGTCCGTGCCGATCCCGCTGTCGCTGGGGATGGTCTCGTCGCTGTGGGACTCGCTGACGGGGGACGGGGTGGCCTCTTTGAGCGACGTCAGCTCGCTCAGGTGGGACGGGGAGTTGGGCAGCAGCGTGGGTGGGGACAACCTCCTCCTGCCCTTGGCTGCTTTCTTCATGGCCAGCGTCTGCACCACGCTGCCCTGCCTGGAGTGGAGGTGCAGGTAGGGCACCGAGCTGGGCTCGATGAACCCCGCCTCGCTGCTCACGGGGCTCTGCCCCCCGCTCACGGCCGAGGACTGGGAGCAAACCGGGGACGGGAGGATCTCCGAGGGGTTCGCTGCCGAGGGCAGCAAGTGGGGAAGGACTTGTCCTAGGGACGTGCCAGGAGCTTGCTGGGCAGACTTCTCCAGAACCGTCAGACTGGCAGCGCTGCTGGCTAAAATGCCGTTCAGGACAGCTTTGGGTTTCCTCCCTCTCCTTTTTCCTATGTAAATTGTTCCTTTCTTGCTGACATTGATTTGCTGGCCTAGTTTTGAACCAAATGTGGCAGCAAGAGTTGACACGGTGTTGTGGAGCTTGGATTGCATCTTCCCTTTGGTATTTGGTTCCACTGTACTGGACAGAATCTGATTCAGAAGTTTCTTTCGCTTCAGAGTTTTCATTTTATTTATTTTTCGAATGATTGTTTTCATTAACTGTCCATTATTTCTCTTGGCAACTTTTCTGTCTGAGTCTACTTCCAAATCACTCATGCTACAAATACTGGGGCTTTGGACTTCTTCTGGCCCTCGGAGCTGGTCCTTCCTCTCAAAGAACTCCCCGGGTCGATGCTGCTCACTCTCAGGCCCCATCTTGCTCGAGTTCTCTGTTCCAACAAAAGGTGCCACAGACAGAATAGGTGGTTTCATTTTAATCGATGACCGGATCTGCCTTTTGGGTCTCCCTCTCTTTTTAGGAAAAGCTTGTCCTGATAAGCTTTGTTTTAGGGAGGGAATTTCGACTTCAGGCTGCAAAATCGGAGGTTCTTGCTCCTCTTTCGACTGCACCGAGAAGACTTTTGAAGCTGGGATCTTAAGAGTTCTTTTGGGGGGACCTTCGAGTTCTGGCATTTCCTTGGCTTTAGGTCTTCCTCTCTTGGGTTTGTATATGTCAGGTAAGAAATCATCCGACATACACAAGCTAGAGGGCTGTTTGTGAGCGCTGTAGAACTTCTGAGTTTGTTTGTCAGTCTCAGCCAGCAGTGCCAGGGACTGTCCATTAGCTTCGTTCAGCTTTGGCAACTGATGTTTGACAAATTCATGCTCCACAAATGAGGAGGAACCGATGTTTTTCAGGAATTTGGCCTGCTCCAAATTACTGCTCGATAGTGCACTGTAGGAAATGTTTTTAAAAAGCTCTGACCTTTCTAGTTCCAGACCCTTTGGAGGTCGGCACGCGCTTCTTGACACCACTTTAGTCCATCGTGGCTTCCTTCCTTTTCTTTTCTTTAAAGGTTTTGATTGCTGAGTGCTGCTCAGGTTTTTTGCCCCTTGGCAGGATTTCTCGGATGCAGCTATTGCACCGATCTTGAGGAACTGCTTGCTACCAAACAAGCTGGTAAAACTAACTACTGAAGGGGTGACAGTAGCGTGGATGCTCGTCTCAGCTGCCAAAATGGGCTTTTTCCCTGTGGGAGGACTTGTTCTTGAAGTTTCCACGTAAGATGCTTTTGAATCACTTAAGTCTTTCTCAGCACCTTTAAAATCAGTGCCGAGGGTGTGGTTCAATGTCCTGTTCAGACTCAGCAGGGAGCTGTCCGAGGAGAACGGCATTTTGCCCATGGGATCTGAAATGCCTTCCAAGAGCTCTGCCGTGGAACTTAAGTGCAAGGAGTTGGACGCCAGCTGGGAGGAGGCTGTGGAGAGGCTCCTGTTCAGGGTGGGGACAGACACTGTGGGGGAAGGAGATGGGAGATTCCCCTCTCCCACTGCGCTGAACGGGGACTTGGCTGTCGACACCTCTGAGGCACCTCCTGTCCTGAAGTCTGGTGAAGTGCAATAAACTGGAGGCTGCTTTTCGTGCTTAGACGTTTCATAAATCCCTTTCTCACTGGATGAGTAGGCATCCTGTGGAACACACATTCCTTCATTGAACATCTCTTTGCCTACATCAGCAATTTCTTTCCGAATTGAAAACTTGTCCAAGATACTTTCTTTGCTCTGTCTCATAATGTGCTTCTCAAAGGTTTTGCTGGTAGTATTTTCCTTCAGTAAATCCGCAGGCTCATGGCTTTCAAGGCTACTGAGGTTTGAGTTGCAAGGAAGCTTAAAGGGCTCTGAGGAGGGCACGAGGGAGTCTGCTTTCAGAGTTCCAGAGTCCTTGTTAGCCAAACCAGCTGGACTGCCAATCCCTGCTGGCTTCTTCCCACAGTCCTTGCTAACCAATCCCACGGGACTGCTAATTCCTGGCATCTTCCTCCCAGGGTCCTTGCTGACCAGTCCCATCGGGCTGGCAATCCCTGGTGTCTTCCTTCCAGAGTCTTTGCTAACCAGAGCTGTGCTGTTCCCAGGCCCTGGCATCTTCCTTCCAGAATCCTTGTTAAGCAGACCTGTAGGACTATTTATTCCCAACAGCTTCTTCCCAGCATCCTTGCTCACCAATCCTGCTGGAGTGCTGATCCCTACTGGCTTCTTGAGAGGCTCCTTGTTAGTCAGCGCAGTTGGAGTGCTGATCCCTGGAAGTTTCCTCCCCACATCTTTGCTGATCAATCCAACTGCAGAGCTGGTCACTGGCTGCTTCTTTCCCGAATCCTTGTGGACTAACCCTGTTGGAGTGCTGATCCCTGGAGGCCTCTTCCCAGAGTCCTTGCTAACCAATCCAATTAAGGGGCTGATTGATTGGGGCTTCTTCCCAGAGTCTTTGTTAACCAGTATGGCTGCGCTGCCAATCCCTAATGGCTTCTTCCCTGAGTCCTTGTTCACCAGCCCAACAGCAATCCCAGAGCCTGGCAGTTTCTTCACCAAATCTTTGTTAACCAAGCCACTCGTAGTTATGGTTCCTGGCAGCTTCTTCCCAGAGTCTTTCACCAAACCAGATGTAGCTCCATTTCCACTTCCGGGCTTCTTCTGCTTTGTTTTGGAAGACTTGGAAGGAGGACAAGTTGCAATAAGTTGAGCCAATTTTTCTGTGACGGTTGTTGCTCCGTTAATTTCTGTTCTATCCTTTAAGTCAGAATTATGGCTACTGATAAGAGTCGGAGGAGATGACTTTATATAATCTGTCATTTCAGAATGCAATGGGGAAACTTTCTTAGATAAAGGGGTTGTTTCTACTTCGATACCTTCTTCCACGTGTAACTCAACTGATGCAACTTCTCCAGCTTTCTTGTAAGACTTTGAAGGGTCCTAAAAGTTAATAAACAAAAAAAACCTTTAGGAAGAGGGTACAAAGTATCATTTTGAGTAACACAGTATCTTTTTATGTTTAGGTGATTAACACTTGATCTGGTATCAGGGTTAATGTATAAATGTTAATTTATATTAAAAATATATTATATATATATATATAATATATAATATAATATATATAATATATTATAGATACATATATATAATGTGTATATAATGTAGATATATAATGTATATAATGTAAAAATATGTATATATAATGTGTATATAATGCTATGGAATAGGATGTATATATATACACACATATATATGTGTGTGTATATATATATATATATATACTTTATAGGTTTCATGATCCTATTAATTTTAAACCAATCAATAGTAATATCAGTAATTTAAATAATAAAATAAACATAATAAAATTAACACATTCTGCAAATAATAGCGACATTCATATCTACAGCAAAATTTTAAAATGGTGGGCATGCTGAGGCTTTGCTGATGTTAACAAAACCCAAACTCCCTCCCAGTCCAGAAATACAAACCATTTAATCTGTCCCCCAATTACTACAAATATCCTCCGAAGATACTGTTGATGTTTGTTAATAAAAACCCACTAACAACAAAGTGCTGGGCTATTTATAGTGTGAGAGCACTTGAAGAGCTCACATGGAGCTGAGCAGCAGCTGAGCAGTGCCCTGGAAGGGCTGGCACTGTCACCCTGTCCCTGCACAGCCCTGCTGGCAGCTCAGCCCCTGCTCCAACAGCTTCTCCTCCCAGCACAACACTGACAGTCAGGAAAATAAGTGAAATAAAATAAGTCAAATTATTCTGTTTGAATGGAGGGGACACACGTGGAATAACTGAAACTCACACTGATTTCCAGTTCAGACCTCACCAAACTTGAAATTTATTCTGTAAAGTTTAAAATCAAAATTGCAGTTCCCAATTCCTTCATAAATCCTACTGAGAGCACCTCAATAAATTCATCTTTGATTTTGGAAGGATATTCTTTACACACAATGCCCAAAACATCTCTGCAGTGCAGGGGACACGTCCAGTCCACGCAGGGGCTGGGAATGGAAGGCTCTGACCCCTGATGAGATAATTCTGCCCAGGGCTCTGATGTCCCCAGCATAAGAAGGACATGGAACTGCTGGAGCAAGTCCAGAGGAAACCATGAAATTGCTGAAGGGACTGGAGCACCTCCCATATGGAGAAAGGTTGGGAATGTTCAGGCTGGAGATGAGAAGGTTGTGTGGAGACCTCAGACCTTGCAGGAAGCTGAAGGGGCTCCAGGGAAGCTGGAGAAGGATCATTCATCAGGAACTGCAGTGACAGGACAAGGGGGAATGGGTTCAGACTGACAGAGAGGAAATTTAGGTGGATATATGGGAGAAATTCCTCCCTGTGAGGGTGGGCAGGCCCTGGCACAGGTGCCCAGAGCAGCTGTGGATGCCCCTGGATCCCTGGCAGTGCCCAAGGCCAGGTTGGACAGGGCTTGGAGCACCTGGGACAGTGGGAGGTGTCCCTGCCCATGGCAGGGGATGTGGAACAAGCTGGGCTTTAAGGTCCCTCCCAGCCTAAAGTCACTGTGATGCTGTGATTTTGTTCCCAATTTGAAAACCTCCTGAGAGCTAGCAGAACAAACACTAAACCCAGAGTGAAAAACATCAATGCCACAGCTGCTCATCCCTCTGCAATAAAAACTGCTATGGCAATGGCCTGGCACTTCCAGCACTTGATTACAGGCAGCATTACCCCGATCCCAGAGCTGTACCTGTGGCAAACACCTACAGATGCTGAAGGAAGGGACAGCCTGGATTGCTCTGGAACAGCCAACTTTGGTGCTGATCATGAAGAATTATGTTCTGGATTTGTGCCTGGATCCAGCTGAACGCTGCTGAGATGAGCAGCAGCTGTGTGGGTAATGTGGGAGCCTCTGCAGCAACCCCCAGGCACCCCAAATCCAGGGCTGGAGCAGGAGGGGGGCCTGGCAGCCACATGGAAACTCCTGAGTCAGCATGACACCACCCTGAGCCTGCAATCCAACGCTCCTGGAATTCCCTGGGCCAGACTGAGTGCCAGAGAGTCACTAACGAGTATTAAAGCCTTCAGAGAGCTGCATCCTCCTGCTACAGCCTGAAATTCTGACAAGAACTTTGGAAGAAAAATCTCCTTTGTTCAGCCAATTTCAAAAATCCACCTTAATATTAACTCGGGAATTCAGCTCCTCATCCCTGTATTTGCACTCCAGATTCTTCCTTCTTTTTTCTGTTCCTCCTGGGTGCTCTGCCACCCCCTGGGCCAGGCTCTGTGGTGCTCTCTGGGTATCCAACACCTGCTTTTCCCTGCTCACCTCCATTTCCAAACAAAGAGCTTGGAAGTTTGAGTTGACACTTAAATAATAAATACATAACTAACAAAACCCTTCCAAACACCAGCTTTGATCTGAGCAAGATGACAGGATTCTGAAAACAAGACTTTAGCATCAAACACAGATCCTTTGAAAGCTGAAGGTGTGTGCCCTGCAAAGCTTCTTTCTCATCTAAGGGTGAGTGAGTTTTCCAAGCACACTGAAAATTATTTCAAAGAACATGAAGAGCAAAACAGGAAGCATCTAGTGAGATGTCATTCAAGAAGTCAAAAAAGCCTGACATTTTTTTTCAGCATTTTTAAACCCAAAATTCTTATAAGGGAATTTTTTCCTGCCATAAATATACTTAATAATCAGCATTATTAAAATAAACATTTTGGAGGGAAATTTTTAAGGACAAAATTTCATCCAGTAACCTCTAACAGAAGCATTTTGAGACGTTTCCTTTGGAGAAGGTTGCAGTGGCTGCAGAAACATTAAAAAAAAAAAAACTCCCAACATCAGCCACAGAGTCAAAGCATCTTCTTGCAATTCTGTATCATTAAAAATTTCAGATTTTTGGTTGAAGTGAATAGCAGGTATTGCTGCCATTGCAGACAGAGACCAAAATCAAACTGCAATCATGCACAGCCCCAAACTTCAGGAATAAAAAAGGACATTTTCTCTGCAGAGGCAACAGAGGAAAAACTGGACTCCACTGCTCATATACTGCGGGAATCAGGTGAAATCATCTTCAGCCACATCACACACACCCTGTCCTGGACACCCCCTGGGAAACAACAAACCCCAGGACACCCCCAGGAACCCCCCTAAACACAGGGGGGGTTTGGGGACACATCCCTTAGTCCCCCCAGGACAAACCCCTGGACACAAATCTCAGACACATTCTCAGGATGTCCCTCAGGGGACGCCCCCAGAACACAGAATTCACAGAATTCACAGAATCAACTCACAGAATCACTGGGCAGGAAGAGACTTTCAAGATCATCGAGTCCAACCCAGCCCCAACACCTCAACTAAACCGTGGCACTGAGTGCCACATCCAAGTTACTTTTAAAAAATCCAGGGCTGGTGACTCCACCACCTCCCCAGGACAGCCCTTCCTTCCCCTTGGACAGGTGTGCAAACTTTGAAATAAGAAATGTTGACTTAGAAATGCCATGGAAGAGGACAGATATTAGTTTCATGGAACTAGAAACAAGCTTTAAAGCATGGCTTTGCAAATAAGACTAGATACTTTGGAGAAATAGAACTATGAAAGATGTTTTGTAGTAGGATTTACAAGGGGTAATTTTAGATTACTTGCTTTAAGGTATTTACAGCATGGTGTGGCTAAAGCTGATAGGTCAAGAAATGCTTATAATGTATTGTAATTAGGAAATCATTAGCTTCTGATTGTAATTGCATAGATTATAACATCTGTATTGTCTCACCCTTCACATGAGACTGAAAATGGAATAAAAATTTTTAAAACACCTCTCAGTTGCCCCATCAGAAAAAAGAGAGGGATAATCCAACATGACACACCTTGAGATACACGCCTAGGACATCCCCATCAGGACACACCTTGGGATACAGCCTCAGGACACCCTGTACAGGACATACCCTGGGATACACCCCCAGGACACACCTTGAGATACACGCCTAGGACATCCCCATCAGGACATATCTTGGGATACACCCCCGGGGACATCCTGTACAGGACATCCCCTCCAGGATACACCCCCAGGACATCCCCTCCAGGATATCCCCCCAGGATACACCTTGGGATACATCCCCAGCACACACCCTCCAGGACACACTGTACAGGACACCTCCTCCAGGACACCCCCAGGACAAACCCTGGGATACACGCTCAGGACACTCCCTCCAGGACACCCCCTGGGATATGCCCCCAGAACACACCTTGGGATACAACTTCAGGACATCCCCCCAGGACACACCTTGGGATACACCCCCAGGACACACCTTGGGATACACCCCCAGGACATCCCTCCAGGACACACCCTGGGATATGCCCCCAGGACATCCCCCCCAGGACACACTGTACAGGACACCTCCTCCAGGACATAACCTGGGATACACCCCCAGGACACTCCATCCAGGACACCCCCATCAGGACACACCTTGGGATACACCCCCAGGACATCCCCTTCAAGACATCCCCCCAGGTCACCCCCTCCAGGACACACCCTGGGACACACCTTACAGGACACCCAGTCCAGGATGTGACACCCCACAGCGTCCCAGTCCGTGGCCATGGGGTCGGGCTCTCCTGTGGGTGTGGCAGGTGTAAATCTCATTTACACCCTGAGCAGCAGCACTGTCACCTGCACAGGGACACCAACAACTCCCCGTGCCCACACAGAGTCTGGGAGATGGGGAGCACAGACCTGGAGCCAAGGCCAAGTGACAGAGTGTCCTCAGTGGCTGCTCCTGTCATTGTCACCGTCAGAAGTGAAGGACGGGACCATTTTCAAGTTAAGAATGATTTATTCTAGAGGTAAATATCAGTCTTAGAAGTTGTGAGATTTTAGAGGAGTAAGTATTCAGCTATAGCTCAAGAGTAGTCACAAGATTGTTACAAGATAATATATAACTTTATAATAATATATATTAT